AGTCAGTATTATGGATAATAGGAGCGCACGCCACTTGGAGGAATAGAGTTGTATATATCTAGTAGCGAAGCTTTACAGTATTGGCTACGTCGTTAAACCCATGATAGGCTAAATAAAAAACGACAAAGAAGAAAATGGGGTCAAATATATATATGTGTGTGTGTGCGTGTTCGTAAAGGAATACAGGGTGAAAAGGAAAACAAGGGATAGAATATTTGGAAGAAGTGCTGATATATATATTTAATGAATCCCACCTCTACTTGTAAAATATAGGCTAAAATTTGATGTACTCTCCGCTTGAGGGCTCTGGTTGGATGAGTCTGATCGGTATGATATCCTCATCTCATACACCGAGGATGTTTTTTGCGAAAGCATGTGCATTTAAACTATAAATCTGACACTATGTAAGACGAGGTAGATATAAAAGCAGCCTGTACAATGTACGTAAATGGGTATAAAAAGGGAATGACTAGAGCTTTGCCTCAGTTCCAATTGCATTCCGGCGCATTTTCCGGGACGATACATCGGCAGGCACCGGAGCCGCGGCATTTTGGAACAGCTTGCGTCCGACAATATCAGACATAGTAAGAACGCGCGAGGAAACAGTTGCACCATCCCGACGGTTTTTGCTGCAAAAGGTTAGTCGTATATTGGCGGAGATGATGTGATTAGAATGGACTCACCCCTCGCGACGGGACTGTGCGATCAATTCAACAAAGTCCCACAGTCGACCACCGGCCATAACCTTCCCAGTATTCTCATCACGCCGAGGTGCCCATTCAGGAGCCAGCTTGAGAGACGGACCGGCACGCGATCCTTTGTTCTTCGCAACTAGGATAATCCCCTCTTCTTCAAATCGTTGATAAGAGTTTTTGAGAGTCTCTTTGTTGACAGCCTCGAAGTAGGAGAGGTCACCTTGGTGATATAACGTTTTACCGAGCTGCGAATGTGAATATTAATGAAATGGTCGGTATAGGCCGGGGGAAGAAAAACTCACAATCTGAGCACTATCTTGTGCTTTCTTAGAGTCGATCCAAACCTCCTTCGGTCCATCGAGAGGCGGCGTCAGCCCAAGAAGGGACACTGAGCCAAGCCAGGACGCCTCGATGAAAGGCCAGATTAGGAAGCAGTAGAAGTCATAGTTCTCGCGACCACATAGTCGCTCAGCCTCGCTCAATTCAACGTAAACTGGTGTCCCGGACTCGTCACGGGTGATTTTGATCACATCATCCTTCTCCAGTCCACGCAAAGTTTTATCCAAGTTGAGAGCCAAGCCCTCAGGCGGGAAAATGAACTCACCGCGGAAAATCTGAGACAGGAATGAGACCTGTTTCTTCAAATCTTCATAAGTGATTCTTTGATTGGCGGGTCCGCCACCTTGCTTGATCTTTGTGTACATAGCCACAGACACTAGCGCTTCAGTGATAAAAAGGTGAATGAGCATGTTCCGGTAAAAGGAAAGTTGGAAACGATCCACCGCATAGTATGTTGGCTCGACTAGACCCGAAATCACACCAACTAGTTTGGGTCCTAGGACTTCTAGCGCACGGTCGACAACAGTCTCCGTTGGCGAGTGATAGAAATGTGCGACCCTGCCACCTTTGGCTCGTACCCGGTCGCAGAGCCAGTCCAATCGGCGTACCAGTTCAGCCTTTCCAACTCCCCGGCCGCGTAAAGTCAAGAGCACAGTTCCCACAAGGGCGGTTGGCATCATCACAGACACGTCGTTGATATCGGACAGAACCCGATAACCGAATGTTCTTAGAATGCGGCCTCGATCAGTATAGCTAAGTTTATTATTGATGTCGGTGCTGGGGCGATCTAGTCGCGTGAGCTGCTGGCCAATGAACTCTCGAAGACTCCATGGCTCGTGGAAACGAACATCCACTCGCCCTAACTTCAGGGACAAAACCGAGGATGAAGAAATGAAATCAGCCAAGTTCTCCTTTGCTTTCGGTTGGCCAAGAAGCTCGCTGATGTATGACCTAGAGAATTGGTCAATGTCAATGTTCATCAAAAGGGTCAGAGTGCCAGCGGAGTGTCATACTCAGTCTCAATGACCTTGTCGTATTGAGTGCTCACGGGACAGATGACTAGGTCTTCAACCCGACCGGATAGTATACTGTCCATAATGAAACTCAAGATTCCAAACTTAGGTGAAAGCAGTTTTCCAGTTCTGGACCGACCGCCTTCAATGAAGCATTGGAAGTTGAAGCCTTGTTGAAGGAGGGTATCGATATAAGCTTGCACCACAGTATTGTACAAGGGATCGTTTCCAAAACTGCGTCGAATCCACATAGCACCTACACAAGGTTAGTAATAGCTAGAAGCTAATGGAATTGTCTTGCAACCGACCTGCATGTTGTAAGAAAGCGCCCAACAACGGGATATTGAGATTGTCACCCGCGACAATGACTGGCAAAGAAATGCCGAGACGGTAACAGATAAGTTGAAGGGAGACATAATCCACATGGGACTTGTGACAAGGCAGGAAAACAATCGACTGCTTCTTTTTGGCAGCAGTTTCGGCTACAGATCTTAACCGTAAGACTTCTTCACTAGATACGTGGATTCCTAAGGTGAATTCCGTTTAGCATTGACTCGTGATAGAAGTATATCGGAGGAAATTTACCCTGATGGTACGCGCGAGTCAGGAGCTGTGTGCACATATAATATGCACTCCGAATAAAGGTTTTGCTTTCCATCTTGCAAATCATGTTTTCCATCATTGTATCCACAACTTCCCGAAGATTATCCTCAATCTCCGTTCGGCGACGGGCTCGTTTGTCGTCCAGTGTTATACCTTCATTGATTGCTAGCAATCCTTCCTTCTCTTCGACCACGAGTCGACCATTCGCCAATTCAGTGATTTTGTTTTGTAGGAGTAGGCTGCCCAATATGGAGGTCTTCATCCTTTCGGAGAAGCCTGAATAGAAGATCGGTTGGCCGATAGGTTCGTCATACGCACGCCAGCCTGTGCCCGACATGTACAGGCTCACTTCGCGGAGAAAGTCGAAGGGGTTCTCGCGAAATCGCGCCATATGGCGGACAAGGTTGCGCTCGGTGATTTGTTCATCTTGGGTTTCCGGACCTCCAGTGAAGCCTGACGGGTGGATTGTCAACTGTGAGTTGACGATTTCCAGATCTGGTGCCGAGTGGTCATCGGCAATAGCCGACTTGCGAGACGGCATTTTAGAAGGGGGAGGAGCGAGAATGGTTATACTTCAGGTCAGCTCACGAAAACAAGGCTTGGTCCATGGAAGGAAAGGAGAAGATGAATCAGATGGGAAGCTCAAAAGCGAAGAGGTGCGGGACCAAATCATAGCTTGAACCCTCCCCCCAAGCTCTCAAGCGCCAACCGGCAGATCGCCCCCCGGATGTTTTTCGGATTTCCCCAGAAATGGGCCGAGGCAGGTCACGTGTTCTTGTCTGAGAAGAGCCCGGAGCTCTCATCCCACGTTTCTCAGATGTTGACGTACATCTTGCATTGAGCTTATTCATCATCTTTAGGCAAGCATGTCTCGCTTGGTAAATGGAGCGAGGTCGTTTTCGAGTATGTATCTTTCGTGGAAATTCTAGCTCCAGATAAGCTCACTTTATCCCAGCGACGGCTCCATCTCTCTTTGCCGGCGCGACCGCGGCTTCGCAATCTGTTCGCCAACCATCCAGCTTTCAAGTCTTCCGCGATGTTCCCTCAATCCGGGGACTCCGGCGCCAATTGTTGCAGAAGGACCGGAGTGTAGGCTTTGTTCCTACCATGGGTGCGCTCCATGAGGGTCATCTCTCCCTAATTCGACAAGCTGCTCGCGAGAATACAGATATTTTCGTCAGCATCTTCGTCAATCCCACGCAATTTGGAGTCACCGAAGATTTGTCCAGCTACCCGCGCACCTGGGATACGGATGTTGAGAAATTGGAAAAGTTGAACGAGGAGCTCGAGCGATTGGGAGAAAATAGTGCAAGTGCCGGGCGCATCACTGCCATTTTCGCACCGACCTCGAAGGTCATGTACCCTGGTCTACCCCCTTCATCAGAGGTTGATGGATACGGCTCGTTTGTCACAATTACCCCGCTGTCCACTAAACTGGAGGGCGGTTCGCGTCCGGTATTCTTCCGGGGTGTGGCGACAGTTTGCATGAAGCTCTTCAACATCACAACCCCCGATCGTGTGTACTTTGGCCAGAAGGATGTGCAACAAACCGTGGTAATAAAGCGTATGATAGAGGATTTCCATGTTGGCACCGAACTGCGAATCATTGAAACTACGCGGGAACATGACGGGCTGGCGCTGAGCTCGCGGAACGTCTACCTGGGTGACCGGAGACGAAATATCGGCCTCACCATCTACAAGGCGCTGAAAGCCGCCGAAGAAGTATACCTGGGCGGCAAGAACAGTCGGGCAGATATCCTTGGGGCTGCTCACAAGGTGGCAGATTCTGTCCTTTCCGCACAAAAATCCCTTTCACCATCCGAGAGAGCACTTTACGAGGTCGACTACATTTCTCTCGCCGATCCTGACACCCTTGACGAGCTGGAAGTCGTTGACCCAGCTAAGGGCGCCGTTCTAAGTACCGCATTCAAGATGGCACCGCTGGAAGAGTCCAAACCAGGCGAAGACTGTGGATTGGGCGATGGCAAAGTCCCTGTGCGACTGATTGACAACCTCATTTTCGGTCCTCGTGCTTGATACTATACCAAACACCCAGTAATCAACATCTAACACTTTAGCATAGCATGGTTTGCAAGCAAGTCAGTTACATACATTCCCCAAAAACATGCCCCAAAAGCAAGATAGACATCAAATATTCAACTATATCCCTCCATTTATTTTCGCAGTTCAATGTAAACAAAGTAGGGCAAATCCTTAGGGCGGAGAAAATTTGCCTGAGAGCCTGGAAGTCTTGGCGCCGAAAAAAAGTCTCGAAAGCTTTTGGATCGCCGGTTCAACAAAAACTTTCACAACTCCCCTCCATTTTCACCGGGGATCACCATCTTTCAAAATGGCCGACGATGGAATGCTTATGAACTTCAGTATTGGTGACAGTGTCATCAAACCTGAAGCAAAGTTCAAAGGAGGAACATGGCGAGACCGACTGACCGCAAAGAAGCGCTCAGCCCACCGAGTATCCGAGAAAGGACCCGGAGATGGAGAAGCAGCTGCGCGCAATGCGGCATCCAAGAACCCGAACCAGATTCAACTCGGTACACGGCCCGTGAAAAGACAAAGGACTGAAGACACAGACTCGTTCAATCGCCCTAGCGCCCCGCGCTCTGGTGGTGATCGACGACCACAGCAACACCCACGAGACCCCCGCCAGTTCATTTCTTCCCTCTTCAGTAGCAACCCCGAAGCGCGCAACCCCGAAGAACCCAAGGAGGAGAGGGATGCAGAAGATGCGAAACCGACTAATGCGCCGCTGATCGACGGGCTGGATACCTTTACGAATTTGGGCCTGTCTCCTAATCTTGCAGCGCATCTGCTGACGAAGCTCGAGCTCAAGGCGCCGACAGCTATTCAGACAAGCTCAATTACACAATTGCTCAAGGAGGAAAGCGATGCTTTTATCCAGGCCGAAACTGGTTCCGGAAAGACTCTGGCTTATCTTCTGCCGCTGGTCCAGCGGATTATGGACCTCTCAAAAGCGAAGAATGAGCATAACGATACCCAAGTTCACCGAGACAGTGGATTGTTCGCTATTATTTTGGCACCTACCCGTGAACTGTGCAAGCAGATCTCCGTCGTGTTGGAGAATATCCTGCGCTGCGCGAACTGGATTGTTTGTGGAACGGTGATTGGTGGAGAGAAGAAAAAGTCAGAGAAGGCACGGTTGAGAAAAGGATTAAACATTCTTGTCGCAACACCTGGTCGATTGGTAGACCATCTCGACAATACAGAAGCGTTGGACGTCAGCAATGTGCGGTGGCTCGTGCTTGACGAAGGTGATCGCTTGATGGACATGGGCTTCGAGGAGGAGTTGCAAGGCATTGTCAAGAAACTCGACGCTAGACAACGGCCGAGTCGCATTCCCAGTGTTCCTACGCGCAGGACGACAATTCTGTGCTCTGCTACGCTGAAGATGAATGTCCAAAAGCTGGGAGAAATCAGTTTGAAGGATGCGGTACATATCAAGGCCGACCCGTCCGACGAGGATGACGAGAAGTCAAATAAGGAGGAGGAAGAGTCATTCCGCGTCCCCGCCCAGCTCAAGCAATCGTACGCGATTGTTCCGGCTAAGCTACGTCTAGTCTCATTAACAGCCTACCTGAAGAGGACGTTCATGCGGAAGGGATCAGTGATGAAGGCGATTGTTTTCATGTCTTGCGCTGACGTGGTCGATTTCCATTTCGAGCTATTCTCAAGGAACCAAGACCGCGAGCAAAAAAGGAAGAGTGACGAAGAAGAAAAGGATGGAAAGGATGAGAAGGACGAAAAAGATGAAAAAGACGAAGAAAAGGAAAAACTGTCACCCCACGGCACTATTGCTCCCGGTAGAGCCTTTTCGACCCCGACGAATCCGGTCATCTTGCATCGACTGCACGGCTCCCTTCCTCAGAATGTTCGAACCGCCACTCTCGGGTCTTTCGCTCGCAGCACTGAGGCTTGTGTCATGATCTGTACCGATGTGGCTTCGCGTGGTCTGGATTTGCCCAACGTGGACTTGGTCGTCGAATACGACCCGGCCTTCAGCTCTGACGACCATACTCATCGTATTGGTCGTACTGCCCGTGTGGGACGAGACGGCCGTGCCCTCATCTTCCTCCAGCCTGGCTGCGAGGAGAACTATGTCGAAGTCCTAAAGCGCGGCTACCGCGATGGAGGCAAGGCGCTTACCCGCACTGATGCAAACGAAATTCTCAAGCGTGGCTTTGGCGGCAACGACAAGAAGAAGAATTGGGAGGAAAAGACAACCGATTGGCAGATAGACGTGGAGCGTTGGGCACTTGATAACCCAGAGTATTTGGAAATGGCTCGACGGGCGTTCCAGTCCCATGTCCGAGCCTACGCAACCCACACCTCAGCTGAACGGAGCATGTTCAACATTAAGGAACTCCACTTGGGTCATCTTGCGAAGAGTTTCGCCCTGCGCGACCGACCAGGCAAAATCAACGTCCCTGGTCTGCGGCCTGGACAAGAAGACACCAAGAAGGACTTCAAGGCAGCGCGAAACGGTGTTGCAGGCAATAAGAGAAAGGCTGAGGATGATCCATCTTCCACAAATGTTACGGACGAGGCTGCTCGCAAGATGAGAGCCAAAATGAGGGAGCATATGTCTGGAGCTAACGAGTTCAACTTGGCTTGATCTTTTGCTCTGTGGACTCCTTCAAAAAAAAAAAGCATGGTCGCATGGTTGTTTTGTAGCATTAGCATTTATCTCAGTAGATATCCCATAATGAAATCTTCCCGTCCTTGGACCCAGCCGCTAGCCAATGAGTTTGTTGTACTTTTTGATTCCGTTGTTGGTGCACTGTTGCAAGAGAGTAGTCGCGTGCGTCGACGGCCGTCTCTCCTGCTGCGCACTGGTCTGCATCCCGAGGTTCTTGTTTTTCAGACTCAGCCGATGAAGGCACTAACGAAGACATGGTATCAGTTTCCCCGAGCGCTACAGAATAACAACCATCCTTATGCCACTTCAGAACAGCCAGCTCTTTCATGGTCTTTCCGGAGTACACCCGGATCCTGCTGTCCCAGCCAGCAGTAGCAAATATCTTCCCATCCGATCGGATCCGTAGACCTTGCTGGCCTGAATGCTTTGTGTTGACAATCTTCAAGGGGGATTCTTCTTTGTAGCCAGCGGTAGGGATATAACCTGCAGACCCAATGCTGGGGATGGGATGCTTGACGATCAGAGCATCTGCAGAAGAAGAGATGAAGCACCCATGGGAAGGGGCAACATCTAAAGAAAGAACCGGCTGGGAATGAGGGCGACTAGCATAAAGCTTGTCCCATTTCAAAGGGTTGTTGCTTATATGCTCACGCTCAAGACTCGCCGATTTGAGAGCTTCACGATGAACGAAGACCATTACATGGCCATCTTCATATGCAGAGGCGACGTAGAGCTCTCCAGAAGGTGACACGATGAGGTTTACAGCCATCAACATCCCAGTTTTGGTTGATTGATCAGAAGGAATAGTACTAATTCTGCGCTCAGATGGTAGGTGGAAGATATCGACTCCACCAGAGTCCAAGGCATTGGGTACTGCGAAGAGAGTGTTTTCTGGTTTTCCAGATCTGGATGGAAGCTCAGGAAGCCCATCTGAATTCACAAATGCCATTGAGAATGCACAGAAATTGAGCGCATTCACGGGCAAGGAGTGGAGTAACCACGGTTGTGGTCTACTTCCTGCCAATGCGGATTCCGTCGCATCCACTGGAAGCACTTTATCGAGGAAAGATTCATCCTCTGGTCGAAGCTTCCACACACATAGTTTGTGATCGCGGCCATGTCTATTGCAGATGTTAGTAGGATGGCCGATACCCCCGGTGCTAGAGCGGGGTGGATGAATCATCATACGTGTAAATCTCAGTTGCACCTGAGCCAACATCAAAGCCTCTGGCCTCCAAAATGGCTCCCTCGTGGGCCTTCCATGCCGTCACAGGGCGTTTGGTGACCAGGTCCCAAACAACAATCCAGCCATTAGCGTCGCCGGATACAAGCCGTAAATTGTGGCTGTAGATGTGCAGTGCATGAATCGGAGAAGCATGTCCACGAAGGATGTATATTGGGGTAGCTGGAGATTGAGTTTGTACTGATTTGGTGTCCATCCCAAATGCTTTGTGGCTATTGCTTGTTGATCGATATCTTCTAATCTTCTATCCTGTACCGGTAGAGGTGCCTTGTGGAATTGCCTGCTTACACCGCCACACTTCAGCCTCACCTATGGTCGTGATCTATTTAGCGTCTATTTTTAGACCTTTATGGTTTGTATGGCTGTCAGAAATAGAATACAAAGCAAAATGGGTTCAAATTTCAAAATGCAGGAAAATCCGCTGGCCAACAAGTGCTGGAATCGTGGCTTGAAGCGACGAACAACATGTATGGTTGGTCTCTTGCCGCTTTAGCCACCTCTTGCCGCTTTTTGATCACCGGTCCTGTTTCCATCTGGTAACTACATAGTTCACTGTAATACTTCGACAACCCCTAACAAGACATATGTATTCAATTGTAATCCACAACATTAAGAGTGAAAAGGAATACACCAGGCAGCGTGTAATATCAAAATTAGACCAAGACACCATACCATGTACGTACTAGTAGCCCTGTAGTGTGACAGATGAATATGTGATCATTCACAATACGGACGCTTTAGCTATACTACTACCGGATGAGCCCAGCATTCTATAGACTACACAATTGATATAGTATGACCAATCTTAGTATTTTAACAGGCACTAAAACTTGTGGCTCCCAGATGAATAAGCCTGAACTAAAGAAAGGAAGTTCGACAAATGTAAAGTAAAAGAATTGTCTTGAAAACCTAGGTATAATATTGAAAGGGCGGACTTTCATTTAAAGGACCCCTGCTCCGCTTAGTATAGTGGATCAAGTGAGATCAGTATCGGATAACAGTTAAGTACGAGGTACCGAGTATTATATATCTACCCATAAGAGTATGCAAGGTTCTGAAAGAATATAACTATCCCAGAGTAACTGGCGAAGATAAATATATGTGTAGCCTCTGAAGACATATTAAACCGCCCATGCATTAAAGACATCGATTCCCAATAGGACCGGATGGAAAGATAAGATCCGGAATACGCATCAGCTATGAGGGCAACTTTCGTCAATGGATTCATCAAACTTGGGAACAGACTCCCGAGGAACCTCGTATGGTACCGCCCCCCGGTTACTTGGACTGTCAGATCCCGAGGTCGAAGTCGAACGTTCATTCTCCTTGCATCAATACCCGTCCGATCAAATTTAGGGTTTATCATCGCTGTGTTGAAGGATACGAAACAACATTGGTCCCTGCAGCCTAGTTCCTACTAATAGGACATAGTAATAGTCCTCGATAGAGGATAGCCCGCGGCGATACTGACGTGGTGCTAAGAATTCATATTATATTTCTGTTCCCTGCTCTGTCAAGACACAAGTCTTTAGTATATAGCCTTTCCGTAAAGATTATCTACTTGTTTACTTTACTGAAAACATTAACATCTACATATCTATGGAATATAGTAGAGCGCACTGTATAATATTTTATGTACTTTCAACAGGAATATATTCTGTAGGTTTACACCATCACAGCGCAAGGTAATCTGGTTTTCGCGTCCCGTACAAATTGATAAAGAACGATTTCAAATCACTCAAGCCCGGCTGGGAGATCACTTTCATCTGGCCCCTCATTGTACTTGTTCATGGTTCTAGGCTTCGCATGACGAAGACGATCTCCCCTCATGATATTGGATTTGTTGATTGCTTCCCTTTCGTCCTCCTCTAGACCCTCTGAGTTAGTGGCCTGATGCTTCAGAATTCACCTCGGGAAATAACATGGACTTACCAAGCTGCTGATCAGAATTGGAATATGGAGGTTGCATTGGATCTTCAAATGACTGTTCATCTTCTTGGACGGGGACTTGATCTCTCAAGTTTGACTTGGGCTCTCCGGCATATGAATTCTCTGTGAAGTCCTCAGTCACGGGCGAAGGATCATTTTCTCTCTCGTAATTATCTTCTGCGGCTCTTTCGGTAGGGTTCGACATGTTGTATTCTGAGTGACTTATGTCCAATGCTTCAATGTTATACACATGGAAAGGAAGTATAGGCGTCCGGAAAATATACTAGTTGTTAGAGGATTCCAAGACCTGTTATTCATACCAGTCATTACAAAGTCAGAGCTTGGCCCTGCTACTTATTGTCCAACTGCTCTGACGTATGGAGTATGTAATTCACAGTCCATGGCAAATATACGTCGCTATGATCGATTGTTCAAATTATTAACTACCTCGACATATGAAGTCATAAGCCACGCGATATTGACTATTGTGGCAAGTATTGGGCTAATAGAACTATGAGGCTTGACTAGAAGTTGCGAGAAGGTGGCTACTCAATGAACAAAAGTCAGTACCTGCTCATCATCTTCGACTCCGCCAAAGACCAATACTCCATTTGAATATACGAGCTAGTAATGCCTGCGCCATATACTCGGATCTAGTCAATGAAAGTGCAACACAAGTTTGCTTCTTAGAACCCCAGGAAATAGGACCGTTGACAAAACGAAAGGCAAAACCAGAGATTCAAAAGCTACTTACAGAGTGAGGACTAATATGATTAGTATCTAAGTATACTGACATACGAAGTTGTTAGTTGAACCAAATGTATTAGTCAATCGTACTCAGCAGGTAGCGAAACAGACGTTTGAAGGGCTGTTCACGTTGGGTCCCCGGGTTGCGGGCGTACTATGCTAACTGAATAGTTACATAAGAGATATCAATCACCTCGTGTCCCAAGAGTCAACCATACACAGGTTTGCCAACCTTTTATTGGCAGAGTTTGAAATCTGCAGCTGATGCAGTTTTGGTGGCAGAAACCAGCGGTTAAACGGGGTAGCGACTGGCGAAGGAGAGCAGTGACACTTTTCCCGAGATAGGCAAACTGAAGATCCACGGCGGATATCTTCAATACTACATAGTCCTTATAATATCGTGTCCTACTAGCCCCTAAGTAGATGGAAGGTTCCAAAGTTCTATGGAAAATAACGCTGACCAATGAGAGGACTAATTAGTAGTGGAGGATCCATCTATGGCTTTTCCCACAGCATATAATCCAAATAACGGGTAACATGGTCTATTACTATAAACAATTTATGAGCGCGATATACGAGACATCATAATCAGCCCTTTTCTCTCCGTATACTTCGCTGAGCTCAGATCCTTCGGAAGAAGATTCTCATCTCCATTTGCGATGAGAGCTTCGACAAGAGTCGCCCTCCCCGCGTGCGAAAACCCAAGACGTCGGTACAATTCCACCGTGACATCATTCCCCGCCTTGACGATGAGCCGCACTTGGACTTGACGAGGAAATGATCGGTATGAACTGAGATGACTAATAGCCTCCTGGCACAATTTGCCCCCAAGTCCGTGGCCGCGATGCTCCGGGAGCGTAAACAAGCTCAGCATCTGCCATCGCTCTTCCTCTTCGTCGGATTTCTGTGGTGGTTGGCCAGCTTCGACAGGTAACTCGAAATCAGCCCTGGATGAGGGCCCTCGCAAAGTTACCTGGCCGATCCATTGGGTGCTATCGGGAGATGATGGATTAAGATTGAGTGGTGTTGCGGCACAAATAAAGAGTTCTCGATCGGGAAGAGTGAGACGATCTATCCAGTCGTTATCGGCGAAGGCCGCTTCGATATCATAAGTAGATGAGAAAGAGTCTGGTGAAGTCTTCAACGCCTTTAAGCGTAGGTCTCGATATTTTTGAGCGGAGACATCGATTCCGTCTGTCTTAGAGACCCGGAAGAATGAGTATGTATAGTTGGAAGCCATAGAAAGGACTTGAATTCAGTATGTGCATTTCATCGCAGTATAGTGCTCATTGAACATTTATCTGTTATAATTTTGTGACTCAGATGTGGTAAGCTACGGCCAACTTGAAGTTGGCCGATATCCATCGCTCACCGGGGGAAGGGCTGATCCACTTTTCTAGGTTCAAAATCTCCACTATCGGCGTTATAGAGTATTCTCTACCATCCGATGCCGAAGCTGCTTATGCCAATCAGCTAGCGAATGGACCTGAACGAAGTCCTGACCCAGAGTTATTACGGATTTGATCGCGTCTATCCTCCGAGAGTAGAAGCAGGAGAATCAATCCTATGGGCCCTTGGAACTGGCAAATGGGATGCGACATGTGAAGATGAATATGGAGAAAAATGGATGAAGTAATAGTTTGGTAGTCTTTAATTTTAACCACAATCCGCGGTATTCTCAGGATTGATCAGTCGAGAAAGAATAATCCATGGATATTCATAGGGTATAAGCACCGTGGACGTGCGTGAAGCTAGGCAATAATAATTCATGATTCGTTAAAGTGTCCAAAGCATCATATCAGATCAAATGTTCCGTAGTGATACTGATTGAGTGCATGTTGGTGATGAGGTGGCACATAATATGCTTGATATGGGTGGTTCTCCAATGAGAAGTCACCCGTAGTCAACAAAGGGTTGTGTGGGCTCGGGGATGGGCCTGGGTGATTGGAGATCGATAGAGATGGGTCTAATTCATAGAAGTGATTGTGCATTTGGGCTGGCGTTACCGTGTGCGGGTGGGAATCGGCCCAGCTCCAAATTTGTTTGAGATCGTTTTTGATTGGTTCAGCACTGCTGCCAGTCACTTTAGTGATGGCATCGAAGATGCCGAGTACCTCCTCTTGGGCCTCTCGTGTATCCAAGCACTCTGCAGCAAGTACAAGAAAGCACAGGGATATATCGGCCACGCCTCTGTTCAACTGATCAGACACAGGAATTTCTGCAATTTTGGTCATGGCTTTGTACTGACTGGTCTGTAGTGTGGGCAATAAGGCCGCACATTTCGTGCGCATGGCTGCGTTGCATTTTCCGCATATTTTCATCGAACTCTGACTGGAAAGGGTGTGATTTCGTCAACAGGATACGACTGGCGTGATAGAATAATCGAGAAACAATGGCAGATCGATTGGCGAGCCTGAATATATGAGTTAGCAAACGGGGCGGCGTGAATGTAAGATAATAGAGCACATACCAAACTTCAGGAAAGACCGAGTTGGAACTTGTTTGCCATGGCTGCAGATGACCGAGGGGTACAAGGGATCTAGGAATAGATTTCGCCCATTGCTCACACCACCTGTTGTGGGTGATCCATTCCTGATCATTGGGCTGGATGGCCCGCACCGCATCATCACTTAAACCATGAGATGAGCGGGAAGACGCTTGGAAAGTCATGACTCTCGCGAAAATATAAAGTATCCGATGATGCCATAGATCTTGATTTCCCCCACTGGTGGCCTGTGAATGATCCATGTCCATGTTGACACCCCAAGTGTTTGGATCCCAAGACAATGTCCAATTATATCGCATACAGTTCAGGAGCTCTGCACTGACGCTGATCCTAAAACATGCCCCACCTAGCCCGGGGGTTTTGGCAGTCCAGCCACATTCTCGGATCAAAGCCCGGGAGCCGGCGTTGTGATCTCCATTGTGCCTTGACCGGGTTTGCATGGTTTCGAAGAAGCCGAGGGCAAGTGCTGCTGTTGCGCAGAGTACAGAGTCACGGTTAGGATCATGGATTGCATTCAGAAGGTCCCGAGTCGCTGCGTCATAATAATGTGCCGCTTTTTCATCCCCATAAGAAGGGTTTACAAAAGAACGATGTCGAGCCCCACACGCGAGAAACGCATTTAGCAATATAGGCTCGCCAATGGCAAAACCAGGAAGAATGTGGGAAAACTGCATTTTGTGAGCAAACTGTAAGAATAGAGAGTTAGGAATGTTACCCACGTGGTTCATTTCATCCATTATGTCCATCCGCGGACCAACGTCTTCCATGAAAGTTCTGAGAAGAGAGACCTGCTCAGGGTCGGTGAGAAAAGCATGATATTCATGTTTCCCAGCCAATTTCCGCGCGAAATGGGACGTTCCGTGCGGGAGAAGTTCATCTCCAGGTACCAAGTGAGACTGATGCCAGGTATCAGTTCCAACGAAATCCGCTGCATTTGGATGGGGGACATCGAAGCTCAGCGGGTCAAACGAATGTGCCACGGATTGAAAGAGATTTGTCAAATCATCATCTCCCATAAAGTCAAAGTCATGGTGTGATTGTGTGTTCTCTTGTACAGGACTCTCCGGCTGGATGGGCGGGTATATCTCGAATCCTCCCACATACAGAGACGCGATCAAACGCGAGTCATCTCGAAATGTCACTTTCGATCCGGGGGGTCGAGCGATGATGTGTGGAGGTGCTACAGTTTGTGTATCAATGAAATTGAGACGAACCCCACGTCGACAGATGCGATCCGACTTGCGACAATTGAGACATCGGCCCACGGCTTCGTCACATTTTAAATGTCTTTGACGACAAGTGAGGCAGCCTGTGCGTACTCTTCTAGCTTTGGTGTCTGGCGCATCTGATGATTTCTTGCGGCTGGACCTGGGTCGGGGTGTGCTTTGTGAATCGCTTGCCTGGCTCTTTGGAGTGGATGTCCTCGTGCTGACATTGGGCGACTGCGGCTGCGCCTTCGCTACTTTTCGAAGGTTCATATTGCCGATGAACTGCGACCTTGGCTTTATAACGCGACTATACTTCTAATCTCCGGCGCCAACTGGAGTTCCAACCGACAGACGTTTCCCGAATACACACGATACCGTTGTAGGTTCTACCCAGATGGCCATGTTCGTTGTCGAGTTGCGATAGGAGAAGTTTCAAAATTATATCCAGCTAGAGAAAAAGAGAATTGCGACCGTCTTTGGGATTGGTGTAGCTTTGAATCCAACTACCAGGCGGCGGCATAGGAGGGGTGGCAAAAGAAGGATCGGCGAATAACTCTGGAGGGCGAAAAGAGGTCAGCTGAGGATTATCATCCGAAAGCGCAAGCACTGAATGAATATACTCACTAGCCCCTTGCTTGACCACACAGACGTCTCGAAGTTGCGGAGAAGTGGGTGGATGTCAAGTTAAAGATCGAGTCAAGAAAAAAAAGGTGGGCCGCTTTGCCAAGATCGCCGGTATAGGAGTACGAGGATAGTAATGCACATGTATTTATTTACATCAACCAAAAAAATATACATATATACAATCAAGATAAAGTACTCGAGTACTTATCACACAGGTTATCTGCAACGGGCTGAAATTTGCAGCTAATATAGTTTGTCCTGGACAAAACACTGAACCATCCCAGATTCACTGTCTAGGCTTTTCTTTCCAATCGCGGTAGCTGGACTCGGGCCAGAAATATTAACATGATGACTCCCCAGAAGGCCGCAGATATGAAGGTCAGTTGAAGAGCTGCAGAGTATGACGTAGTGACTGAGTTGTTATTAGCAAGGTCAAAGTGAGTCGACGCTCCAAAGAAATAGAACACACCTTCTCGCCGATGGATGGGATCCAAATGAGCAATAGTATCAACAGATTTGCGGACAAGTGCAATGATATGATTCTTCTCAATGCCAGTGACGTTGTTGTTAAGGTGGTATAAGAGACTATTCTGGAAGATCCAGCTGCTGACAGCCACACCCATCACGGCGCCCAGGCTTCTCCACAGCCCCAGAGTGGTTGTTGCGACAGCCTGATCTTTTTTCTCACTAGTTGCGAGAATGCCTACCATCAGGGCGGGGAATGCGAATCCCTGACCTAGACTAGATAATGAGATGCAGATCATGGAGAGTGGCTCAGAGGTGTTAATGCCCATGGATGCAGCTGCAAATCCACCTATCACCATGAAGAATACACCGATGATGACAAAAGGTTTGAGATGTCTGGTCCAGTTAATCATGAACCCAGTGCCCACACTAGAGGCAGTGACAGCTATGGAGGAAGCCAAAAGGCGTAGACCAGAATCAGTCGGGCTGGTCAGCTTCACGGCCTGAAAATACAGCGGAGCGTTGAACAGCATGGTGTGTAAAGACATGGCGGCAAAGAAATTGCCAAAGATAATACTGGCTCGAGGATTCTTTGACATGAGCTCAATTGGTAGCACAGGCCGTGGGACATACTGCTCATAATGCACCAGGATAACTCCTAGGACTAACGATGACACCAGGGAGATGATAATGATCGGATGGCCCCAAGGATAGACATTCCCTCCAAAGTTCAGACCCAGGATCAAGAGAGTCACACACATAATCAAGATGATCGATCCCAATATATCAATACTCCGGATTAACTGCCAGACTTTCATGCGTTCCATTCCAGTGTGTTTAATACCAAGGTCCGCCGGGACTGTCCAAGCGGCTGCGATAAAGTAAACGAAGATGAAAGGCAGTTGGATGAAAAACGCACCCCGCCAGCCGATATGATCACATAGGTAACCACCAAAAGCAAGGCCGAGGCTACCACCGATGCCAAGACACAGGTTAATGTATGATTGGTAGACCCCGCGATACTCGAGATGTACCAAGTCACTCGAGATGATCTGACCGATGGAGAACACACCGCCAGCACCAAGCCCACAAAGGGCGCGAGCAGCAATAAAGCCACCGATATTTTGCGCCAGGCCACAAGCTGCTGTCGTGAAGAAGAACATGGCGATAGAGAAGAGATACACAGGCTTGCGGCCAAATGCATCAGAAATACGTCCAAAAAGAGGCATAAATGCGGTCGAGGTCAACAAGAAGGCCGTTGATAGCCAGGAGGCTGAGTTGGCTGCATTGAAGTAGGAAGTGATGACTGGATGACTAGAGGCCATGAGGGTCGAGTCAAAGAAGCCGATCATGTAGCCGATCATGATGCCGCCAAAGATGATCCAGAACCTTGTGGGCGAGACATCGATGAACCTCGAGGCGTAATCTTTCTCATCTTGAGTTGAGATTCTCGGCTCTTGGTTGGGAAAGCCAGCCCCAGAACCCACCCCGACACCAAGTTCTTCGGACGCAGAGCTCGCACTGGATAGACAGCGACTGTGAGCTTCTTCGTCCGTATCTGTGGATGAGCGGGCTGATTCAACATCCGTTGCGGAATACGAGATATCATGGTAACTCGTCTTCTGTTGGACGGAATTATTGGGTAGGAGTGGGGTGGCCTCTGAGGGGCAAAAATTAACTGCTTGCCCCTCGTGGTCGCCAATAATAGGCATTTTTTGTAAAAAAACAAATGTATGAAAATTATTGCATAAGACCGAAGATTCTGCAAGCACGCAATGTAAGTACAGAAAACGCCATCAACAACGACTCAAGGGCTTCGGAAGCAGTGGTGACAAAGGAAAAAGAAAGAGAGAAAGAAAAATACGAGCCTAAGAAAATAGGATCTTTATATTAACGCTAGGACTGCAAGGCCCTATTTGATGCAGCACAGCACTAATTGCCGAGAGACAAAAAATGAGTACAGTCCATAGATGTTTTGACGTATCGGGAATAGGGTGGTTTGTCAGCGGGGTCCGATCTCGGGAACCGATAAGAAGATAGGGAACATTGTATCCAGGGTCATTTGCCCAGGTGGGCAACTGTTGTCAACTACGGAGTATATATCTTTATTTCACAACTGTATTACGTTCCCCTGCAGCTTCACGTCATTCCAAACAATGCATTCCCCGCTCCGCATAGCTGTCTTGGAATGCGATACCCCGATTGACAGCGTCAACCGCCGTTATAATGGATATGGCGGGGTATTCCGCATGCTCCTTAAAGCTAGCGCCAATGCCTTGAACCAACCCGAGAAACTCGATCCAGAAACGGGACTAGAAATCACTGCTTGGGATATAGTTAATGACGACAAATACCCGAAGCTGGAGGACGTGGATGCCGTGCTTCTAACAGGATCAAGTGCGTGTTGACTCAGTAGGCGCAAGTATTGAATGCAGACACTAATTACCGTGACCTTCAACTAGAACACAACTCCTTTGAAGATATTCCCTGGATCAACCGCCTCGTCGAATTCACTCAACAAGTCCTCGCACAGGATCGGGTCCGTCTACTCGGAATATGCTTCGGGCACCAAATCGTTGGTCGCGCATTAAACGTCAAGGTCGGACGAAGCGACCAAGGTTGGGAGATTGCCGTGTGTGATATGGATTTGACCGATAAGGGAAAAGAGTTATTTGGACGGGAAAAGATTGTGAGTTCCCCACCTGCACCTCGTGTAACAAAAGGCTGCATGACCCATGCAAGTACATGAGTACATATGCAGACAGCTGACTTATTTTTTCCCCCGCCGCAAATAGCGCATCCAGCAGATGCACCAAGATATTGTCTATAATTATCCCCCGAACGTGATTCCTCTGGGCTCCTCCCCGCGCTGCGCTGTGCAAGGTATGTATGCGCCGCGCCGCTTTATCACCCTTCAAGGCCATCCTGAATTCACGGGGGACATTACCACGGAGGTTGTCCAGGCGCGGGCCGACAGTGGTGTATTTAAGGCAGACCAAGCTCAGGATGCTTTGAGTAGAGCAAATAATGAACATGATGGTGTCGCTATTGGGGTGACGTTCCTGAAGTTCCTACTGGAGGATTGAGAGCAAGAATAAACCCCCGATGCAACACAAGGGAACTGCATTAGATTTGGCTGGCGTTCTTCAGGTTATGGCGAGTACTGGTCAGTGCTCCTTTAAACTAGTACCGAATAGATCAATCTTCATGTACATAAGACGCATTGCAATATTTGACATGTCATTAGACAACGAAGGCCTCTCAATACCTGTAACCTGCATACCGACAGGCAATCAGGTGCTACTTGGGAACGAGGTTTATATTGCAGTAATTGAGAGACCAGACTGGTACATAGAATACATTCCACTGAACTAGGGGCTCTACTTTGTTAACTATGTAGGAGGATATTACTGAATGAGGATAACTGACAGAGTCGAGCTAGAAAGTGGGCGTGACATTCCATAGTAATATAAGAATCCATGTCACACTAGCTCGCACCAGCGCTGAATCATGGGTCAAGGCCCAGACTGGAAAAAGAGAGCCAAAAAAAGAGCTAAAGCCAAGGACTCTAAAAAACAGTGGGAGAAAGAAACCCTGGTATCGTTGTAAACAAGGCCATTGAGGGCTGCCCCAGGCAAAATCCTCATGAGAGTTCATAATCACAAAACGCCTCCTTCCGCAAGCCCATAGGCCGCGAGCCCCGTAGGGCGATGCAATATGCAAACCCAAGTAAGAAACCAATCGCTTCATCACTAACGCCTTTTTTTAATGCAAGAGAAAGCGCTAAAGATGCTCAAAGGTCTAGTCGGAGACTGGAGACAAGCAAGAAAAATAAATAAATCAGTTCGGACGCGGGCGGGAAAGTCGTCTACTGCGGCGACATTTCTTTCCGTCCATGTCCGATTGTTCCAGGGTAGTGGTACCCGGTAGAGGTGGATCTGTGGCCTGACCATCTTCTGTGTCGGAGTTCATCTATCAAATGCCAAGTTAGCAAATATTCCACCTGAAACTCTTGGTTGGAGAACTCACTCGAAGATTCAAGGAAACAACCTCGTCGTGTTCATCCCTGAATGAGATACCAACGCCCAAGGTAAGATTGGAGACGAGACGTTTTTTAGGTCGGGTTCGCCGTGCGGGACGAGGATCTTCGGAATCGTCACTATCCTCCGCGGATCGCTTGCTACCCGTACTGAATGGAGAAGAAGAGCGCGAAGCCTGCAAGCTTGGTTTCATGGGGATGCCGGGGGCAGCTTTCTTATCAAATGGGACGTCGGTCTTCTCGTCTAAGAGCGCAGCGAACGCGCGGTCAATATCGCCGCGACATCTCTGGAGCATGTCGACAATTGTTTCCCGGTCATATCGGCCACCCAATCCCTCTTGGATGGATTTGATATCCCAGGGGGATAAAGGTCAACAGCAAGGCTACCATCGTTGGTTGTATAATCACTGCCAGCTTTTTCTTCTGGTAAAGAGGATTGCTTAGGGTCTATGTTGGATTTGGAGTCTGGAATGACCTCAGGCTTAATACCCTCCCCAATAGGTTGGAAAGGCTTCAGCTTGGTAAGCAGTCCTTCATGCTTGCCCTCGATACACCGCACTGAAGAGTAGTGTTTGAAGTCCTGTGGTCATTAGTGGGGCCCGATGATATCTATGATATGCATGACAGCAAGACACTTACATGGAAGGCTACATGCAGAACATCGCGGGGTTGCGTTGGGAGGGCATTGACATCCTGGAACACCGAAACACCATCCATGGTGTATACATTCAAGTCGACCTTGAAAGCCTGACAGAAAGCCTGGAGATGCTCAGAACTGCCCCATTCCCCATTCTTGCGGGTGGTAGCAATCATTTCCTGGAACCTCCGTTCCATGTCTTCCTGGGACGGAGCGGAGACATCGGCAGAGCGAGTGGCATACGCTGATGCAGCCGCACGTTTAGGCCGGCGGCGCTCCCCACCTTCAGCAACGACAAATTGCATGAAGTAATCTTTATTGGAAGCCATGTGATTGGCTAGAAGCTGGCGTATTTCGTCTGCATGGTGGGTGTCGCCATACAGTTGGTCGGAGAGGGAGTAATAGAGACAATTACCTAGCATTGGACGCGTCAGAATAGGCAAAAAAAAAACGTGACGCAGCTTCAAAACACCGCTATGAAGCTCCAAAAGCATGCAGAAGTTGTAATTGGCTTACCGTCGCCCTCCGTAGGTAGTGCATAAAGGCCTCTCTCTTGAAGAGAGGCCATCTCCAAGCTCGCGTGGTGCGTGGGTTTGGCTTGTTTGCTAGCCTGTTGGTCCTGCAACAGGCGAGGAATAGTCGGATGGGAAGAGATTGGAGAAAGAGGAATTGAAGGAAGAGATGTGTCTAACGACGCAGGCACCTCGAGGGTAGGATCGTGAGAATCAGAGCCCGTAAGTATGGGCACGATTCTGCCACCATTAGTGAGGAGTGACATATTGAAGATGAGACTCGAATAAGAGTCGGCATTTATGGGAGTGTAGACCAATAGATAAATAGACCGATAGAGAAGTAAAAAAAAAAATTTGAGAAAATAGAGAAATTGAGGTTATTGATCTAAGAATGGCAAACAAAAGGAGCCCGCAGAGTGAATTCGGGCCCTGCGGGTGGTTTGAAAAAGGAAATTGTTCGGCCCTTCGATGCCCATTTGACGACCGGGACGAGGCGGTGAACTCTGGTGCTCGGTGATTGGCCCCGGCGAGGGCGTTTGCCCACTATGACATCGTCCAATTTTCTTTGTATAAGAAAGCTTTCAGGGCATTCAGTTCTATATTTAGTAGATCAAAGGTTCTGCTAGGTTTTCTGACTCGAAAATGTCTCAAAGAAGAGTGATTTGCGAGAGAAGTGAACGTCAATTGAGGTAACTGAAGAGCCCTAGAGGGATCAAATGTGATCGATAACGTTGAATTCGAAGTGGAGTCCGGAGAGATGGAGCGGGACTTTACGGAGCTCCTTGCTGGGGGCCCAAGTGAAATCAAACAATTGAAAACTGAATCAAGGATCTAAGAGAATTGAAGAACAAACCCATTGAAGCATATATCAAAAGCTTTATATAGATAGGTATGTATTTGATACAATGGCTTCCAATCCTTTGGCCAGAAGTACGCATCACCTCCGCATAAGTGCGGAGTTGTATTTTTAAAACTTTGACCGTGTACTGAATATCCACCCATGTCTCCACTAAAAGTCTCTAGCGCGTTTATTTGTTTTTCTGGAGGCACTTGATTGGCTTGAATCTTACACCGCCGCGGTAGGATTTCCAAAGGAGGTCAAGTGCCAGTTGAGGTAATCAAGCCCTTACCACACCTTACCACATCTTACCATCCCTGGAGACAGACCCTTATCGGTTAAATGAGTGAGATAACTGATTGCCCCCTCACCCCGCTCGTAGCCCTGGACCTCACATATTTAAGGAAAACAAACCCCTTTTGTGTCAATTGTGCATATTTCTGACTTGGAACTCCAAGGAGCTTAACGTGCCCATTATGACGAATAACATTGTAGTTCTGGGGTAAGTCCCCCAAGCTCCGAGGTTCTCTAGCTTCATCCCTGCAGGAACTCCACTAACAGACGTAACAGTGCTGGTGTGTCTGGTTTGACCAGCGCATATCTGCTATCACAAGACCCTTCCAATAAGATCACTGTGCTGGCAAAACATATGCCTGGAGATTATGATATTGAATATGCGTCCCCATGGGCTGGTGCCAACTATATGCCGTATGATTGACTGAGACCGGCTCTTCGATAAAGTTCTGATTGAGTGGATCTTCTATATAGGGTGGGAAAGGAGGGAAGTGCTCATCACAAATGGGAACTCGATACCTGGCCAGCATTGAAAGAAATCGCAGAGAAATACCCAGAGGCCGGTATCCACTTCCGAGGTATGATCTCCTCCCAGAACCTGATCAGCATCCAACCCTCTAACGAAACAAAGGCACTTTGATCTACAACCGAAAGAAAGATCAAGAAACGGACACCGGAAAGTGGTTCTCGGAATTAACTCAGCCAAACCCGTGGTATAAAGATGTCGTGCCTGATGTATGTTTTAACTGGGAGACGGTGCCACATAATGTGTGACTAACGTGATGCATGCTTCCAGTTCAAAAGCATCCCCTCTGACCAATTAGCCCCTGGAGTGGACAATGGCCAGGAGTTCACATCTGTTTGCATCAACACCGCTGTCTACCTGCCGTGGTTGGTCGGTCAGTGCGTCAAGAACGGCGCCGTCTTCAAGCGAGCTGTCTTTAAGCATATCGCCGATGCGGCCAACGCCCACCATACCGGAGAGAAAGCCGACGTGGTGATCAATTGCACCGGTCTATCATCCAAGACGCTCGGTGGTGTTGTCGACGACAAGATGTATCCTGCCCGTGGTCAGATCGTCGTGGTTCGCAACGACCCGGGTCCCATGATGTCGACATCCGGAACTGATGACGGAGAAGATGAGGCGCTGTACATTATGACTCGTGCTGCAGGTAAGATCTCATATGCTAGTTTTACTGCTAGTTCATTGACTTATTTTCTCTAGGTGGTGGCACAATCCTCGGTGGCTCTTATCAAAAGCACAATTGGAGTGGAATCCCGGATATGAACCTTGCCAATCGCATCATGAAGCGTTGCATCGACATCTGCCCCAGCCTCGTCAAGGAGGGACAGGGAATCGAGGGGCTGGACATCATTCGTCACGGTGTTGGGCTCCGACCACTGAGAGAAGGTGGCACTCGCATTGAAAAAGACAAGGTCGACGGTGTGGCAATCGTTCACAATTACGGCCATGGAGGATTTGGCTATCAGGCCTCCTTCGGCTGCGCATATTCCGCTGTGTCTTTGGTCAAGGAGATCCTGCAGAACAAATCTCGCGCTAAGCTGTGAGGAACTGCATTGTACCGAGCAATCTGTTATATACTAGTAGGAATTTCAAAGATTTAGCCTTGATAATATGTTGCAAAGTTTTGTCGGCCCATGTATGCCATTGTGACGTCAATTTATAATTGTTTGAGTACTCGATTTGAGACTCAGCAGGAGAGTCGTTCACTTCCATCCATAATCATCTCATAAATTGCTCCACGATGCCAGCACACGGGACTAAAGAAACATCCCACAAAATTATCAAAGTCCTGAACGAGTTCGGTAGATCTCCTCTACATGGCACAGTACTTGCCGATCCGAAGTCGCTGAATGCCAGCCCCGAGGTAGTGTTGGCGATGGCTCTAGAGGCTCTGATTAAAGCAAAGCCAATCTCCCACGAGTTGACACAAAAAACGATCAAAAGGCTAATCGAAGCCGGGTACCATGAGATCGACGTACTTTCCCAGACTACGTGGGAAGACCGAACAATGGTTTTGCTAGAAGGGGGTTACAACCGGTATCGAGAGCAGGGGGCTACTAATCTTGGTGAGCTCGCAAAGCTGGTTGTTGAGAGATACGGTACGTCTTCGTTTCTCTCTGCGGATTCCAATCTGCGATGTTATACTGCATGTGGAGGCAAACCCTGACCTTGCATGGATACAGATGGAGATTTGAATAATCTGCTCAAGCTAGCAGATGGCAAACCCCACAAAGTCCGAATACTGATGAAGGAGATCAGGGGGGTGGGTGACTTGGGAGTTGAGGTATTCTTCAACAACGTTCAAGGTATATGGCCAAGCATTGCTCCTTCTGTCGATTCACGGAGCTTGAAGACCGCAGATGAGATTGGGATTGGAACTGATTTGGATGAAATATACAATGCGCTACAGCAGGACCCAATGCGCATGAGTTGCTTCGCTAATGGCCTCTCTGAGGTCCGGCTAGAGAAAAGGCAGGAAGTGATTGGGGAAGTCTGAAAAATGGAGAATAGCCACATGGATGGTGATGAACGGGAGATTGCCAATGTATGTTAACCAGAAAAATGATAAAACTATCGGTTTTCTTCATCACGTACACGTACTTCAGCCCTTGGCCTACGTGATCTCCCCCAATACTCATTCGCCAGAAGCTTGCTGCGAAAAGGAAAAAGGAAATAGTACCTTCCATATTCTTATTCCAAAACCACCGACATCACTTCAACTAGGCACCTTCAAAAATAAAAACATATCTCCGAGAGATGATTTACCGGTCTTTCGGATTTGGGACTAAATGGACCATCTTTTTGAAGTCAGCAACCATATTCAACAGACATTGAATAAACACGCAACCACTTACCACTGGAACAATGGCCGACATACTCAGAAACCCCAGCATGGCGGTGCATCCTGTCCATCCTAAATTCTCAAACGCAAGCTCTGAAAGCAGTGGGCCGAGTACAGTGCCAGCGCCAAATGCCGCGTCTAGGAGCATATAGGCCTCGGTGACTGCACTCTTATCGCCATATATATCAGGTTGCTCCTTCTGTACAGTATTCACAATGCGAGGTATTTCCGCCACCAACGGGGTCAACGATGTATTTAGCCCGATCCCTGTTTATTATGAGTAAATCCGCAGGTAAATGTGACTTTCAGGGAACTCAAGACGGAGCTTACCAACAAAAGATAATAGAACGCATGCCATAACCTTGTTTGTAGTATCGTCATGTTGTATCACGGCGAGAAGAGCGACTGCGACACCTGCCAACGTAAAACCCAGACCGGAGATCAATCGGACACCGTATTTATCTGAAATCACTCCAACGAATGGACCCGTCAATGATGGGATGGTCAAGTTTAAAAACATAGTTCCCGTAGCACCGGAAAACCAGTGAAAGGTCTGCTTGATAAATGTCGGGAGGACCGCGTCCATGCCACTCACCAAGATCGTGTTGATGAGACATCCGTATAACGCAGCAAATATGCAATCATTTCGAAGGAAACCTCCGACAATAGTCCACCAAGAAGGATCTTTCGCAGCCGCAGATGAGGTCTCGCGGCAACGCGAAAGGAGTGGTGTGGTGATATTTGAACCGCCTTCTTCGACTGTTAATACCCGCCGTTTTGCATTTGCAATTACACTCTCTGGCGGGTTTCCATTCGGAAAAAAGCAACTATTAGTGGAATCATTATGCCCTCTATACTTTGCAGCAGTCTTCCTGTCAATCATGAGCAGAATGAGGACCAAGTTGATGAAAACCGCGCCTAGACCCATGATGAAGACAGGATAGAACCCTGCTTTTTCATATACAATTCCTCCGAGAGGAGGTGATACGAGCACGCCAAAATTCATGCCCGACAGTCCGAAGCCAATCCAGGGTCCCAGATCGTGCGACTCGATCGTGTCCACCAACAGCGTTAATCCAGCAGTGTAGACAACACCAGCAGATAGACCCTGGAAAATCCTTGCCACAATGATCACCCATGGCTTGGCTCCAACCATGAACAAAAGTGTGGCACTAAATGCACAAGAGAGGCCTCCCAAAAATGGTATTTGGCGTCTCTCACATTTTCCCACAATCCAGCCTGCTATCGGGGCGCCAAGTACCATCGCGAGACCGAACACGGCCAAAGAAGTTGATGTCCAAAATGGGACATCAGCCTCTGGCACTCCGGACCGAACCGTTAAAGAGAAAGGAAGCACAGATACGATCTAGAAGAAAACCCCTAGAGTCAGTCGTGCCATTTGACAACTAAAATGGGAAACACATACGATCCCGTAAAGGAATCCATCAGTGAAGGTAGTTGAGAATACAGCAAGGCCGATCAGTTGCTTAGATGAGCGCAGATCGAAAAGCCACGGTTTTCTTGATATGATATCCCCCATAATGATTTCGAGATAACCAAACAAGAATCAAACTGAATCTCGATTTTATTTCCCCCCGATGTCCCCTCGTAAAGGTAAACAATAATCCTTTAATGGGAGAACACAGGCGTGTGGAAAGTCAAGTCTAAGGTGAAGATGTAAGGGGGAAGGTGCAGTCAAGACAGAACTTGGAGCTGTGTAATTTTGCATTAAGACTACTCGGTATATGAACTATAATTAAATTGAGTAATACCTTCAGCAATAAGCAGGTTTTAATATAAGCAGTCTTAGTCTCTTGAAATATTGGCAACTTAGTCCAAGATCCAACCAGTTATTCTCTACACCCTAGTCCGTAGACCTGCATGGAGGGATGATACATCCACATTATCTGCATGATTTATTGACGATCAACAAAACTGATTGGGCTAATTATTATGTATTTGGTTGAATTCTCCACCGGGATCGCAAGTTACAACAGCTGAACGATTTACTGTGGGGCAGCTGGGCATGCAGAACATTTTCAGGGCCCTTCGAAGTGGATTGGTGTTGGTTTAACGGGAGCTTGTTGCCTACAACAACTTCTTGAGTGGGCATAGTGGTGAACGAAGTACATTTAGGTACGTATATTGGTATCTTTAAGTATCTCAAATGGAGTCCGGGCCCTTTCATTGTATTGCTGGATCTCATTGCTTTTTCGGGCACGATCTTGCTTTTTGCCTTGAAACTATATACTGCCTCATCTGATCACACTTCAAAAAATTTCTCCTCAATATAGGTATACCATTCGATTGCAACCAATCACAATACTGAGCTGCTATATCATCTACCCAGTTTGACACAGAGAATTAATGAGATAGACTCCAGTGAACAATCAAACATGATCAACTCTATTTTTGCACACGTAAATTTCCTTGGGGTAAATAAAGAGCTATGGTGTGTTCTCTGACGCTTGATGTTTCTGTTATTGGTAGAGATGATGGAGAGTAGTGAACTTTTCAGACATAAATCACGGCTTCCAGGTATCATATTCAACAATTGACACAAACAGTAATCCGCCCATAGAGTTTTTGTATCAGTGCTTACTGCTAGGGACAAACTTTACAAACTAGGTATCCTCTATACTCACTAGCTTAGGCGTAGAAGCAGAAAGCGCACTTGACGAGGGTTTGAAGCCTTTGATATAATATAGTCATATGTCAAGCCCTCTGGTGAAGTCTCTTTGTGTGCTATACCTGATTTTTAACCTTGTAAGTCAAGCATCCCTTTCATCAAACTTAGCACATATAGTAGACACATACATGTATATATGTGGTTTTCGTAGGTTTCGACTTTCTGTCTTCTCTCTTTATTTTTCTTCCCATAATTATAACTGTGCCTTTGTGCTGTCTTGATGAGATGGTTACATTAAATGCTGCAGCTTCCGGATACCTACCTTAGCATATATTATAAATTCATACCTGACATTCGAGAGATCAATGATAGGTAAGTAAAGACCTGTAGCCCTACGCCAAGGAAATACTATTCTTAATACAGCATAGCGTCCGCATTGGCCCACGGCAAATCACGTGAGCCACCAGCTGTCTTGGCAGACCCGCTGGTTGCGACAGCGCAGCAGCTGTCGAGGCCCTCATTTCCACTTCCCCCTGTTCTGCTTCATTCAAAACCCTGGCAAGCTCTTTGATCAAACGTGCGTTGCTCATTAAAGCTTCCCTCAGACCCCGTATTTCACCTCAAAGGTAAGTTTCATTTTTGTCATAGAACCAGGAAACTGGGGTCCGGCCTGGCGAACTCCGGCGAACCTAACTTCCATCATCATTTGAGCGATTGGCGAGACTAAGCAGCATCGTATTCGTATGATAAGCTAACAGAGCACTGCTGAAGACCCAATTTAGTTGCTCGACGCCAATTCTTTGTCAAAACTCTGCAGCCTAACGACTCACCCTCCACATTGATTCGCGAGCAACCTTGAGGATTCACTTCCATCTCATAAACCCTCTAAGGAAACTATCGCAATGGATTTCACAAACATCTTGTATGTTAGCTCTTCCGGGATATATTTGTGCCAGTACTGATCCAATGCAGCCGTCTTGTCAACATCGCCGTGGGCGTGTTTATGGTGCTCGGTGGCATCAGTAACTTCTTCACCGGCACCTGGAGTTCATTCATTCTCGGCGCATATGCAGTTGTCTTCGGTCTTGGTAGGTCCCGATGCTGATTTGAACTCACGACGCCAATAGTCAGTGCTAATATCATCCTAGTCGTCGGCGGACTGGAGTTCCTCCCCCATGTTCCGGACTACGCGTACCGTTATGCGTCGTTCCTCTTCTCCTTCCTGGGCCGTGGTGTCTGTAAGTTATACCTTTGCATTCTCCTAGATCCGAGGAAATTCGGTGTCTAATCACTTCCATCAACAGTCTACATCTTCATCGGTTCCATTCTGTTGCACGACCACGTGCTGCGCATCATTGATGGTTCGCTGATCGCCTTCATCGGTCTCGGATACGTCGCCCTCGAGTTCATTCCTTCTATCGAGCCCCCCTCCAACATGCGCGAATCTGACCAGGGCTGGGGTGCCGAGCAGGTCTAAACTGCCTCCTGCGTAGGAGGTGACAATTTTTCCTGTCGCGTTGGCACTGTGACGGATACTGTCTAATCAGGCGGTTTCCTTCAGCATGCGGTATGCGATATTCGATGAGCACAATGACCTTAAAGGACGCCGTCGAGTCTGAGTTTGATCGGTGAAGGATGTCATTATAAGGAAGGGGATTTGAAGAGGAGAATGGGACGGTTTTGCTGGGTCGATATTTTTGTTGATACCAGCGCAAAGGGACGCAGAGAGACACCTGTACTATATTTGTGACGTGGTGAGCTAGCATTGTCTAGCAGCATTGGCATGCTCTAATGATTTATTGATTTCTTATTACTCCGTACAGTAGATTTCTTGTTACAGTAATCCGGTGAGAGATCATCTGATAATCAAGGAGCTAGTGCAGGGACTTCCTAGTGCCGAAATTTCCATGTATTACGGAGTACTCCGTATTCGTATGGGTACGGAGTTTGTACTTTTGTCTTCGTACAACATACAACGGTGTACTCCCGTATTATGTTACAGTACGAAAGTACAGCGTGGCCATATCGCTTCGGCTTGTTCCATCTCCAAGAAACCAATCGGAACATCCAGAGAGTTGATGACAAGGTTAGTCATCTATTTTCAACCAATCACTGGCATTAGATATTTGATTGCCTACCATTGCCCCACTCTAACCTCAGTTGGGGAAGGTGTAATTCCCACTCTTCCCACTCTTTTCCTTTCTTTTTCCACCTTTTCCACATTTTCCACTGTATTTTCACTTTTCAACTAAACTTCATCAGGCCATAGGTGGAGTCTATAATGCAATCGGGGACATAGAATCATGCAGAATCACCAGAGATTTCCCGTAGAGTGAGTAGAAGACAAAGAAGTAGGAACAAAAAAAGGGGAAAAAAAGGAGAGAATGATTAGATGAGATTGATGTGATCCTCGGCATACGGTACAGATTAAAGTGATAGATTGATATGCCGTCGATCCCCCCTTCCACTTAGATCGATAAACTCCAATCCCTTTCTTTGGCGATAAGCAATACTCGGTCTCGCCTCTTTGTCCCATTTCTCTCATTTCTCTCCTTTTCATCTTTCCTTCGGTTTTCTGAATTGTCTTGGACACCTCTTCCTATATCATATCCTCCAATACCTGTCCCCCCCTTATCGCCTTCACCACATCTTGTGTGCCCACTTTGCTTAATCCCAACGCGGAGTGATCACCATCTTGCAGCTCCCTAGCCTGTCGACCAATCCCTGCCTCGCTGTTCGTGCTTTTGCATCGGGCCCTCGTCCCCGAACGAAACTGCCCCCCACGATCGCCTGCTGGTCACACTAGACCTGGTGGTGTGCTGTCAATTATCGCAGTCACTATCACCTGACTGTTCCAGGCCGTCGGGTCGCCACTGTTCCATACGAGCCGGTTACTATCTTTGGTGGCGGGTCGACTCGTTTAATATACTCGACACTCGATTTCCTGATTCCTGTGTGGCGGCATCCGAATTCACTTCTTTTCGACCGCGATCCCGAGTCATCGTCCGCTCTGCGATTCCCCCGATCCTGCAGCATCGTGGCTGCATATCTTCCTGCTGGACTGACTTTTCCCATCTTTCTCCAACCCGTCAGCTTGACCGACATTTGGTTTTTGAGTGATACGGCGCATTCCGCTCTCGACTGTGGTGTGACATCGCCCTCACATCTTAGGATTTTCACTCTCCCTTTCGCTTCCGTCGTTTCGTTCCCACTCGACCCTCCCGCTCTAAGAATCACAACGGCCGAAGGATTCTTGGCCCGAATCACCGCTTGTAATGTTAGCGTCTATCCCACAAATGGAAGCGCTTCACTCTTTGCCCCGAAATCAGGACGTTCCAATGCGACAACCATCAGCGGAAGATTTGGATGCTGCGCAGCAGTTGATCTCCTCCGCGCAGGCAGGTCGTGAACATTTAGCAGATCATTACCGGGAGGATGGCATGGTGCAAGGATCTGGTCAACCGGGAACAAATCAATGGATTGGACACAATGAACCCCCGAGCGAGAAAACATCCCCTGGCAGCCAAAAAGACACAACATTCCTGGGGCATTCATGCAGGTGAGTCCCGACTAGGTGGCTTTCATTGATAATTAGGTTATAAGGGCTGACCCCGTCTCTTCTTTTTAGCAATTGCGGCACAAAAAGCACTCCTCTCTGGCGTCGTTCGCCCACGGGAGCGATGATCTGTAACGCCTGCGGTCTCTACCTCAAAGCTCGCAACGTCGCTCGTCCTACGAAACGGAATCGCATGCAACCAGAGGGGGCCGAGAAGCCACCGGCTCCTGCGAGCTCTCACTGTGGAGGTTCCTCGGAAGGTGGTGGTTGCAAGGGGTCATGCCCTGGTGGTGGGAGTTGTAATGGCACTGGTGGCGCAGAAGGATGCGATGGATGCCCGGCATACAACAACCGGATATACAAGTCTGCTCCCCGAGGAGCCAATGCCATTCAGTCGTCGTGGGGCCGCCATCCAGCGCAAGAGGTTGAGCCTGTGACGCAAGAGGAGCCACCGGTAAAGATCCCTGCTCCTGCCGATGGCCCCAATACCTTGGTTGCTTGTCAAAATTGCGGCACAACCGTGACTCCTCTGTGGCGGCGCGATGAACAGGGCCACCCCATTTGCAATGCTTGTGGTAAGTCTGGATTTCGTATAGATTTGATGGTATGATCTCTAACCCAACGTAGGATTGTACTATAAGCTCCACGGATGCTATCGCCCCACCAACATGAAAAAGTCCATTATCAAACGTCGCAAACGTGTTGTTCCCGCCCTGCGGGATCAGTCCCCCACCGCTGCTACCCTTTCTTCCAATGGTTCATCAGCATCCCCAGAGGCGTCACCTGCCGCCCTAGCACATGGCCATGACGATCACTATCGATATATGAGCAGTGAGCCTGCGGATCACTACCACATGATGCCTGGAAAGACCGAAGATGCACCTCGTCCTTTGCCGTTTGCACCACCGCCGGTTGATTTTACCGGTTACAATGTTTCATCTGTGCCCCTTACACATGGTCTCTCTGTCTCCCACGGCCTTCCCAAACCATTGGGAGTGTCTCAGTACGGGCGGCGGTCTGCCTCTCCAAATCCCCTCAACCTTCCTAAAAAACGAACATTGGCCGAGACCGCGACAGAGGCCCTACCGGCCCCGTCTACATTGGAAGCAGGATCAAATCAACTGCCTCCCATTATGTCTTCCGCCAATCCTACTCCCCCCGGTCGTCTCAGCTCAATCTCGTCCATTCTGAACCAATCAGATGTTCGGGGCGAGCCTCGCCCAGATACCAATTTGGGACGTCCACCTCCTATTCACCACTCTATCTCCCCTTCGCCCCACCCGCCGCAGTCCTTGCCTGGCCTTGCATCTATCGGAGACTCGGTTGATCGCCGTGCCCGACTTGAACGCGAAGCTGAGCAGATGCGCGAGATGCTCAGAGCAAAGGAGCGCGAGCTGGCAGAAATGAGACGATAGATTCGACGCCTGCCCAAGTTGTGACGAAAATAATGATATTCGGATAATGTTTTTTCAAACTGGTGTTCCTCGTGAGATAAATGGCGCATAAAGATACCACTCACGTTCCTGGGATCTCTTATCCCTGGCTGTGTTATTACTATTTTTTTTTTTAAAAAAAGTGTGTGTCAAATGAATTGTATTTTATAATGTGCCGTTGCTATCTATTTACTTTTAATGGGTTCCTCGATGACCATATAGGTAGATGTATCTTAACTGTTACTTCCCGAGGACCGATGTCATAATGACTTCCAACGTACAAATCCCCAAATCCAACCTCGATCAACTCAATTGGAAACAGATTAAATCCGCTCTAAACTACTAATTCAAATTCTTCATACTAACCATTGTCTACAATGTCCACCTCGAAGGACTTCACTTTAACCTTCACAGGTGATGTAATGCTCGGCCGCCTGCTCGACCAACTAATGCCCGAGCACGTCCCCAACCAGCACGACGAGCGCATCGCTACAACCTTCATAAAAGCCCATCCAACCCTCCTCTCAAAAGGAAACTATACACCCTCATCTCCATGGGGAACAACCCTCCCCCCTCCTCCACTCCTCTACCCTAGCATGCATCAACCTGGAAACCGCCGTAACAACAGCCCCAATCCCGTGGCCCAACAAGGTATTCAACTACCGCATGCATCCAGCAAACCTAGGCCCTATTCTGCACGCCGGCGGCATCGACTATGCAAGTCTTGCCAACAATCACACACTGGATTTCGACACCGAGGGTCTCACAGAGACTGTGCAAACATTGCAACAGGCGAACGTCACATACGCGGGGGTGGGTGAAACAGCCAACGATGCACGCAAGCCTGCTGTGCTACATTTACCCAGGGCCTCAGAGCCGATAGAAGAAGGCAAACACCGCCACACGGTCCATATTTACTCGGCCTCTGACCACCCGCGCGTCTGGGCCAGCGTGCCGGGATTCAATATGTTCGATTACACGCGCGACACGCGCGCTCGGCTGCGTGAAATGCTTGTTGATGCCGAGGAAACCAAGCCTGCATTGAAGATCTTTTCGGTTCACTGGGGGCCGAATTATGCTTGGCAGCCTGATGGACGGATTAAATCTCTTGCGCATTTCTTGATCGATGAGTGTGGGGTGGATATTGTCCATGGGCACTCGTCGCATCACGTTCAGGGTGTAGAGGTTTATCATGGGAAGCTTGTTATTTACGGGTGTGGGGACTTTGTGGATGATTATGCTCTCAATGAGGAGTATAGGAATGATCTTGGGGCTTTGTGGAGGGTTGTTGTTCGGGAGAAGACTGGTGGTGGACTTGGGTTGGAGAGATTGGAGATCTTCCCTACACGGGTTGACAGGTTTAGGGCTGTTTTGTTGGATTCTAAAGATGCGGACCATGTGTGGATTAGGCGGAGGATTCGTGAGCTCAGTGGAGAGTTGGGAACAATTGTGAAGGCTGGGCTTGGGGAGAAAGGGGAGATTATTGTTGAGTTTTCTGGAGAGTAGATCTTCAGGTATGTATGTTGTAGTAAGTGAATCTGAGATCATGCGATTTGAGTGTCCACCATGCGAAGCACACTATGTATTGCCTATGACATACATGGCCAAGAGATGGGCTGTTCGTCAAATAGTTCCCCAGATTTCTGGGATTTCCAACCTCGGCAGTAGAAGTGAGTATGCAATGAGTCTTTAAGGTTGATCTCGTATCGCTAACTCCAGATATTTCTCATTCTGTTGAATCATATTATATATAGAAAAGCTCTTTTGCACGTCTAAAAACTCTTTTACGGTGTATATTCTATATATCGGAGAAAGATAAAAAAAAAGGGGACACGTCTAGATAACTACCAAAAGACATATATCACAAGGCTACATAAGTGGTGGACTATTCTTGTACGATCTGGCTGTATGTTGGATATCAGCAGCATCGTATATTGCTCATACTTGGTTGGCATTTTAAGATAGACCTGAGGTCCGAACTCAAATACTGAAAAAAAGTAGGTATAACATAGTCTGCCACTGCCAATCAGTTTGTCAGTACGCCCCCAGGCATCCTGGGGCAAGCAACATGTAAATGATGCGACGGCGCTATTGAATTTAGTGTGGTAATACTCCATGGCCAGTAGCACCCGAAAGAGTCATGGAATCATAGCATGTCCTGTGCACTGACTCATTCCATGGCTCTTTCATGTGGAGGTCATCCACTTCATTATTGGACTGTGGCGATCATTGCGTTGTTTCATGAATTAGCGCTCTGCAAAAGAAGATCCTCATGTTTTGGCACTCGGGTGGCAAAGGGATGTAACCCCCAACGAACAATAGTTCATGCAGTACAAAGCATAGAGTACTCCGTATGGAAATAACAGAATAGAATAGTCTTGGATATAAAATAGAGGAGCATTAAGGGGGAACATAACCTAACTCAATTAGGAAATGATATGAATGATCACTCCGTCGATCCTACGTAGGTACCAGCTTGTTCCTTTCCTCCCTTTCTTTCCTTTCCACCGAAGTCTTCTTTTGTCCAGTGCCTATGTTTCATCAAATGTGTCGAACAAATTCATTCCACCGTGCTACTTGCAAGATATTTAGAATGTACTTCAACGATGCACATACCCAATCACACGTGCACTTCAGTAAATGGATAACACCGCTAGGGCCTGGCCCTAGGATCATGCAGCATGCAATATCAATATTATTACTACCGGTAGAATCACGGCACTTGATCAATGCCACCCCACCCGACATTAATTTCCTTCAGGAAAAGCTATATCCACAACCAGTAAACCCACCACATACTTCCATTAAAGCGGGTCATCCAGACTGACATACTGGCTCATTCTGAACTGCTATACCCAACAAGGAAGCTTGAAAAGATAAATTGGATTTTCCACAAGCAAATTTATAGCCATATGCCAATCTTTACCCCATTGTGTTAGTCTCTCACATCATTCTTCCGCGGGGGTCCATATACAGGGTACACGCCCCCACATGGTGTACACTCCGGGGTCGGAGTTATTACCCAGGCGAGCCAAGGCTTCCCAGCAACTTGGATAAAATCACGAAGATCACCGACTGGTGCGGCGCTATTGAGCAGACTATTCAAAATCTGTGGGGTTTCCCATGAAATCGACTACCCAGATTTGGTCGTGCCATGCGTGAAATTATTCTCCGCAGTTTGTTCAGACAATGATCGACATTGAGATCATGCTCAAATGAGGTTGTTTCTGTTCGCTGTCTCTGAGTCTCCGAAATGGATTATTTTCTCTTCTGATGTCAGATTCACTTTCCTGGCGGTCTCGACTCCAAGTTCAAGGCAGTGAGGTGCATCGAACCGAGGCCATTGTGCTACTGCTACGCCGGGCATGATCGATTGAAACATTTGCATAAGCTCACACGCTCGTTTTACAACTACTCTCGCTACATTTGGTCCTTGACATCGGTATTCAATATGCATGGTTTCATTCACACATTGCTTCCTCGTGAGGATGATAATGGAGCCTCTCACGGCCGGCGGGCATTGGTGGTGACTGCAGTACTAACCACCATTTCAACTGTCATTGTCGCAATGCGGTTCTATGCTAGACTTGGACTGATGAAAATTACCGGTCGTGAAGATTGGGCTATTCTGATCTCTTTGGTGTGTCCCTCGAAGAGCACATCAAAAGCTCAATGAGCAGCTCGCTAATAAGTTATATGTGCAGACATTTTCCATTATCTACCTTGCACTCGTCGCTGCCCGTAAGTTCACAATGCATCGGTGAATTCAGGAACCACCCCCACTAATATGGATGATAGAACTACATTATCAGATGGGCGTCCACTCATCACTTCTTTCCAGTCATGTCTTGCAGCAACAACTTAAGGTACCCTTTACTCTTTACATACTTTTTTTTGTTAGTGTAAACTAACTAGACTTAGTGTTTGTGGGCTGCAATTCCCATGTACAACGCTAGCTTGGCATTTACCAAATTCTCCATTCTCTTCCAATATCTGCGCATCTTCCCCGGCAAACCTTTCCGCCTTGCCTGTTATATCACGATGGCTATCGTGGCTACCTACTCGTCATGGGCCATTGTGAGTGGCTTTGTGAACTGTGTCCCAGTGGCCAAATTTTGGATCAGGGACTTACCAGGCAGCTGTCTCAAATTCGAGACTATCTGGTTCTTCAATGCTGCTATGAATATCACAACCGATATCGCATTACTATTGTTGCCCATGCCACTACTCTCCAAACTACAGCTGCCCCGCACACAGAAGATCGCCCTAATGGGCGTCTTTGCCATGGGTATCTTGGTTGTGATAACCAGCATTCTCCGTCTTTCTAGTTTACGAGAAGTAGCAAAAAGTTCCGACACTTCATGTACGCCATATTCTTGTCCTCCCCAATCCATTAATCCCAAGGCTAATCTACTATACAGACAGCAACGTCACAGCTGCCTACTGGACCGCCGCAGAGTGTAACGTCGCCATCATGTGTTCCTGCCTCCCATTCTTGCGACCCATAATCAGCCGCATCTTCCCCAAGCTTCTGTCAGCAGGAAGCTCCAATCGATATGCTGCCAACAAACCCACCGTGACAAACCTCACGGGAACTCGCACTATAACACGCCATACTCAGCTGTTTAGCCAGAACCACGATAAGGACTTCGATATGTATTCGATCAATGTGAAGCCTGGTAACCACTCCAATCACAGTTCGCTCGGTGGCATCGAGGTTACCACCGAGATGAGCGTTATGCAGGAGGAAACTTCGAAGAAGAGCACCAGCCAGCGGAGGCTGGTTATGGATGCTTGATGCCTTTTTTTCACTCTTTCGTTTGGATACATATATTCTTCATCTACGTTCGGATATACGCACGAACTTTTGTTTTACTTTTCATGATTTCATTGGGACGACATACTTCAGCGGCAACTTCTCTTTCTTTTGTTTATGAACTTGGATTCGGCATTTTGATATATAGTTCTACCATGGGTGGCTAATCGACAACTGTTAAATAGAGCACTATGAAAGTATGGCACCGTGTAGATATTGGACCCAATTGCAGCTTGGAACTATAGAATTGTATCAGCAATAGTTATCAAACTGTCTAATTACTTTGATAAAGAGGTAATCGTAGAGAGGTCTAAGATCTCTAGTTAACTATTTAGTGGGGATTAATATAGACGGGCGGTATAAGTTTAAGGAGACTTGATTTGGTCTTGATACTGGGTTACTTGTATATACTGAACATATATGTATGTAACCAATGTCATTTTGCACTCTTTGCATATTATTGGGCCCTAGTATGTAGTTCGATGAAACGATGCTGGTCGCCGCAAAATCAGATACGTGTTGTGTAATTGGTTCTAAGAGCGGGAGAATTCTATATCAAATGGGTAAATATCCAAGCGGTGATCTAAAACATCTATCTCTAAATAAACCAAAGTAATATCCAAATCAAGTAACATGCTCCTTCTCCTCCTCCTTCGGAATCCTGACCCAAACAATTGTGACCAACGCAGCGAGCAACTGTGCCGCAAGGGCAAACCACCAAATAGCATGCAGTCCATCAAGACCAATTTCTCCAGACGGGCCTCTATCAACACGGGTCCCAATAGCATCAGCAACACTAGTCAAGATCGCCGACGAAAGATTCTGGTTCGTAACCAACAAAGCACCCGCACTTCCCTGATAGGACCGTTCAACATTACTAGTAATGAAGATCGAAGCCGCCGCAAAAGCAAGATCAGGCCCGAATGTCACCAGCGAAATACCCGGGAACGAAAGCGCCCAGTAACTGGTGTGAGCAGTCTGGGGCAAGAAAAATGCCGGCCCAAGTGTGAAGGCTAGCATAGATACGGCATAAATATAGTGGCCGGGGACGAGGTGCAGAGTGCGGGCGACGATGACGGTCGCTAGGACACCGACCAGCGCATTGGGGATGTGATATAACGCGACAGCAATGGGGCTGGCGTGTTGGATTCGCAGCCAAAACTGAATAGCGTAGAATTGCCAGCAGCCGAAGAAGGACCCGAAGCCAAGGAAGTATGCGATCATCAACGGAGTGAAGCCCGGTGTGCGCCAGAGCCGGTTAGGGATGAGAGGTCGAACGGCGCTGCGCTCGGCAAAGAAGAGCCCGACGAAGAGCGCAAAGCTAACGATGATTAAAACATATGTGTAAGGGGCCCAAGAAGCGACGGGACCCTGCGTTAGCCCGAACAAGAGGCACACGCAACCGCCGGCCGCGCAGAAGCCGCCGATATAGTCAAATTGCTTGATTGATGGTGCTTCCTTGCCGGAGACATCGGCCATAGGCTGGAGAGGTGGTATAGCGAACCATGCCGCGGCACACAGTAGCACACAGATAATGGCGTTTGAGCCGAAGATCCACGGGAGGTGTTGGTACAAGGCTCCACCCTGGATTGCGCCGAGGGAGAACCCAAACGGGGCAGTAGCGGCCATTGCTGAGAACACGCGGTTCTTGCGAACACCTGGTGTGTAGACGCGGCCGAGGATGCTCATGCTGCCTGAGACGAGGACGCCGATGGCGAGACCCTGCATGGCGCGCATAACGAAGAACAGCACGTAGCGGGATGGGTGGAGGGTGAATGCGCCGATTAAGTTCCACACGGCGAGCCAGGCGAAGGCTCCGACCATCAGGAGTTTTGGTGGCATTAGGTCTGTAAGCGAGCCGGAGATGATTACCGACAGCCCGTTGGCTGTGTTGAAGGCACCGACGACCCAGGGGAGCTGGGTGTTGGTGATGCCAAGGGCTGTTTTGATCTGCTCTTGTGGGGCGAGCATGTCGCCTAGCAGGAAAGAGAAAAGCATTAGGCCTGCTGAGCAGACGCAGATTAGGACGAGCTCGGCTGTAAAGCTCGAGAGCTCGGGCGGGATGCCTTGTTTGCTGCGGATCGGGGATCCCGATTCTTCGTCGGAGCTGTCGGGGTGATAGCGGGATACTGAGTCTGCATGTTTTCTATTTTTCATTTTGTTTGTTGTATCAAGGGCATAGCTCTCGTTGATTTCACGGTTGATATCATTGATAGAGAGGTCTTGGAGAGCGACTTTGTCCACAATTTTGTGACCCATCAGTGGATCGGGGGTTTGCGCCCCGGTCGCTGGTGTTGAGTATGTTCTTGTGTAGGACATTGAAGACCGGCTGGATACTGGCGCTGAGTCTTCATCTTGACCATGTGGAAGGGTAAGATCTAGATCCTGAGGCCCATTGACGCGGGGGTCTGCACCCGCGTGCGGTTCAAATGACATAGTCAATTTGACAGAGACACAATAGTTTCAAGGTTACCACAAAAGACAATTTTGGGAGGGTTGAAGAAGAAGAAAAAATTATTTGAAAGATGGCGAAAAACGGCTAAATGATAAGATGTGAGTGGAGTTGGTGGAGTTTAGATTTTTATCCACAGAAATAAGGTCAGGCATCGATCTATGTGTACTATATACTTGTGTAGTTAGATACTTTTTACTATTACTACAAAGTACAATATACTTGATGTATAATGCCTACGTACAACGTACCTCCTACATATAATTTACAACGTGCTCATCCGTCCCCCTTGCGGAAGCTTGCGTACACTCTTAAATAGTGGATCTACATATGCAGTTTGTGTTTCAGGAACAGGTATGTGTATAGTCAGGTCTAACGAGAGTTTTGTTCCCAAGCACCCTGATCTAGACGCATTGGCCCCCATACCGAACCCCGAGACGGTTCGCATCTGTTTCATTGGGAAGCAAGAGGAAAACAAGACAATAAACATGGCAATCGTTTGCAAGCTGCATGAGAGCAGTCGATCTACTCCTGACATTATCTGTGGAATGTTACTAGGGAATGAATTGCGAGTCAAATGTATATCAATGTCGTCAGCCTTAATCTGATCTCCAATGATTGACACGATAATTTGATGCCCAATGTCTTCGATATTTTCATCCAATCGGATGCACGGCATGACGGAATCCGATTTCCGAAGCCGAAGGGACACAACGGGACCTTGCATCAGGCTAATATCCGGTTATTGTCAGACCGCTATTCCCGTGTGATGATCATCGAGGGTTCTTCTGATCTACACTTGATCTTCAGGGTCTCAAACTATGAACCTGGATGTTCAACTAAGCTTTGTCAATCAGCATCACCCTACATGCACACGACGTCATATCAGGCACGTCCTCCCCTTGCTGAGAGGCGGGGCTGAACTATGCAGTACGGCCTGCTAATCTTGAGATTTGCTCAATTGAGTCCAAATTGAAAATCTAAGTCATTGCTCTTTCATTCGTGATGCTAAATCAATATACAAGTATCTTTTATATGCTTATTTGCCGAAGACCTTGTAGCGGTCCTCAATAGGAGCGAAGGTCTTCTCACCGGGCTCAGAGTTGGGAGTACCGAAGACCAGCTGGGCATCCAACTTCCACGAGGCGGGGATGTTCCAGGTCTTGGCAATCTGCTCATCGATGAGGGGGCTGTAGTGCTGAAGGTTGGCACCGAAGCCCTCAGACTGAAGGGCAGTCCAGACTTGAATGATAGTTAGTTTCAAATTGCTTATTTCTGGCCAAAGGCCGAAGAAGAAAGACACATACCGAGGTACTGAGACATAGCATTCGACTCCAGGGCGAAGGGGTCGAACTTATCGGCGTAGATAGCGAACTTCTCCTTGATAGGAGCGAGCGACTCGAAGTCGACAAAGAAGAGGACCTGGATGAATGGGTAAGCTGCTGATTCGCCATTTTGGTGCAAAATGGAGTCATATTGGGTGAGGGGAAACGCACAGTTCCATAAGCAGCGCGGAAAGCGTTCAGCTTAGGCTTGGTGGAAGTCTCGAACTGTTCCTTAGGGACGTGGCCAGCAGCGACCAGACCCTCCAAGGCATTAATGGCAATATCCCACACCTTCTTGTGCTCCTCCTTCAGCAGGAGGACAACACGGGAGGTCTGGGTGTTGAAAGAGCTGGGAACGTGGAGAACGGAGTCCTGAACAATGCGGTCGATGACATCGTCAGAGACGGGGCTCTCTCCCTTGAGGTCGTAGTAGGTGCGGCGAGCCTTAACCAACTCCAAAAGAGTGGAGGTAGCAGTGTTCTTGAATTCGGGTTGAGTGGAGCCCATTGTGAAGGTGTTTAGAGGAGACAGGTGGATGATTAGTTGTGGAGTGAAGTGGTATAGAGCAATTCCAAGAAGGAGAAACAACAGGTGGACCGGGATGGGGTTCTTATACATGATGTGGATTGCGAAACCATAAAATCGTGGCATCGCCATAATCCTTTTTCTATCGCTTTCTCCATCCCACTTTCCATTGATCCTTATGGCCCCATATCTCGGTGTAGATTGGCCACTTTCAGCCAATCACCGTGCAACATAACCTCGCGGCCGGAATTAACAGTCTCCGAGCCCCTCTTCACGTGAGTAAGCGGAGATGAAGACCACAATTAATCAGCACTAGCACAATTTCGGATATATTATCAAAGCGTTACCAAGCAATACGGGGCTGTTCTATTTTTATACTGACAAATCAACGCGGAATTTATTCCTAGGTACGGAGTCAAATATCATATTCGAACTATTGTGTTCCTAAAATTCACCCTATCTCACCATAGGTTCAAACTTTGATATGGTTGATAGACAAAATGGCAAGTCCATTTTAGTCAAAATGAACCATCCAACCCCTAGCTCACACCTCAAGTTCAAATCCAGAACATAGCGCTAGCTACAATCCCACACAGGAATACCACGGGCGCAACCTTCTTGACTCCGTGGTTTTTTATCGCCATTGGAACAGTGACGGTGGCAATAGCGGTCTGGTTTTGTCCGCAGTCACATTTACAATGACACGGGATAGAGGTGGCAAGAACGGTCACCGTCACTGTCGTGGCATTCTTGTTAACCGGCGAAGTTCCATTGCCGAAATAAGTTGGGCCACCAGTTGTCATGGCTGTCGAATTCAGGAACCAAACGGAGGCAGATCCAAAGGTAGTAGTGGTCGCGGTCGCGGGCGCGGGCGCAATCAAACTCGCGCCACTAGTTGAAACATGAGAATCGTCAGAAGCTGTGGTTTCAGTCGTGGTAAAAGGCGCGGGGAAGTCTCCAGTATCTGTCACGATCAAGGTTGCGGGGAAAATTCCGAGAGTGGAATCGTCGCCCATGGCTGGAACAAGCACTGTGGCCGAGGTGACAGTACTAGTTTCGTGCAAGGATTTTGTTTCTGTGCAAGACGCGCCTGTAGGTGTCGGAGAGCCCATGAGCGTGCAACCTGAGGTGAAGTCGAATTTATAGCCATTGGCAACCATGTCATATGCTATATCTAGAAGTCAGCATAATGTCCTGTCTGGAAGGTGATGGTGTTGTTATATTCTTACTGCTAGGCCCATAGATAACAGTCAGATCTGGCGTAAATCTGTGACAGGCTGTTTGGTCCGAGAGACAGTTGATTCCGTAGGTTGTTGTTGCATCGTTCTGCGTTTATTGTTAGTAATTAGCCATAGGAGAAGCAGACGAGAGACATACAGCTCCTATTGCCTTGCCTCCATAGCCGTGGAAGTAATCAGGTGCATCTGTGACCCATGGGATCGTCTGTATGATGTTAGTTTTCTGAATATCTTGGTGGCGTTGTGGGAGGTAAACAATTGTCGCGTCTTTGTTGGCAACCCCGAGAGCAACCCAGAAGAGTTGGATCACCAACGCGAGTAGATATCTGAATAACATCCTGTAGATTACTGACGGGATGTTGAGAAGCGTTTCTTAAAGAAGAGAATTTTCAACAGAAGAAATATTATGAGACGCGAGTGTTTCGAAATGAGGGTTTGAAATGAGAAGCCATGTAGATCGGAAACAATGTAGTATGAACAATCGGACAAAGTGAATGGAAAGTACAATAGACTGAATGATTGGAAAGAGCGAATGACAGTTAGATGCCTAGCCAGTAAGGCGTATATGACCTAGTTTAATATATTTCTAGCACATAGAACCCCTGGAGAGATCTAGGAACGAGGTCTTGACATTACTTTTGTCCATGCAAAACAGCCCATTCCTGCTTGACTGAAATCCCCAAACCTCCATTTTGCATCTGATCCATATCCCTGCTCTCCCCCGCTTCAAGAGAATCCTCGCTTCCACGAGGTATCTCTCTCGGCTTTGTGGGGTTTGGAACTGCGACACCAACCTTATGCTGTGGCCCAACCGGCCGCAAACACAGCTCACTCGAGTCATCTTGAAGCGGCTGGAACTCGCTATCGCCAGTAGACCTAGATCTTCCAGATGGGGATGAAGACTTATTTGATGGATGAGCTGTCACCTCAGGTGTGTATTTCGAACGTCCCATGAGGGGGCGCATCATAGGAATAGAAGCAAGGATGACGGCGAGACAGGGCTCCAAGCCGCTGAAGATGTTGGCAAGGGGAATCGAGTAAGTGATGTCGGCGAAGTCCATTGTGGAGAGTATGGAGATACGAAGAACGCTGATGATGCATGTGCTATATTCCAGGTTAGTAAAGAGATTTGCGTTTGGTTTTACACCAGTTGTCGTGCAAATCTTACACTGCTCCCAGGCCGAAAATAGTGATGAACGTCACTTTCTTATACGTGGCCATCTGCAGACTATACAGCAGCGGCATAGGTGTCACCAGCACAACAACATCGGTAAGTAGATTTATGACCCCCGTCACGGTGAAGGAGGTAACTTGGTTTCCACAGGATCCCCCAGGAATGCTATGGTCCCAGTTATATGCAATGGGCCGGCATATCAGACACCCAGCCAGTATTGTGCCAATAGTCCAGGCCACAATCACACCCATTGTTGTCCAGCAAACCCGCACGACCCACGTGACGGGGAAGATGCTAAGATATAAGAACAAGATGGAGATTTTTGTACAGCTGAGACTCAGAACCCAAAGAAATTGCAATGGGATAATCAGCTGGAGGAGTTTGGTGATAGGGCCGGGTCCATACGTGGCTGCAATCGTAGTGACATGATCATAACCGATGCCCGCTTGTATCACACCCGTGATGCTGATGGACTGGAGGCCGACAGCAAATATCTGTATTTGTTAGCACAAATTCCGACTTGGTTAGGCAAATACTCACAGCGGCGGCAATTATGAAATAGTCACTCGTGATCCATTTCTTATTCGCGAGATGATGAGCTAGAAGTCGCAGACATACTGCTACGGCAGCCAGGATGGAGAAGGCGATAGCTACGCCCAAGACCTGCCTTTGGGCTGGCGTCTCTATAGGAAAGGTAACAACCATCTCCCATCTTGCAGGCAGAAAAAAATCTAATCTAAATTAATCCGGGGACGATATTAAATAGGGATTTTGAAACCAATCTGCAGCCAACACGGCATGTCAAGGCTAGCCCGGGGCCAAAATCCTGGGCTGCACCGGGGGCAATACCCGTTCAGCCTCGACAATTTGGCATCAAATCATAATGCACGCAGGACATCTTGAGGGAATATGTGATAGTGAGCAAGAACGAGTCAGATGGCGAATTCTTCTGCACAGATTAGTAGTTCAAATCACGCGAAGGTTGAAAGACCCAGCATATCCCGATTAACAACAATATTATTATCAACTTGAAAGAAAAACAATTTGGCTCTTCGGCATATGACAGGGAAACGTCTCCTCATTGTTAGGACGCTCATTGGTGCGCCAAGTGCCCCTATACACTAATACGGAGTACATCTACCGTCCGGCATGTTGTTAGCGTGTTTTGACAACAAACCATTGGCCTAGTGTAGGTAATCGCTTGGCGCAATAACCGAATTATGCATCATGTTGGCGCTATGTAAAACTGCGTCCCCCTTTCCTCCGCAGTGCATCTGATATGTCAAACGTGGTTTTAACCCCTTTATTTACGTGATATGGCTACTACTCCTATTATTGAGGTGACGGCCGCGGTCGCGATAGGTCTATTGACACTGCTCTGTATTGTCACAGGGAAAAAGAAGGAAGAAAAAAAACCCCTCCTCAAGCTTCCCCTCATCGGTGACCTCCATAGCTCCCCCCTTGTGAAACCGCTTTTGAACTGGGACTCATGGACGAGGGAAAATGGTCCCATTGCGGTACCGAAGCTCTTTGGGCTCGTACCGATTGTGGTCTTGAATTCATATGAGGCTGTGACCGAGTTATTCAGCCGCCGCAGCCAGTGGTACAGCAATCGTCCGCCCTCTGTCAGCATGGAGATGATCACGGGGGCTGAGCCCGGGCAGTCGAAATTTACTCTGATGCACGACTACGACGATCACCTCAAGTTTCACCACCGTATTCTAGCCCCCAGTCTGGGCGCTCTCGCCGCCCCACAGTATCACCCCTTAATGGAGCTCGAGTCCAAACAGCTATTATTTGATCTCTCAAACGTTGCACAGCAGCTTTCCCAAGGAATCAGCACAGAAACCATCTATCCACTTCTTGAGCGCACTCAATCGAGTGTCATACTTGCTCTGCATTATGGCTTGCGCATCCCAAGTTTTGAAGAACATATCTTGCATGAGATCATTGACATCCAGACCCAAGTAACCTACCTCGCTGCAAATCCCGGCCTTCCAGATATTATCCCGCCTCTGCGCCACCTGCCTGCATTCTTGTCACCCTGGAAACGAGCGGCTGACAAGCTGTACGCCGCACAGGCTGACCTCTACATGCGGCTGTTCCGGCACGGAAGGGACTCGGCAGGCTGGAACTCCACTAAGCAGGCCATCGCAACAGCGGGGAAGTACTCTGAAGATGGTGTCCCCGACCTCGATCTAGCCTTTACTCTCGCAACGTCTGTCCAGGGAGGTATGGAGACTTCACCGCGGCAGCTACTGTGGTTGTTCATTGCAGCGCTGGACCAACCGTCCTTTATGTCACGGGCGCACGCTTTGCTCGACGAAGTCGTCGGACGTGACCGCCTCCCGCAGTTCTCCGACCGGTCGGCACTCGCCTTCATTGACGCTATTATGCATGAGCTTTTCCGTTGGCGGCCTGTCTCGCCAGGATCTATCCCTCGCAGAGCAGATCGAGATGACGAGTTCAATGGTGTCAAGATTAAAAAGGGGGTCACTCTCATGGCTAATGCGTGGGCCATCGGTCGAGACGAAAAGGTCTTTGATCCGGCGCTGGGAGACCCTCAGGAGTTCGTGCCTGAGCGGTGGCTCCGGCGGGAAGATGGCGGAGAAGAAAAACTGCGGACGGACCTTCCGTTGCCGGTCTTTGGGCAGGGCCGCCGGATCTGCCAAGGAAAAAAGGTCGCTACGGATGGGACTTTCATGCATGTTGCTCGCTTACTGTGGGCGTTTGACATCGAGCCCGCAGATGGGGAAGAGGTGGATCCATGGGCGATGGTCGTGGTAGGATTCATGACAATGCCGAGGGAGCTCAAATTTAAACTCCGGCCCAGGGGTGACTGGGTACTGGGTGTTATTAGGAAAGAGTGGGAGACGGCGGAGAAAAGTCTCGGAAAGGTTATGGGAACTAATGTTAATGTTGAAGATAAATGATAGGATGCCAAATGAACGTGTGATGTTACGATTATATATATCCGAATTCGCCCGGCAATACGGGGTTACAGACAAATTTTGCTAGCGCGTGTGAACTTTTACAGATTGGGCAATCTAGATATTTTCACGGCGAAGTGTTCTCGATTTAGAATACAAGGTTATCTTTTGCCGTTCGGGACTGGTGGAAACCACGGGCCGGGCCGAGTTTGCGCCAAGGTTGGGGGATGGTTGATCCCTTGAATCATCCATCACTTTCTGTCTATAGTGTGCATGTTGATCCTTATTTATCCTCTCTTCGAGCTTCCGTGACATGTTCGAGCTCATGGTTACTGCTACATTCACCGTTTCCATTATCGCGCTTGGTCTTCAAACTTTTCCAGTCGTACAGCATCGCGCCTAGGCTCGAGACCGTTCCCAGTGTAAGCCCAACACGGAAAACGTCTTTGATCGCCAGGGCATAAGCCGCCCGCAATTCCGGAGAAGAGCCCGCTGATACACCGTTCAGAACAGATTTTGGGTTCAGGTTTGGGGCCAGTGTTTTGAGTGCCTTGCTGATATTTTTCAGGAAAACTGCCTGCGCAACTGACACGAAGAGGGCTCCGCCGAGCGTCTGCGCGAATAGTACCAGGCCGATACCAGTTGCCACATCATTTTCAGGAAGCGTCGTTTGCACCATGTATAGTCCTTGCTCTTCGCCTAACCCGACTCCGGCTCCGCACAGGATCTGAAATCCGACCCATTTGGCTCGCGAGGTATGCCGAGGCTGAACAGTCATCAGAAGGCCAGTACCTATTGACATAAGGATTGAGCCAGCATAGACAAATGGTGTATAGTATCCTGTTGCAGCGGTCCCAAAGCCTGCAAACATGAACCCGCCAACGACACTGAGCATGAATGGGATAAACAAGATTGCAGATTCGACGGCAGAGACACCGTTGACTATTTGAAACCATAGCGCTGAAATCTAGATTAGTATTTGTCATCATTTTTCCAGCTATTTCTCAATACTCACGTATGTAGAAAACATTTACCTAGAATAGGAATAGTATCTTAGTTAGCCAGATAGAATATGAGGTATGCGTTGGAATCACATACAAAGAATACCCCTCCAAGACAAAGGCCAAAAAGGATTGCTGCACATATACTTGGCTTGCGTAGTAAACGTAAAGGAATAATGGCGCTGTCTTTCATCCAGTATTCAACACCGATAAAAGTACAACATAGCCCTCCAGCGACTGTTAACAGGGCTATAATGCAAGCATTATCCCATGCATATGTGGTTCCACCCCATGAGAGTGCTAAGAGAAGACAAATTGTTGCCGATATAAATATGAAAGTACCAGCCAAGTCGAAGCGCGCGATCTCGTTTCGAAGTCCGGTCGACTCAAATGTTCTGTGGCCGCCGCGGCTACCGTCATAGAAAAGTGCTATGAAGATCATGACAGCGCCTCCGATTGGAAGATTGATATAGAAACACCAACGCCATGTAGTTGTATCCGAGAAGGCTCCCCCCTGCTCCAAGTGTCAATCACTGTAACAAATCGTTTCACAAAAAAAGTGTATAAATACCAGTAGAGGTCCAACTACGCTCCCGACTGCAAACATGCTACCAATGATGCTGTTCCATGTCGGTCGCTGGCGTAGCGGAACACAGTCAGCGAGAATGAGTGTGGTGCCTGCTTGTATCCCAGCAGAGCCCAGACCTGCTAATGCCCGCCCAAGAATGAAAACATGAGAATTGGGTGCAGTAGCACATACAACACTTCCGATTTCGAATATCAGCAACGCTACCAGGAAGACGATTTTGCTGGAGAAGAGCGTATAGACTTTGCCGTAGGAAGGTTGGAATGCGCAAGAGGCCAATGGATAAATTCTATTTAAGGATCCGTTAGTATTTTACGCAAATCTCGCGTCGGCATTGACTAGGTTGACGAATGGTAGAAAACTTACGATGCATACCAACCCACATCGTCAATGCTGTGGAAGTCATGGGTAATTCGAGGGACAGCGGTCGAAATTATCGTATTGTCCACCGCTACGCACAAAGTCGCCAAGCACAGTACAATTGAGATCAACAGCACACTTGATAACTTGGCATACTTACTCGTACCTTCTGTTTCTTGACCTTCTTCCTGCATCATTGGCTCGCTGACGTCGGCCAATACGACTTCGTTGGCCACATAAGGATTCGAAGACATTCTGGTTGGCAAGCTACCATGTATGTAAAGGAGACAGGAGAGAAGTAGGCTCAAGTGCGGATTGAAAGCGGCTCTCGGAACTACCTAGGTAGAAGGAAACTCCCTTTGCATAATGGGGACGATACTTAGGTACCCCCGGGGCCTAGTAACTGCGTTAGTCAGCTGACCAGCAACCCGTGGACGAGCTTGGATACATCAAGCTCTCCCTCAGTTCGCTTTCCCTTTTTCTCAAGAGTCATGATGTCGCTTTTCTTTTTTCTTTCCCGCTACCTTGATACAGGAGCTTATGGCTCCTAGATCTTGAGTTTCATGTTTGTGTGAGAGCCATCAACGCGGTCCGCCGGAGTGCGGGCTCCCCGATATGGATGGGGGACTCCTACGGAGTACACGTGTGCATGGCTCGCAAGGCTCACAATTTCCGGTTCTAGTTTAGTGAGCGGGGGCACCACATATTATTTCTGATTTGTGCTTGGTTTTATCAATAACACTTCGTGATTGGTCTTATATCATCGCTCACACTCAGAAAGAGACCAAGACATGCCGCCAAGATGTGGACGATAAATGCTTGTTAATGCTTCTTGGTGCTTGGCGTTGCACTAGAAGTGGGCCTCTCCCCGGAAACCGACGAATACTAGCTCCGAATTGCCTAGCAAGAACGTGAACTAGACTGGTTGGAGAGAGGTATGTTGATGGATCTACACTTCAAGCTGGTAAGGTCAGTAAATCCGATGCTGTTGTGGCGGTACATTACAGGTTGAACAAACACTAGTGTGAGTCGACCAGGTACAGTTTGATCGACCGATAATGTCCCAAAAGATTCAGATCTGGGTGCGCACCAAATGCAAGCCCAGTGGCAGTTCGGATGTTGCTATTTGACAGCGAACACCCCGTCCAGAGCCCAGAGTCGTCGTATCCGATCGACACATGTAGATCCTGTGTCAAGGACACGAACATGCCCATTCTCGCGGAAAATAAAAGCTTTATCTTGCAGTTCCTTCACGCACGATGCCCACGCCATTTCAGTCATTAGGGGGGTCGTGGCAAATATCTCTTTGCGCCAGTCTGTAACAAGGATTGTGCAATATGTTAACGTACCACTGCTTGTTTGTTCAACCCTTCTTCTCTCCTCTCTTTGTCCCCAATACATTTTACCACAATCCCTATCTACCCAGATGGGAGTATACTTCACAGTACCCATGTCAGAACCTTGTTCCCTTTTTGCTAACAATCTAGATAGTTTGACTTCAAATTCATTTTTTTGTCAATTCCCCAGGTCCTTGATTTATAGTATGACCAGACGGATTGCTCTGTTTGGGCACCAACCTCCAATTTTCATTAGCTGTTATGGCATTTTCCTTCCCCACCTACTATGGGGGCCAAAGGGCGGTGCGTGCCGGTTTACGTTCACTAAATCTTTTAGTGTATCATTTAGTGGAGCTCGTTTGGTCTCCTCACGATCGACTATCCAACAGCGTGAGACCTTTATGTTACTGAAATCCCGGTCGCATTCAGCTATAATACCAGTAGCTGCCCCCGGAAATACCTGACGGAAGAAGTAGAACATCCGACTGAATCTTTATACATCGCTCTACCATGCATATTACTCCTGCTGTTGCAGCCCTGTGTATCAGTGCCTTGCCCCAAGCTGCCCATGCGACCACATCTGAGACCTGCGTCAGTTATTCCAAATGATTCCAAAGAATACAAACAAATGACCTGACCAAGTATCAACCAAACAGTGCTCAGTTTTGGGAGCCACGGCTCTGAAGAGCCAGGTCGTGTATCCCGGCAGTGCTGCTTACAAGACATCGATCGGCTCTTACTGGGCCGAGAATGTTCAGCTCGAGCCGACCTGTATTCTGCAGCCACGCACGGCTCAAGAGGTTTCATTCGCCGTTTCCACGCTCGTTGCTGCTGATGGCGGAGCTTGCAAATTTGCTATTCGCGGTGGTGGCCACACCACCTGGGCGGGAGCGAACAATATAGTTGATGGTGTGACCATTGATCTGTCGTTGATGAACAACACCACGTACAACAAGAGCGCTGGCACTGCTTCTATTCTTCCGGGATCTCGCTGGGGAGGTGTCTATGAAACTCTGGCAAAGGATAATGTGACAGTGCCCGGTGGCCGCTCTGGTGTTGTGGGCGTTGCTGGATTTTTACTCGGGGGTAAAATACGACCAAACATGTTATCACATCGAAATGTGACTGACAAAATCCTTTACTAGTACAGGTGGCAATACCTTCCACACTGCGCGTGTTGGATTCGGTTGCGACAACGTCGTGAACTACGAGGTTGTTTTGGCTGATGGAACGATCATCGAGGCCAATAAGGATTCCCACGCGGATCTATTCAAAGCTCTGAAGGGTGGATCCAGCAACTTCGGGATTGTCACCAAGTATGATATGAAGGTCATTGACGGCGACAAGCTTTGGGGTGGGATCGTCACATATGACAATAGCACTACCTTGCAGCACCTTGAGGCTGGTCACAAGTTCATCAACAACCTTGAAAATGACCCATACGCTTCCTGGATTGGCATTTGGGGGTACCTTTCTGTCACCGACCAAAATATGGTTGCCAATGCTCTAGAATATACCTCCCCGGTTGCTTACCCTGCGGCTTTGGACGACTTCATAACTATTACCAATACTAGCAGCTCGATGCGTATTGCTAATATTTGGAACCTTACCCAGGAGCTGGGTCAGGCAGCTGGATATCGGTATATGGTTTCCTAAATTGTCCCGCTCTAAGATAAATCACTAACCTATTCCAGCGACATTTTCCTCACAGCCTCGTTTGTGAACAACCTGGATGTGATGAAGCACACAGTCGATATTCACAACAGAATGATTGAGGAGGCCAAGGCAGGTGCCAAGGGAGATGACTACACTATGTCCACCATGATCCAGCCTTGGCCCAAACTGTTCACTGATCACAGTACTAAACTAGGTGGCAATATGCTGGGCCTCGACCGTTTCGACGAGAACCTCTTCCGTAAGTGCCCCCAAACATATTTTATTGGTATCTAACACTCCTATGCAGAGGTCCTCTTTGACTATTCGTGGAAGGATGAGGCCGATGATATATTGTTCAACCATCTGGCCAATAATGCTCTCGAGGAGTTGACCACCTACTCGAAGTCAATCGGAGCCGACAATGAGTTCATTTACCTGAACTATGCCAACAGCAACCAAAATCCTCTGTCCACGTACGGCCCCAAAAATGTGGAGTTTATTCGGACTGTTGCTAAAAAGTACGACCCAACTGGTATTTTCCAAACCCAGGTTCCCGGTGGGTTCAAGATCAGCGGTGTGCCCAATGAACAGGAAATTGGGGAGGGAGAAGAGAATTCGAGAGTATTTTGCCAATTTTGTGCGACGTACACTTAACACATGCAATATACGAAGCAGTGTACCGCGTGAAAAGGCTGCGCTAATCCCCTACTATACTCGCGGCTGCGCTGGGCACCTCTTCCTATGAATCGAGGAACCATTGCGGAGTAGGTGGGTTCACATCCCGTGTCTTACTCTAATCCCTGCGGTAATATGCGCATATGTGGCAGTTTATTATGTTGATCTCGCCAAGCCTCGGTAAAACAATGGTTAGGGGGAGCTGAAGGATCATGGGCGCAGTAGGGCACCTGCAATAATAATAGAAACTTCCGAAATTGCTTTGTGGAGCTTAGCCCAGACTAGGAACTGATAGTGAAGATCCACAGGCGAGTGGCATATGCCTTCATTGTATAGTACCTGCGACTCAGACTTTACGATCCTGGCCCTGAGGTTTTAGTCTATGGTGTCTCTGTGAAGACCCCACTATATAGGGTTATAGTGCGTGTTATGACAGTCTCACGGAATGATCGTCAGAGCCCGAAAGGTCTCTCAGTCCGTCTGAGCATCGACACGCTAGCTAAAAGAACTCGGTTATCAGGATCTGGGTAGTGCAACATCAAATCTCGAAAATATATGTTTGTTCTAAGGCTGACAATATGTATACCTCTTAGGGGATGACCTAGCAATATGGGCGCGGAGCACTCAATGTCAGGTCCAAGAGCCGAAAACTTGGAGGTTTGATTGGAGCATATCTTGGTGAGGAGACCTCTCAAGGTTCTATGTCATGCAAGGTAGACCCATGCCTAAAGTTGACTCCGCGCGGCTGTACAGTGTCCAATCAGCGTGCGGCCCAGCCTGCCGGATGAGTTCCAAACTACACCAGCCGCCACCTGGCTCGGATCCGACTGTGTGGACGACCGGGGTTGGGATTAGCGCATATACGAGCGAAATCCACATGGCCGATAGATTGCTTGGGCGTCTACGGTCTTCTGTTTGGAGATACTCGGTCGATTATGGGTAAAGTGGGTCTTTCGTCTTCGGATGTGTCAGATGTTATGAGTATATAGTTAGGAAGTATGAGATTTTTGTAATTCTACGGGGATGAATGACTTTGATTTTAAACTCGCCGAAGAACTACAATTTGACACCTAGTCAACTCCGGTAGAGATGTGGATTAAGATGAAGAAATTGGCTGAGTCACTGTCAGTTTTGGGACGAATGATCAGCAACTCCATCTCAAACGATGGAAATATGTATTCAAGAAACCTCATGGTAGGCCAATCAGGTGAACATTTTGGGCCGAAGGGAATAAAAACCATGGTGATATATATACAGTACAAATTCAAGCTTTGATCCATAGAATGTTCAGTAGACATAACGGAAGGAAGGGTTCTGTTTGTCAGTGAGCCCAGCCCATTTGATCTCGTCGACGCTGTTCTCATCAACGCGCTTTGTCTGGTCTCTTTGGCGGTTTTGCCACTTGTAATATATGAAGAGCACCACAGAGAGTACAGCCGCCGCAGCCTGTGTTGCAAGAACAGCAATCTTGGCTGGGTGGTATTGCGGTGCGTCGCGTGCCTGGAATGTCTGTGGGCCAATGATGTTTCCGACCGAAAAGGACCCAGCAACAAGAGCACTAGCAAATGCACGCTTGGTATGTCCAGCGCAGTTGGCCATGGTCCACTGGTATAGAATCGGAAGAGTTGCTACAATTGCGTTGACAAGATAAATACCGATCAGGACACCAGCTTTGTTGGTCTTGGGCAAGAAGGATAGCAATGCTCCGCCAATGATTCCAGGAATGGTACAGAGTACATTCCAAGCCCAGCGATTGGAAGTCTTCCGGATGCCGAAACCCACGAGAAGGGTGAAAAATATACTAACGATGCCGCCAGGGGTATTGAGAAGGGCTGAGATGGGACCGGAGAAACCAAATCCGGCAATTAAAGTCGCGGAATATGTCGTCACCACACCACTTGACACGGAGATCTATTCAATATTGGTCAATAAAACTGCAGGGGATAATTGGAGCAAGGGGTGAAAGTGGGAATGTGAGACACACCAGAATTGTTATCACAGTCAGGAGCCAAAGCTGAACATCGAGGACAGCCTCCCAGATTTGGTTCAGGTTCAAAGTTGTGCTCCATACTCCAGTCTGGTTTTCGCTAACGTGTTGAAGGAGGGCCACCTTTTCGCTATCCGACAACCAGGGTGCCTTCATCGGTGTATCCGGAATGAAGAAAAATGTGAGACCACCGACAACAGATGTCACCAACCCTAGAACAAGAAACATAATCCGCCAGCCTTCTAGTGAAGCATGATGCACATGCTGGAATCCAAAAGATATGAGGCCTCCAATTATCTGGGCCACACCAAGACCCATGTACCATATAGTGAACCGAGGAGCTTGTTCGCTTTTGGTGTAGTACTGACTGCTAATAAGCATCAAGGATGGTCCTACTGTCGCTTCAAAAATACCCAAGAAAATCCGAGCTGCCAGCAGGCTCTGATATCCTTGGGCGCCAGCGGAGGCGGCAGCCGCAACTCCCCAGAGGAAAACATTTCCGCCGAGCCATTTGGCAGGCGGTACTTTCTGTAAGAAATAAACTGTCAATTGAGGCTTAGCAGTGATACTCCAAGAAAATTTAGCCGGGGATATGAATATAAAATACTCACCATTAGGTACCTCCGCGATCAAGTAGGCAATGAAGACCCATGTCGCAACGTTGGAGAATTCATTGCCGACGAGTTTTAAGTCTTTTTTGATCCCCATAACAGCTGCATACTGTATACACCCTTGCATTAATAACATGGTCCGTATGATTGAATCGAATGTGCAACTCACGTTCAGCATGACCTTGTCCAAAAACTGCAGAACATAGCAACAAAACATATAAGGCATCAAACGCCGATCAATTTTACGGCGTAAAGCGCTCAGATCAACCTGAGAGTCAAGCGCCTCATTTTCATGGCCCTTGAGATATACCACAGCATCATCAACTTGATCTGCAGGAGGTTGCGGTACTACCTCTGGTTGGATTTCACCCATCGTAGCAGGGAACAATAGGGAAACAGACAAGGAACAGTGTAGTCAATAGGGAAGTGGTGAAGGAAAGAAAAAAAAGCAAGGAAAGTTAAGGGAAAATATTAGTGGAAAAAAAACTAGTGGGAAACACAAGGATTCATGCGACAAAAGCATAAATAACGTCGCAACCACCGTGGAGATCGCGTGGCTACACGTAGTCCCACCTGGCAAATTAGAAGCATTATTTCCGCCAGAACCTTTCCTTGTTGGGAAGTGAAGTTTACAACATAAGAAAGGGGGTGAGCTAAATATCTGTAATATTGCAGGAATAACCTTGAACGTCCGGGAAAGTACGGAGTCCGGTGTTGTGAGGAGCATAAAGTACATGACCGGCAATCATCGGTGCTATTTCAAAACAGGAAAGTGCCTTGGGACGAGCATTTTTGGGTTTTGATATATTTTATATTTTATATATTTCATATGTTTTATTTAATAATTATAATCCTTATGCATAAAAGAAATCCTTGTTCGATCTCCTTACCCATGTACTTTGTAGGCGCTTGATTATGTTCTCGTTTATACTCTCCCCCTGCCCCTTCACACGCTCTCTCCTCAATAATGGGCTGGGTACACAATGCCTCGCCCGAGGTGGAGGCTGCCTCGCAGTATCCTCTCATTCTTGGCGTATGTTTGAGTCTTACCATCTTAATGGTTATCACAGTTTCCCTGAGACTTTTCCTTCGAGCGCGGGCCAGTCGATGGGCAGCAGCAGATTATGTGATGGTTGCCAGCATGGTAAGTTAATCTGAATCTGATACAAGGGATAATACAACTAATTCTTGAGCAGGTATTTGCCGTTATATACAGTGCACTCTGCATTTCTCGTGGGCATCGCCAACTCTCCCCGTAGCCGCATGAAGCTTACAGTCGCAGAGAGCCGATATGGACTAGGACTGCCGTTGAAGCAACGGCCGGCAGCAAATTATGTAACATATTCTAAGGTCAGTATCCTTTTTTGCACCTTAGTTAGGCACTATATGGTTACATCTGGTTGGAAAACTGACAAAAACGAAAATAGATCAACTATGCAGGACGGCCCTTTTACCAGGTTGGCATCGCAGGGTTCAAGGCTTCACTTTGCCTGAGCTATCTTCGATTGATATCTGGAACATCAAAGCGTGCTTACCGAATTGTGATTTGGATTGTTATTGCAGCATCTACGTTGGGTCATATCGCCGGTGCTCTTAGCTTGATCTTCAATTGCACACCAGTAGGAAGAGTCACTCCATACAAAGCCCACATGCGACCACAAGCTGACAAGTATTCGCCCACAACAGATTCGACGATCATGGAACAACCATGTACCAGGTACCTGCCTTCCTGTGGGAGGCCTATTCTACGGTCTCGCAATCTACACCATCATCACAGATGTGACCATTATCGTGCTTCCCATTCCATTGCTCCTCGGTCTCAATATAAAAGTCGCACAAAAGGCCGGCGTTGTGTGTCTCTTCCTCCTTGGCCTCTTCACCACGGTTTGCTCTATCATGCGCTTAACCCAGATTCAGCGTGTGGCTTTCGGAGACGGAAACTCGACAATGCTTGTGTTGTGGGGAACTATTGAGTTCAACGTGGGCGTAAGTGGAATGACCAGTTTTGTCTGAAGTATAATGGCTAATTTGTCTGTGTTAGAACATCGTCACTTGCATTCCATACCTAGCCCCTCTACTCAAGGGCCTCGTGCGGGGAATCGCTTCGACTGGTGACAAATCAAAGCAGTATTATTATGACAGTCAAGGCAGAAGCTACTTGATGGATAATTGGTCGAAAGATCAGAATTCGCACATGCGGTCAACTGCTTCCGGACAAAGGCAGCCGAAACGAACACCGAGTGAGGAGCTCATTTTGGCCACTCGGGAGCCCGAGCATGGGGGTATCGAGAAGACAGTAGAGTATAGAGTTTCTACGGAAGGCAGGTCAACCAAATAGGAAGCTTGATGACCCGCCAAACTGGCGCAAATTTTGGCTTGTGTATCGAGTCCTTTTTTTATTATTCATACAAGTACTAATTATCTTAGAAATTTTATTAGTCCTTTTTTGCTTTTTTTTTTTTCTTTTCTTTCTTTTCTTTCATGCTTACCCCTCTACTGTGTACCCCTGCACCCCTTGCCTTTTGTGGCGTTTGAGTTTATGACAATAATATTTTTGCGGTTGCAACATCCGAGAAACAGCAAGTTTGGGCTTTACTTTGTACTAATAGCAGAAATGGCCGGCCGACTTGAGAAATCTTCGATCTTGAATTTCCACACGAAAGGTTTTTGGGTGTTTTTTTTTTTTTTTTTTTCTGATTCAACTTGGTTGGCCGAATCTTGGCCCAGACGGGATCCACAGGATCAACCCGTTCGGCAGTGGATCCCCATCCGCGTGCCCCAAGTACCTACGCTGTACTCCGTGCATATGCACAATGCGGCAAATGTGCCTGCCATAGGATCAAATCGAGCCCGGGATGGAGCGATTGTAATCAAAATGTAACTTCGTTAATCTAAGTCTGGCTAGTACAAGGCAACAGTCTCAGCCCTTGATTCATTCACAAACTCAAATTAGATCACTTCAATTTGAACGGATACCCTAGGTAGCTCCCGACGGAAGGCTTGCCCAGGTGGGAAAGCGGTATTATGTATATCCTCCAATCAACGTTCATCCCCGTAGCCTGACCCCCAATCAACATCATTCTGCCGTAACATGGCCCAAGCCGTCCCAAGGGACAATGTAGCCTTTATTAAATCTTATTATGATCCTTTCAATCCTTTCGGGTTAGGTAGCCCACTAGCAGGATTACGGATAATTTCCGTATTGAAGTCTCCATGCAAGACTCCCAACAGAAATTGGTCTAGCTAATGGTACGACTAATTGTATGATTTGGCACAGAGTTAACCCAGCGGGGTGAGACATGGTTTGTTGTACTCCGTACGGAGTACTCCGTATAGATTGAGGCAATCAAACCGAACTGAGTTATTTGAACTGTGCACACTACTTCGTACTTTTGTTCACCATGTCTGATTCTTCTATTTTGATCATCGGCGCAGGTATCAGTGGCCTCGTACTGGCCCAGTACCTTCAGCGACATGATGTTCCGTTCAAGATCTTCGATCGAGACTCCGCAATTGATGCCCGAAGTGGTGGATGGGGTCTGACATTGCATTGGTCACTCCCCGCCCTGCGCGAATTATTGCCAGAACACCTCGTGGAGCGGTTCCCTGAAACATTCGTCAACAAAGAAGCGTCTGCCCGAGGCGACGTCGGTCGCTTCCAGTTTTTTGACCTTAAGTCGGGAGACGCATTATACAATATTCCTGCCGCGGAGCGCATTCGCGTCAGTCGCGTTCGCTTGCGACAGTTACTGACAACCGGCGTGGATGTTGAAGTAAGTCGTAATATTATTGTCTTTGGAATAATCTCTTTTTTCTTTTTCTTACTCTTGATGGGCGCTAACACCGTTCAGTGGAACAAAAACTTTCGTAGTATCGAGTCTACAGCTGATGAAATCACCGCGCATTTTGAGGATGGCACATCGTATACCGGGCGGCTACTGGTCGCATGCGATGGTTCACGGTCGCGCACACGCGAGATTCTCTACCCAGGTTTACAGATGAACCAGTTGCCGGTGCAGCTTCTAGGTGCATCGACACTATACAGCGCGGAGGAGCTGGGCGGCATTGAGTCAATCGACCCTTTCATATTCCAGGGCTCACATCCTGAGTCCAACGTCTTCCTATTCTTCAGTTGTGAGTCCGCCAAAGCCTCTGTTCTCTACACGTTACTGATGTTTTTAGTTCTCGATACCCCGAACAACTTCGAGAATAGTAGCAAGGACCGTTACCACTGTCAAATCATCACCTCCTGGGCAGATTCGAAGGAAATTCCTATCCCAGAGGCAAACGCCGAGCGGATCGCCCTCATGAAGAAGTTGACTGATAATTGGTCGGAACCTTTCCGCTCGCTGGTACACAAGCTTCCCGACGACGTGGAAGTGCGCTCGATTCGCATCGAAGATTGGATGTTCAGCCGGGGCAGAGCGCACGCGCATCCTCGGGTGGTCTTGATGGGCGACTCGGCCCACACAATGACTATGTGTATGTGATTCTTCCGGCCATTATTTCGCGGCCATGGTAGCATTTCTAACCTCAACTAGTCCGTGGAGAAGGCGCCAACAACGCAATCGTCGATGTGCTGGATCTCGTGAAACGTGTCGATATGCGCCAGCCAAGGTATGTATCAGACTATCTGCAGCTCTCTTTGATTCGTTTCATACTAACGATCGCTATTTCGATCACCAGGTCCTTCGATTCCGAAGCCTTGTTATCCTCCCTTGCGGCATACGAAGATGATGTCTTCGCGCGAGCCGAGCCTAGCTTCCTAAACTCCAGACAGGCATGTTTAGATGCTCATGACTTTTCTAAAATCGAAGGAAGTCCACTAGTTGGATTACGGGATTTGAAGAAATCTACCTAGGTAGCTGAGGTTACTGGATCTGTCACATGTGATTGTAAAGAACCTGCGAAATCTCACGCCTTGGGGAACTATTTAAAGCGAAAACGAGATAAATCACATCAGTATAGAGTACTGCCAATATCAGCTAGCCGTTGAGATTAAGACTTCGGGATGTTATGGGTGTCGGTAGTTGCTCAGGTCGATCCGAGTGCTTATCAATGCCAAGCCCCCGAGCCATAAGACTCCCGACCCGACCTCCGCACATTCCATTTCTCCCGGTAGCAGCGGAAAATATAGGCCTGGAGGTATCAACTCAAGCTGAGAAGAAAACGGCATTGAAATGCAAGGCTGACGGGCAATGAACGGCACCGCGTCAAACCAAGCGGCCACGGTGCGCGTCTCGCAGCGTCAGCCGCAAGCCTGCCGAGGTAAATGGCGATCTTTTGCTGCTGCGGCCTAATAAGTGACTGACATGATGCAGAATGCACGAAGCGCAAACGCAAATGCGACAAACAAAATCCCTGTTCGAGATGTAAACGGTTGAATCTGAAGTGCTCGATAGAAGTCGTCCAGCTTAGACGCAACGCTGTGCAACATGGGTCAGAAATTCAGTTTTTACGTTCGCTTTTGGTAGACGTTGAATCGTCCCCGCCTGGTCCAGTACCTCATATTGTTCAAAAGATCAAAAATCGAATATTTCGGCTGGAGACCGGCCAAGATCCTACAGAATCAGATGTATCCAACCCCACATCGGCACAAGAGGAATCAAGTACAACTGAGGACCGTGCACCTAGCAAGGTGTCGCCCAGTTCAACTGAAAACACTGCACATCAAATTGACTCGTCGCTTCTCACGGCTATTGAACATCTTGCTTGGGGTCGTAACTCTGCAGGATGCTTCCCTCACAGGACGTGCTCATGCCAGTATCGGAAAGATGGGACCCAATCCCTATCAGGCCCTTTCCCAGCCAATGGACTCAACCCGGGGTTGGACTCCTCCTTTCCCAACACTACCGACGCGCAGAAGCTGATAAAATTCCATATATGCCATGTGGCCTGGCATCATAACTGCATCCATGGTCCAACATTTCTCGAGCAATGCGAGTTATTCTGGGAGACTGGGAGATCTGATGACCCTCTATGGCAAGCGCTGTACTTTTCTGTCTTGAGTGCGACCGTCAGCTCAATTCAAAATAGTGCGAAAGTAAGAGAACTTGTTGCTGTCGACCTACAGGCAATACCATCTACACAACAGCTGTTCTCTGCTATGGTGCAAACCCTCTACAACTCACATTTTTTAAGCAATCTCTCCATATACTCTGTTCAGGCAATTGTCATATCAACCGAGGTCGCCCATAATCTTGGCTTGAGCCAACTGAACGCAACTTTATTCAATGCAGCAGTACGCATTGCCGAATGCCTCGGGATCCACAAGATTCAAGACCACTCAGCAAAACCTGCTCAAAACAAAGATGAATGGGATGAGAAGGTGGAACGAGAAGTGGGAAAGAGAGTATGGTGCCAAATGATCATTCAAGACCATTTCGCCATACCTTTTACCGACACCTACAGCATCTCTCCGATGCATTTCTCGACAGGTCCCCCAATGAACGCAGATGACTATGACTTGACAGATATGCCTATCACATCTCCAACAATAAGCACGTATATCCGCGTGCTCGTGAATCTGGCGGAGTTAATGCCCGGTCTAGTTGACGGATTGGGTCCAATGAAATCCAGAAAGCCTATTCGAGAGCAATACGAACATATTCTGCATATAGACCAGAAAATGAGAGGCATTGTGAAAAACATACCCCCTTTCCTCCTGCGTGTCGATAAGACCAAGGAAGCACAAATTCCATGGCTTGCTATCGCTCGGCGAAGTCTCGCTATCACTGCAGCCGAGAAAATTATCATGATCCATCGCCCGTTTCTCTTCCGCTCTTTCAATGATCAAACATATACCTACTCAAGACGTACTTGTGTTGCCGCTGCAATGACAATCTTGCGCGAGCACGAGGTAATCATAAGAGAAGGGGACATCTCGATATGGACTCATACAGCATTTGCGATTACCGCTGCAGTCATTATGTGCTTCGAGGTTAATGCAACTGCAGAGACCCAGGTTGCTATTGCCCAAACTCACAAGGATGCGATAGTCGCGGCCCGCACCCGCCTTGCTGATCGAACTAATGACGTGCTTGCTCAGCGAGGTGTCGCGTTGATTGATGCTATCTTTACTGCCGACGTAACCTCAGACTCTGCAGGACTTGGCAACAAAATGATTGATTTTGGTCAAATTCTGGCCAAGTTCTCAACCTTTACGAGAATGAATATTGGGCCCGATACCCCTGACACATCAGTTAGCAGATTCTCAAATACTGATTCCCAAGATGTGATCGGTGCACATTTTAACGAAATGCAACCGGCTTGGGATACAGCGGAAGACATCGATTTCGATGCATGGTTTAATGGGACGTTCCACACTCTACATGACCCACTTCAGTTTTGAGACAAGCGAAAATGCGCAATCACTCGAAGCGACTCTTTCATTGAGCTAGTTCGATCATTACTATATCTTTAATTCATACCATAGTATAACCTGTGTCGTTGACTCCCTCGTAATCCCGGAAGGGCCTGGGGGGAGTTGTGCTTGTCATTGTACACTGCCAGAGTAACCTCCTCTTGTCCTCCTGCTCCTTGTACTTGGCCAATTGGCCAGTAATACTGTGCATTACGCCTCTGTTGTGGAAAATGACCACATCACCCTCTTGCCAATGGTGGGCATAGATGTTCTCAGCAGCATATATCTTACTCTGCATCTTGTATACCACTTCTCTAACCTTCTCAACGTCATCCATCACCGTGATCTCACCCGTTGCTGGGTTGCGTGTGGTGAGCTTGTAAACGCAACAGCCATGCACCTGGAAGAATGGCCGGTTGGGATTGAGTGGGTTTCGCCAGACCATCTGGTAAACGTTGTGAGCCGATATTCCTCTCTATTGCGTGAAGTCGGAAAGGCAACTTACTGGGTGCTCAGCGACTTTGTCCCACGCCCATTCCGACAGTTTTTCCACTGGTACCTCCCGTCCAAAATTGGGGATCGTCAGACCATCTTCGGATGCTTTGCATTGGCGGATATACTCATATGCTTGGGGAGCATAGGTGACTGTGGTATTGAGAGCAAACTCTTGTTCCTCCGGCGTCAACAGAGAAAATACACGAGCGCCGGAAAAGACTATACTCAGTCAGTGGGTGGACCTATCTGCGTTTATTCGGTTTACTCACAGGCCGTAGCTCCAGCACCTATGGTCTTATCCTTCCCATCGGGGAACTTGATCTTCTGATCCGGTACATTGGGAATGCGGATTGAGTGCAGGATAGTTACTTCGCCTGGCAGACGCTCATAGAAAGGGGTATCCATGTGCCAGCGGTATGGGCGGGTATAGCCGTCATCTAATTCCTCTTGACTGAGAGGCTCCTCGTGAAACAAGGTGTGATCCTATCTCACTGGTCAGCCATACAAAACTTTGGAATGTCAGCCGGATGGGGGATACGAACAAGATGCACCACCTCCAACTCCTTAAGACCCTCATAATCCTGGAACTTCCCCGAGCCAATGATGCCAACCTGGGGGGCTCTGGGAATCCTTCCTGCTTTGTATGCAGATAAGATGTTCTTTGGGTCGCTCACAGCTTTCTCTCCGGCGGAATGGATGTCGGATGCATTGGGATCGAAAACCTTAGCAAGCTTTGGTAAAACGGTAGGGTCAATGCCCTTTTGCTTTCTGATGACCACAACTTGATTTTCGAAAAGAGCTTTTCGGAGAGTATCCTTGTCGTGGTCGGTTAAGCGGTCCAAATCCAGTATGGACATTCCTGGAGGCAGTTGGACTTCCGCGCCAATGGCGGAGCTTTGCCTGATGTCATCAGGGAGAAGATTGAAAGTGAGACTTGTTGACTCGGGCATTTTTGTCTCGGGAAAATGTTCAAACTTTTTTCGACAGGTAATGTTGAATATATTGTCGTCGTCGGGTATCACACTGCCTTTAAGCAGAGACGAAAATGGAGCAAAGCGGACGAGTCCACCGATTTGTACCACCATTTTCGATAAGACAAATATCTCAAAGCTGTCTGTTCCCAACGCGTAATGCATTTTGTATTATCATCTTGATGCATTAGCAATAGCGCTGAGTACCTACCTGGGTATCTCCTGGACGGGTGAGCTGTGGGAGCTCACCCGCACCGTCCTGATTGGCCCGTGGTGCCATATACTACAGAACATGGAATATAAAGCATGTACAGTCGCTCGCTGTGGGATTTATATTGGTCTCATCGTGATATCTACTTTAGCCGCTTTATTCACAATGGCTACCATGACTCTTTCTTGCAGGTCTGTTACCAAACCCGATGATTCTCGGGTGGACTTCGGGGCTGAACTCACCGGCTTCGATGTTGAAACAATGACAGGTAAGCAATATCCGAAGCATCTTTATTGGGTTCAAGTTCTGATTATTACCAGATGATGATTTTGAATTTCTCCGTCGCACATTGTATGAGAATCAAGTCGTCGTAATCAAAAGCCAAGGCAAACTCTCCCCACGTGCCCAGTACGAACTTACTCGACGCTTCGATCCTGCTGCCGGCGTCTATAGTCATGGAAAATCAATCGACAAGCGCAGCGTTCTCCATGCCGACTTGACAACAATCCCTCATCAGCCGCAAGTCCAAGTTATCGGCAGTGGCTTCGTTGAAGAGTATGAGGGACTCTCAAACATCCGCCTGAAACACCCACACCACAAGACATTCCACAAGAACCCCATCTCTCCCCAGGAAGACTTTGATTATACACACTTCTACCGCTGGCATATTGATTCTGCCATGTACAACCTCGATCCGCCTTTGGTTACCACGTTACTGGCTGTCAAAGTCCCTAAGGGCCGCCGTCAGACCTGCCGTTATGACGATGGCACGGACACCACACTTGACGTTCCTCTTGGAACAACGGCATTCTTCAGCGGATATCGCCTTTACGATATGCTTTCAGAGGAAGATAAACATTTCGTCCGCACCAGCAAGGCTGAATACGCACCTCATCCATACATATGGATGAGCAACGCCAAGTCACGCTCCAATGGGTTGGGTATTATATCAGAAGGATTAGAGCTTCCTGAAGACCAGTTGCCTCCTTTTGAAGCTTCTAAAATCAAGGTATATCCTATGACTTGGAAGAATCCCGTCACTGGCAAGATCGCAATGATGGTGTAGCCAACTTGTGTGCGGAAAGTCCATCTTGAGAACGGGCAGGTGCTTGACAATCTCGGCGAGATTCGAGAACGACTGTACAAGATGCAAAGACCGGCCATTGATCCTTGCTATTTGTATACCCATGACTGGGAGGAGGGTGACCTAGTGCTTTTCAACAACCATGGTGTGATGCATTCGATTGTTGGTTCTTTTGAAGAGGATGAAGTGCGGGTGTTCAGACAATGTAATATGGCAGCCAGTCGACCTCCGTTGGCACCGGAAGATCCCGTGTCTAATATTTAGTACATGTATGAATATACATATATCCAGACGATTCTCATTTGCTACATTTCTAAACTTCCCATCCCAAGGTAGTAATTAGTTCGTCGTCGTATTTTGCATGCACTTCACACACGAGGGCCTCAATGTTGAGGCCCAGAAGACTAGCAATAATCTGGTGGGCGAGGCCAAGACTGACCGATATAATTGTGATGATGGCTTACAAATACCGAAGCATATTCTTATACAATGTCCGAAGTACACTATACCGAGAACTAAACTACAAGAGCAGTTGTGGGATAATAGGAACAATGAGATGGGCTACGACAAGATCGTATCGAACCCGTAGGCTACCTGCTACGTGGTCAACTTTATACACCCAACAGGTCTCCTCTAGCAGTTTAAATACGTAAAAATCGGGGACGATAATGACGAACCGATAGGCCTCGCGTAATAGATCTAGGTATGGAAGAAGATAGGTATTAGCTATTGACGAGAAACGATGCTGTAACCCGAGAACTCAGCCAAAGTCGACAAATATGCCGATCAGCTGGTCATGACAACGTCACTATAAATTGTTACCGAGGTAGGGGGTACAGTGAGAGAGAAGTGAGAGATGGAAGGTGGAGGGTGGAGGGTGCACTCCACAACAATCATTATATGTAAATTTCTTATGTATAGAGTTAGACTGCAACTGGTTAATTGAACTTTGTTTGATTGATGGACAAAACAGACAACCAACCTCCGAATTCTTCGAACTCCCTGCGCTTGTAATATCTTATCTCGTGCTGGGTTCCTCTTCTTTCCTTCTCATCATCTCTTCTTCTCCCCGGGTCCCCTCTCTGTCCTCTTATCTCCAAACCACCAAGATGGCCTTGTAAGACATATCCAGTATACAATGTGAGTTATATATCTTGCTGACTGACTTTAACGGGCGTGATGAAGCCCCTGACCTCCGCATATATGAAAGCTTCTTCGCACTCCCCATTGTTATGTTTAGCAACATCAATCAATATCCGAGTCGACACCCCCTACCTCGCCAGAATCGAAGTGACACTGTCGTGCCCGCTACCCTCTGGCATCACAGAATATCCTCCCAGTCAGTCCCATTGCTGCTCACATCAAGCGGCTCAATTATGACGGGACCCGATTTCGCCACTATGGTCAGCTGAAATCCTACGCCCTCGAGGTTATGAACCTCATGCCCGCAAAACGCGATCCCATCCTTTGCCGAGAAATGGCGCAGTAGGGCGCAACCCTGGACCAAATTATCAACGACCGAATCGAGAACATCGAGTCTGCGCTTATGCAGGTTGTGGGTGTTACTGCAGAGCAGCCATGTGTCCCCTTCCAGTGGGGCCATGGCCCAAGGAGCTCCTGTATGGTTCTTGAGGATGATTCAGACTTGACTGCATGCGCAAGATGTTGCTTTGGGGACAACGACATAAGGTGCACTCCTTACCAGCCACCTCATCCGGACAAAGCAGAAAGGGAATGCAGAGACCGTCAAATTGAAGATCTTTGAGGGGAAATTGAGTGGCTCCAGAACCGAATCACCGAAATCAACCTAGCCCTTGATGAAATCAGCAAAACGATGAAAGTCCCACGTGAGGCTACTCAGCGCAACATGGCTGCTGATGAGACCCGTCAAGCAATGAAAGTGCTCGCTGAGACTGCACAGTTCCATAATCGCCAAGTTTCCCAGGCTCGGGCCGATAATGAGTTACTTCACTAGCATAACCAGGAGCTCCGCCGTCTGATTCGTGACGCTGAATGGCTTCAATGAGAGGAGGATGAGGTTGTAACACCCATTAAACCCCTTCGCCGTAGCCGTGGTCGTGGCCATCGCTAAGTGGTGCCAAATTGTTTGACCAAATTTTTGTTTTCAATGTTTTCCTTATCAAAGCACTGGTCGACGCACTAAGGGGATAAGTTGGGGATTAAAAGTGATTAGCGTAACGTGAATTAAACTATTTCATTCCATACTACACAAAATAAGTATCAGATCACTAACTAGAATGGAATGCTGTCGTGAGAATCGCTAAGATAAAACTTTATGAGACTTTCTAGATTAGACCATCCGTGAAATAAGTCACTCTCCGAAACAAGTACTATATTTGCCTTCAGGATTACTCCGAGTAGAAATATAAAAAAAAGCTGGGCGAGTTTTGGTGGGCGAATCACCTCCAATCGCGCCATCGCCGCACTGGCCGCTTCATTTGGGTTATGTCCGCTGCAGCACGATGCAGTACTCTGAATTCGGAGCTACAAGCCGAATTCTATACTGGATTAAGATGATACTTATATTCAACGGCTTAAAGTAAAACGTGAATACCTGGAAGAAGGTGCTACAATATTACAAATAAATGCTCTTCTGTTATCACGTCTCTATCGCCCCCCCTCTCAAACATGATACATTGATACAATCCTTTTTATTGGGTAAAGGTCTCCAATACTCCAATAATGACACCTTTTTCTAGAAATCGTATCAGTCGCTAATGGGTTACTTTGATTGGTCTGGAGTCGAATCCTGAATGTCAAATTTGGAGGCGACTCCCTAGAGAGAATCCCGTGGAGATAAGCTCATCAAGGCGCCTCGGCACGCCATCAACCATTTAAGCACTTGCCGCCACCGAAGTCACCCCGAAGATGTTCCCTTTGTACTTGGCATGAGTGGTCTAAATTGTAAAACTCCGTTCTTATGATCTTTTTTAATATTTTTTTTGGATGTTATTCCTTCATTGCCATGGTCTTACTACGTGGGATTACAGTACCTCATATATAGACGATTTAGGAATATCCTCGACGTATAAGATAAACCCCACTTATGTGAACGCGTCGTATGCCTGCGCGGGGTTGCATAATGTTAGATAGACCCCTAGGGAGAATATGAATTTTAAACCAATTATTTGGCAATGTAGCTTTCTTGCAGGGATATATCGGTAGCGTAATAATAAATACAGTACGGAGTAAATAGTTGCAATCCTATGAGACACCCCCTAGCATACGGCAAACAACTCGGTAGGTCGTCCGACCTATTATCTAGTCTTGTTGGAGTGCGTCAGCAAGTGTTTATAGCTCAACCGGTCAGACTACCCAAGTTAGTATGAAGCCATATAGATGTGGATTAGCTATCATGCTTTGGCTTATTTGCATGTCGGAGGGAACTTGTTGCCATTCTGGGTGGATCTATCGTGACCGTCGCATGCTGGCTTGGCCCAAGCCACGCGAGCAAAACAAAAAAAAAAAAGACCAGCTGCGAACTAGTATTAAGAACCCAGGTTCCGGTGCTTTTTCTATATCTCATCCCATAATTATTTTTTCCCGCGGCCCAGCCTAAAAATTGATACAGATATGGCGAGTTCAAAGGATCCCGCTAAAGATCCAAATATAACAGAGGCGCCGGCGGTAGCGGCAGATCTCGAATCTGAACACACCAGTCAAGATCCAGGAGAATGGCTATACAAATCGGACAGAGCAGAGCTCACGGAGCTCACACCAGTCGAAGCTTTCAAATGGAGTGTGGAGGGAGACCAGTCACCTTGTACGTTGACCTATATATATTCCAATTCTCAACAGCTGATGTTAACACTTCTTAGTTCCGGAGGTTGCGGCCTGTGTGTCCAATAAAGATGATCCCACGATAGCCTGCAACAGTAAGTCATTGATATTCCCTGTTAAAGAGCTGAATTAACTCTTCATTACAGCTGTTCGGGCCTGGATATTGATGACTGTCTTTGTTATACTTTTCTCCGGAGTTAATCAATTCTTCGGCCTACGATATGTAAGTTTCAGGTCCCTTCAATCAGTATTTACATATTTGCTAATATTTCCTAGCCTTCCCTCACAATAGGCTACGTCGTCGCTCAAATCCTCGTTTTCCCAATCGGACGAGCATGGGAAAAGCTTCCGAGGTGGAGGGTTCCTCTAGGAAAACTTACATTCGATGTCAACCCAGGAAAATTTACCATCAAGGAGCACGCCTTCATTGTTATTGTGAGCAAGAGCCAAGCTTCAGTTTCGTGGGAATTCTATCGTGAATTACATCTAACAAACCAAAACAGTGCGTCAATATTAGTGCCACCACCGCTTATGCCCAAGGTGCCTTGGTAGCGATTGTCAGTCCTGTATATTGGAACCGCGACCTCGGACCAGGCTTCTCATTCCTATACCTTTTGACAACTCAGATGATCGGGTAAGTGGACCCTGGGTTTCCCAGGTTATGCAGTCACTGATCTTTCCTAGATTTGGTCTTACAGGTCTTGCACGCCGTTGGATTGTGTACCCTGCTGCATTAGTATGGCCTACTTCACTGTCATCCACTGTTCTTTTCCGCGCGCTGCATGAGCCTGAAAGCCGTACGCCAGCCAACGGTTGGACTATTTCGCGGTATCGCTTCTTTGGCTACGTTACGCTATTTGGATTTGTTCTATTCTGGTTCCCAGACTACATTTGGACAAGCTTGAGCACTTTCGCTTTCGTGACGTGGATTGCGCCTCACAATCAGAAGGTCAACACGATTTTCGGAGTAAGTCTGTAGGAATTCTCACTGTTTCTACAGGAACTAACCCCAACTTGCTTAGATGAATTCTGGATTAGGTCTGATACCTATCAGCATCGACTGGACGCAAATCAACTACGCTGGTTACCCCCTCATGACTCCCTTCTACATCACATGCAATGCCTTTGCTGTCGTCGTGCTGTTTTACCTTTTCTTGTCGCCAATTCTATACTACACTAATGTGTGGTATAGCGCATAGTAAGTTTCCAGTCTGACAGAGGGAAATTCCAATATGCTGACGATCTAGCCTTCCTCTCCTCTCTTCTGGCACCTTCGACAATACGGGAAGCTCCTACAACGTATCTCGTGTGCTCGACTCGGCTTTAGACTTCAGTGAGAGCAAGTACAAGGAGTACTCTCCCATGTACATCTCAATGTCTTATTCCCTCACCTATGGATTATCCTTCGCTGCGGTTACCGCAATCGTGGTCCACACGTACCTTTACAATGGAACCGAAATTTGGGCCAGGATGAAGAATGCACAACATGGAGGTGAAGATGTTCATCGCCGACTGATGCGCCAATATAAAGAGGTCCCGGAATGGTGGTACGGAGTTCTGACGGTGGTCGTGTTGGGACTTGGTATCTTGACAACCAGATACTGGGACACTGAGCTGCCAGTTTGGGGTTTTATCGTGGTTTGCTTCGGATTGGCAGTGCTTCTAATTGTCCCTGAGGGTATTCTGCAAGGAACGACAAACCAACGGGTGTTCCTCAATATCATTACTGAGATGATCGCCGGATATGCCTGGCCCGGTAAGCCCATCGCGAATCTGATGGTGAAATGTTACGGTTATAATGCAGTCAAACACGGCATGGATTTTGCTCAGGACTTGAAGCTCGGGCAATACATGGTATGCTCCATTTTCCCTCTACTACTCGACCTTTACTTATTATTTAGAAAATTCCTCCCCGTGTTCTATTCTTTGGCCAGATCTATGCTAGTATTCTAGCTACAGCAACTCAGACCGGAGGTACGATGTTTTGTCAAATATGTGTTACGATTTTAAGCTAACGAAAGCAGTCTTACGATGGATGATGGGACACATTGATAAACTTTGCGAACCAACAAACAAGCAACGTTTCACATGTAACGGTGCCAAAGTGATGTACAACGCTTCCCTGATTTGGGGCACCATTGGCCCGCAGCGGATGTTCCAGTCTGGACAGGTGTACAATGGCCTTGTCTACTTCTTCCTCATTGGAGTGAGTCTTCAAACACCTTGAGTTTATGTTGCTTTACTGACTCTTCAGCCCGTCGTTACTGTAATCGTGTACGCCATCTACCGACGCTACCCCAACAGCTGGGTTCGCTATATCAACGTTCCAATCTTCTTCAATGCGGCAGGCAACATTCCCCCTGCAAACACTAGTATGTCTCCCAAAACATTCCTGATGGAGTTATTCTAATCTGACTAAACAGCCCAATACTCCCTGTGGTTCATTGTTGGCTTTCTCTTCAACTACCTCATCCGCAAGCGTGCATTTGACTGGTGGAAGCGTTACAACTGTGAGATTTTTTTTTATAAGTTTCCCCTTCTGAGAAGAAGTCACTAACTCACGATGTGCGTAGATTTGCTCCAAGCTGCCATGGATACCGGCACTGCTATTGCGACGATCATCATTTTCTTCGCGCTGGGTTACCATGCTATCGCTTTCAACTGGTGGGGAAACACAGTGGGATCTAATACGTACGATGCGAAGTCTGTGCCTTGGTTGACTGTTCCCAAGGGAAGCTATTTCGGAAAGGGTCCTGGCGAGTTTTGATTGAAGACTTATACATGATTGGATCAATTTTCGGCACGCTTATCGCTAGAAGATTATGTTACTACTCCCAAGAGATTAAAGCATAGAAGGCCCAAACATGAATGCCTAATTTACCCCCAACTGTTTCAAAGGTGGTTGTTTTCCACTCCACTATGAAGGTAGAAACAAACATACTATTACCGCAGATGGCTCCATTTTAGTTGACCGAGAGCTTCATCTCGCGGTTCCAGGTCTCTATATTTGTGAGAAACAGAATATTAACTACCTCAAAGGCAACCCGCCATCCCTTTACTTCGATGGTTGAGACTAAGCCTTCGTGCTTTGGTTGCAGATGGGTACCGATGACAACAAGTGAGTAATGCTATGTGTTGAGCATTAGTGAACCCCTAGGCAAAAATCATTGTACATCATAAAGTTTTACTCCTCCCTGCTAATATCAGTTTTGTACCTAAAGGAAGTAAGCAGTCCACCTGTAGGTATATACTGTTCGAATATAGACTTCTGTTAGCTTAAGGCTTACGAATGTGTCGATATATGGCTACTAGTGTTATTTTACATAAATTATCAGCTATCTTTCGGTCGCATTTATTTCAAAACTAAATGTAAAAGACAAAAGGGCGATATACATTAATAAACAAGAGTATCCGCTAAAGTGCCTTGTTTACCTGTACCTCACATCAATTGCCCGGGTGGCTAGTGGTATGATTCGCGCTTAGGGTTCACCCAAAGCATTAATGCGCGTCCCAGTCAATCCCGGGCTCGGGCCCATCTTCTTTTTTTCTAATTTTTATACTAATATAATTTTAATCAATATGCATAGATAAATGATATGTTTATATTGCTGTTCGGATTTTTCTCACGCGATTTTCGGCCTATAGGAATGCTCCCAGATATTATGAATATAGCCCTGGTTGGTGCCATTTCATGCTGAAAGAACACCCGCATATTTAGAAATCCAGTTAATGGAGCACATATACTTTTTAAATGTTAGACACAAGTCATATATTATTAGCTATTAATGTAAGAAACAATAGCCCAGAGTGGGAATTTCCATAATACCTCGGGTGTCTTGGGCATTTGCTTTGACAGTCACATCTAACTAGCTACGGCAAGGGACCTCGGGAGGGCTCAGTGATGATTATATAATCAAGCCCAAGGTTTTCAAGGTTCAAGGTTCAAAGTTCCCCGGAATCCGTTCGTTGTTTATCTTGACGTCCAGCATGCTTAAGAGCAATGTCATTTACTAGAATCGCAGGAATTCCCGAGTACTTCATGGAGTACTTACTATACAGGACCTCAATCTCAACTCGAAATTCCGAGGAGATATCTAGCGGGTCGAGCGCGTGCCAAGCCAAATGTATATGCTTTGGATGTTGCAAGTTTCGCTTAGGTCCCGTAGAAAACAAGACTTTGAACGTAAACCTAGAATATTGCAAGGTTTTCTTTTTAGTTTCTTCAGCGGACACGGCAAATTACCGAGTGTCGAGCCAATTGTGATGGGATTCTAGATGGAAGTTGCTCATATGGCCCGAGAAACGCGCAATTGCGGCGATGATGTCGTGATTCACGGGCGACCCCACCCGCATCGTTTGAACCACCCAACGCTCTCAGGTACGTCACTCATGCTAGAAACAGTGTAAGATGTGTTTGGATAGAATATAGCATGGAGAGCAGTGCACGTTAGGTGACCTACTCGAAACACATGTTGCCAACCAAGGTACGTATCAACATGTTAGATTTCTCCTGCACGCCTGTCAGAACCAAGCATTATATTACATTGTAGAAATAGTCCCTTTTGAGCTTAGGCTGAATCTTATATCCCCACTTTATCCATATAACCTTCCTTGCTAGGTTGCGAGGGCCGTGGCTTCTATTATTATTATGCAATTATCCACATGGACCGTGCCGCCAGTTAAGCGTGTGGTTTATAAAACTCTGCCTTTTCCTGTCTTTGCATTCATCTCCAACCTGCTGATATTGAGAGAACGAGCAAAATTGTCAGAATGGCCTCTCAAAAAGACGTTGAGGTAACGGTATCGCCTCCTATCTCATCAACCACCTCATCAGAACGGGATGAGAACTATGAGTTCTATAAACAACATCAAGGCCTCGAATACACAGCAGAGGAAGCCAAAAGGGTTCTGCGCAAAATTGATATACGCCTCATTCCCCTACTATTCTTAATCTACATGCTGCAGGTGAGAATATCGCGTGCCTCACTCGTTGAAATTCAGGTACTAATCCCATGCAGTACCTGGACAAGAACAGCATCAACTTTGCCTCTGTATACGGCTTGAAACAAGGCACACACTTAAAGGGACAACAATATTCATGGCTCAGTAAGCTTTCGATTCCGAGAACTTATAATGCAAGTCATTAATCCAATCAGGCTCCATTTTCTACTTCGGATACCTCATTGCACAATGGCCTGCAGGGTTAGCATTGCAAAAGCTGCCCGTTGGAAAATTCCTTGCGGTTACCACATTAGGTAAGAGATATCCCATGAGAAGTCGTAATGTGGATTCAATACTGGAACGATGCTGACAGTAACAGTATGGGGTGGTTTGCTCATGACGACACCTGCATGCTACAACTTTGCTGGAATTGCAATCAACCGCTTCCTTTTAGGAATGGTCGAAGCAGTTGTAACTCCTGGATTTGTTCTTATGACCGGCATGTGGTACACATCAGAAGAACAACCCTTACGACTAGAGGCATGGTACTGTACTAATGGTATCGCGACGATGTTCGGAGGGTAAGTGACGAGCAAAAAGCCAAATTATATTGGAAATGAAAACCGGAAACTAATTAAATATAGTCTCATTGGCTATGCGGTCGGACATATTACCACTGGACTTCCACGATGGATGTATGTCTTCCTTATTTTTGGAGCCTTCTCCGTCGCGGTAGGAGTTCTTGCCCTCGTCTTTCTCCCTGATCTCCCATCGACTGCCAAATTTCTCAGCGAGCGTGAGCGAGCGATAGCTGTTGAGCGTGTCGCCATCAATCGACAAGGTGTCAAGAGCAGTCAGTTCAAATGGTATCAGGTTCGACAAGCTGCCGAAGATCCGAAGACATGGCTTTTGTTCATCATGGCTATTGGTGCACAAGTCCCGAATTCAGCATTAACCAGTGTATGTCTTCCGTTAATTACGAATTGGATGTGAGTGAAGCTAATAACCAAAACAGTTTACTTCCATTATCGTCGGCACTTTCGGATTTGATACGCTTGGAACTCAATATCTGCAAATTCCCGGCGGTGCTGTTCAGTTTGTCACTCTGCTTCTGGGAGGTTATATCGCAACAAAGTTCGATGGCAAATTCCATTCACGGTTCACATGCATGATCTTTGCTTGCACGGTCTGCATTATTGGATCGGGTCTTCTTGTCGGACTACCAGACACCAACAAATGGGGCCGCCTTGTCGCACTCTGGCTATGCTATTTCCAAGGGCTGGGATTCAGCATGAGTCTCACAATTGTTAGCTCCAACATTGCGGGATATACCAAGAAGCAAGTCACCGGTGCCCTTTTGTTTACTGGATACTGTGTGGGAAATATCATTGGACCTCAGACTTTCAAGTCCAGCGAGGCCCCTAGGTACAACAGTGCTTACATTGCGTATGTTGCCATTCGTCTTTATATAACGGTGTCAATTAACTGACAATTTCTACAGGATGCTCGCTGGCTATGCAGTAAAGCTGGCCTGTGTTGTCGCTTTATATATCTATATGTACCTCGAGAATAAGCGTCGAGACCGCGAAGCAATCGATGGTCAGGAGGTGGAGGCAGAAGGTGTTGAAAACGGCATGCTGGTGAGTTTCGAGTCCCAAGAAGCTTTGAGATAAGCTAACTTATATCCCCCAAGGACAAAACGGAGATCGACAACAAAGGGTTTAGATATGTCCTGTAAAGAGAAACTTTAATTTTTAACTATGCTTTTGCTACAAAAGATTTATTGTTCTCTCCAGAAAACAACGGAAACTCTAGAAATAATGAAGCTCGTAGAAATGAAGTAAAGCGAATTTGAATTGAAAGTGAAAGTGATTTGAAATTTCCCGATAACTGCACATGACAAATATTAAACGAAACCCCAAGCACTGTTCCAATCTCCCCCTGGTAGGTTCTCGAGCGTCTGCCAGACTTTCTTGAAAATCTTCTTCCACAAGTGTCTTTTCTTCTTACGAGGTATCTGGGGAAGCTCAGCATTCTTGTAGGAAGCATCAGAGCTGTAGGTGTTGTAGGTTCCAGACCTGCTAAGTGGACTGGACCGTTTGGTGCTTAACTGCATCATCATGGACAGGTTATCCTTCTGTTGTGCCGTGGCCATGCTCCTCTTTGCTGCGCTGTCCCTCAAATCCCGGGTACTGGTGGTTCTTCTCAGTCTCCCAGAAGGGTGGAAGGATCTCTCTGAGTTGTCGGTTTTGGCAGGCGAGTTTCCCAATCTGTAATCCGACGCGGCCTGAGGAGGTGTGTGTTCCTCCTCAATAGCTGGAAGCGAAGGTTCAAACACAGCTATTTTCTCACAAGAGAAGATTTCCGTCATCTCTTCTTCGTTGGTCTCAGCAATTCCTTGAGCGATTGCCAGAGTGATAGGGTGAGGGGGATGAGTAGCATAGAAGAATCTCCCTGAGTTGTCGGTTTTACCAGGCGAGTTTTCTAGTCTGTAATCCGAGGCAGCCAGAGTAGGTGTGTGTTCCTCCTCAATAGCTGGAGGCGAAGGCTCAAATGCAGCTATTTTCCAGTCAGAGAAGATTTCCATCATCTCAGCATACTCCTCATCCTATATTGTATATGTCGTTGGTCTCTAATCTTTGCAAGGGATATACGAGCTAAAACTAGGATAGATACCAGTTTTTTAGTGACACTAGGGCCGATCGAAGTTGCATCCAGGTGCCGGGTGTCCGGTATGGGGATGTTCGTGTCCATGACCAGGGCTTTGGCATCCATAGGAGTGTCATTCCCATCCTCTAGCGAGTTGCAATATTCGCGAAAGGAAAGTCGGATACACGCATCGTCCTATATAGTATGGCTATTATTAGTCTCAAAAGGTCTTAAATCTCAACTTGGTAAAAATGGAAGCGGGATAAATACCAGGTTACTAGCGGTGTTAGGGCCAGTAAAAGCTGTAGCTAGGCTCTTAGTGTCCGAAATTGGGATATCTGTCTCTCTAGTTAGAGCGTTGACATTCATCGGAGTGTCATTATCAAGATCCTGCAGCGAGTTGCAATATTCACCAAAGTAAAGTCGGACACAAGCGTCGTCCTATATAGTGTGGCTAGCGTTAGTCTGAAAAGGTCTTAATTTTCAACTTGAGGAAATGGGAGTGAGATAAATACCAGATTACTGGCGGTGGTAGGGCTAGTGAAAGCTGCAGCCAAATTTGCGGTGTCCGTGTTGGAAATGTTATTGTCGGAAATTCTAGTGTCCGCAGTGAGGGCTTTAGTCTCCTTCGTAATATCATTGTTGACTTCCTCCCACCAGTCGAAGTGTTCACGAATAAGAAGGCGCCCGTATTTCTCGTCCTAAATAGTGAAGCAACTGTCAGTATTTAAGGTCTTAAGTAGATATACGAATAGAAGTGAGGATAAATACCAGTTTAGGAGCCGTGATAGGGACTGAAGAGGCTGGAGGGATGGCTTTAGTCTTCATGACAATATCATTCTCGACGTCCTCCCACCATTCAAACTGCTGGCGCACAAGACAAGCATCTTCATTCTCCTGAATAGTGCAGCAACTGTAAGTATATAACGTCTTAAGTAGGTGTATGAGATAGAAATGGGAACGAATACCTGCTCCGGGACAGTGATGGGGATGGTAGAGGTTGAAGCGGTGGTTTTGGTCTTCATAGCGATGTCACTCTCCATGTTATCCCACCAGTCAAAATGTCCCCGCATAAGGAGATGAGTGTATTGGTTCGCCTATACATAGTGTAGCTATCGTTAGTAAGTGACCCTTCAAAACAATTTACCAACTAAAAAGGGGCGAAGTACCATGATAGCCTCTCCTATTAGGCTTAGATAACCGATGAATCCAAATGATGATGGAAAATGTTAGATGATAGATGAAGTATAGAGTGTTGGTTAGATGATGGATGAAAGATAGATTGTTGGTGAATTATGATGGATATGTAGGACGAAGCAAATAGAGAGAATTGCTAAATACCCTTTTTATATCGGAGTAAACAACGCCAAATAGGAAGGACGTCGAGGAGCTCTTGCCTCCAGGCAAACATTAATCTAATTTGTCCCATATAATCTATACCCACCGTATGTTGACAAGAATATGCTTAGGCGTAGCAAGCTCAGTGGGACCATGGGTTAGGATGCGATGGTCGTAAAATACATGTAGCGAGTAATTCACCTATCGATGAGCTGTCAAATCGTATATGCTCTAAACCAGACTCATTATGTGTGCACAGAGCTTCAAATTATTAGATGAACACGAACAGATACGACGGAGTGAAAGCCCTACATTAAAGAATCTGTTGATAGAAACCTTACACCATTAGTGAGTACCTACCATAGAGCAACATACGAATCTCCTTGAATAATAGTTTGTTTTCACCTGTGATGGTAACTAAGCTAAGGCCCAAGCCATTATGGAGATGATGGTAAGGATTCAATTTCTACTATTGCAAGGGCTAATAAGGTCGAACCGTTTCCTGGTGCATAATTGCCGTTTTAACATGGTTCTGAGCCTCCTAGTACGTGCTTTAGGCCACTTTGAACAGGCCACTTAAACATTATACACAATGAAGATAAAGTCGAAATTGGATAAAAGTTTCAATCTTTCGGCATTGTAACGGTGGTTCTGGCCTTTAGTTTTGCTTTCAGCAGTGGAAATCTAATCTCGTCCATAGAGATATCTTAATTGTTCGCATTGGGTCGGAAGTTTCAGTCTACAGTATAAGACGACTACTAATACATCTTTCATCTAGACTTCTCATTCCTCCAGGATTGTCTGTTTGGGTTTATCTGATACTTTAAAGCCCTCGTTCGACATTATAATCTTGGCTTAGAACACAGACAACTGAACACCTCATTAATAACTGAGGTATTCGCTAATTGTATTCTACGGCCATTTTAATAGGGACCCCGTGTTCCCGCTAGACTCGATGTGCCACCATACGGTGGTTATAGATCAGATGGCACACTTTAGATTAATGTTTATCTGGAGGAAAGAGCGTCCCCGAGGCCCTTCCTGTTTGGGATTGTTTACTTCGATATACAAGGTGTCCTCAACAATTGTCTCTATTTACTTCTTCCATCATATCCTCCACCATTTTATCAAAGATCTATCTTCATCTATCACCTCATTAAATATTCACTTTTATCTATCATCTCACGTATTACATCATTATTTCGATTCATCGGTTACCCCAGTTTGATAGGAGAGACCATTATGGTATTTCACCCCTCTTTTAGTTGGTCTATTCGTTCAAAGGACCAGTTACTCACAATGACTACACTATATAGACTGATCAAGACGCACTCCGGGTTCCTGTTTCATATGACTGCTGGAAGGATGTTGGCAGTGATATCACCGTGGACACCAAAGACCTGGCTATCACCCCCACTATCCCTACCACAGCAAGAAACCCAGTATTTACCACCACTTCCAGCTCGCATAACTCTTTCGGACCGAACAAACTAATAACATATATACACTATAGGACCGCGAGGATGCTCAAATGCCTTTTTATTGCGACTGTTCAAAGTCTTCTGAGAATGGTATCACCGTCGAGACCGAAGACCTGGCTGTGGTTTCCACCAGCCCTACCGCCGCTAGCAACATGGTACCTATCTCCACCTTCATCTCATGTATCCGTGCCAAACCTCAGAGACTAATGATCACTCCACTGTAGAATGACGAGTCTGTCCAACTTTTTCTAAGTGAAGATAACAACTGGCCGGATGATGCTGCAAGCGACACCGCCGTGTGCACCGAAGACCTGGCTGTCCAAAACAAGCTCCTTCCCACAACTAACGGGCATATTGGTGAGCATGGCAACTGCGATCACACCGCTCAGGACAATACATATGCTCAACTCTCATGCCCCGATACATCCAATCAGTTCATCGACGAGTACGAGTACCGAGAGTTGATTGGTAGGGAAGATCCTGCCATCCATCATTGGAACTGGTTTGGATGGCCAGTTTATGGACCCACCGCAACCCCACCGGCGGTTTCCCTAGCATTTATGCAGGCTAAACCAAAGGTCCCACGGGGAAGGGATCGACTCCGTGTAGTTTCCATCATCAACCGCGCTATTCATCAAATTGATCCTGTCATCTTGAGGGTTAACGGTGGAAATGAAGCAGTTCTACAAATGCATGGGTCTGCTCTCGTTGAGGCGTGCAAAGATGACACTTATAACCATTATTCCCTCCACGGGAACTGGATGAATGATGAATTCGAAATGCGGCAAATTATCGTTCCAGATATCGTTGGGAGACCAGCAGTACGTTCAACCAGCGATGGAAATTTTGCAATTGGCAATGGTATTTTTGAAAATGGTCCCCTTATTTCTCGAAACGAGTGGGTAGATTGGCAAGATGAACTGGTTGCTGCCACCAAGGAGCCCGATCGATCCCCTCGGAAAATGACCTGGAAGCCATCGCCTTCAAATCTCAAGATCGAATCTATGGCATCCGAGCAGCTACCCCTAGACCAGCTTCTCACTTACTCATTTGTGCCCCTTGAGATTCTGAGCAACATGATCCAAAGGGCGGGGGTCGCCCCAAAGAAAATGATCTACACGCCCACCTCTTCTCCTATTGGAATCGTGGAAACCGTGACCAGGAAGGCTTGGTCTGGCCGCAAGATTATCCCTGGTACACCCTTGACTATCCGACCTGGGATCATGGGTGATCTCATCAAGAAGACTTGGCCTACTGCTTGTGATTCCCTTCGCAGATCTTTTGCTTTCACCTCGGAATCATAGGCGCAATCATGAAGAAGGCTTGGCACTTGATAAAAGCCGTTTTCAATTCCCACAAGTTTGTATCCCGATGTTCTTTCAATGATTTCAAACTGAAGTAGCTTTTATTTTGGTTGAGATTGAGTTTGTTCTCACAATACAGTCAATTCAGGACTATTTTCCTTTCCACTGTAGATCTACTTTTGGGGTTCTTTCATAGGCTTGTATATCCCGGTTCAACTTTCCCGTTAGTAAACATGACAACTATTTAGAAGATGAGGAGAATAACTTTGCCATGGGTTCTAAAGACCTGGCTGTCGAAAATGAGCCCTATGCTACATCTAACGGTGTATTCAATTGGGCTGACAATGTCGAGGAGGCGGTTGGTCCCCTTCACTCCGTAACTCGGCCAGACACCCAGTCTATCACGCGAGCCATCGCTCAAGGCATTGCTGGGACTGGCGATGGACCAGAAGCCTTCCTATAAAGTATATATTTATATATACCCAGTCACTCACCTTACGTATAAGACTTATACTTTAAAACATGTACGAACTCTACCCGTCCACTTGATATTTATTGAAGTATTGCGAACTTATTTGATAAGGATGCATACATTTTAGCAGGGGCATCACGCGCAGATACAATGACGATTCACCACTCGACAACTCGTACAAAACAAAATAAAACGAAGGAATGATAGGTTTTCAAGTTTCATTGAGATATGAACGTAGCGCAAACCCAAGTTGGCAGATAAACGAAACGAACCAGATAAATCGAGAATAACCCCATGTTTTTTGAAAGATTTCCTGTTTTCATACACATCAAATTCCAAAAATCAATGCCACCTGGGCATGCCAAAAAAGAAACAAATATGTAAGTTTGGTCTGTCCTCATGCACAGGGTGCGACGACCAAAAGTAAAACTAAACGTAATCTGAAGTGAAACCAAAACCAAAGTGTATCCAATCAAAAACTAATCCAGTAAGATTCAAAAGCACACAGAACCCAGGAGCAAAGCACAAACGATGCACCAGACAGAGAATAAACAAATGTCTAGCTGAATTTGCCTTTTAAAGAATGTGACCGCCGATGCCAGTCCCTGGCGAGCCTTTGCAAATGCATACTTGATTCCCTTGCGACGACCAAAAACAGGAGTGGGGAAAGAGAAATACTCCTCAGGTGGTGCCCCAACAATACAAGTCGTGATCTTGCGATGTGGCTTCTTTGTTTCCTTGATGGTCTTTGGCTGTGGTGCATTGGTGGTTATCTCTGGTAGAATGGATTCACATTGTCTCAAAGGCGAAGGCTTTGGCTCCCATGTCATTCTCCGCGGAAGCCCACTCTGAGAGTCATCGCAGGTTTGGTTTCGAGACTCTTCCCACTGAGACACTGATCGAATCGCACTGGACTCCACAAAGCCATTTCCAATGGCCAAACCTGGGGCATCGTAAGTCTGCACATCGCCAAAGTCGGTCGTAGTCTCGTCGCTTGGGTCGTTTGGATCATCCATCCATCTCCCGTGAGGGGAATAATACTTGAAGACCCGTCCGGTGGATGCACGTACAAGCTCTGACCCCCGGAGCTCGAACAAGGCATTTGTGGTGCCATCCAGAAGTACAAGAACAGGGTCTATGTAGTCACCCGCTCGGTTCAGAAGTGACAGAATTCTCCAGGTGGCGCTTCCTTGGGGATTCTTAGGGTTCGCTAGGATTATGGCAAGCGAATCACCGGGCGAGGTTGCGCTGTGGGTGTAAGTTTGCACCCCCACCCAGTTGAAATGGTGTATTTCCTGGTCAGCTTCGATCCAGGCTTGACGGTCAGCAAAGATGCTATCGACAGATTGCTGTGCAATTGAATAGACTTCGGATTCATCGCTTGGTGTCAATCGCTCCCGATGAAACTCGTCTTTGGGAAAAGGCTCCTCGTAACATGAAGATGCGCTAGTAGTCTCATTGGACTCAGTCTGTATTTCTTCGGATGGGCTTGAGGTTGAATCTGCAGTTCCATGAGCCCAGCCCCACAGCTCATCCCACACCTCTTCATATAGGGTTGGATCGGACGGCTGAAATTGGGGGATGGGAGCGTGATTGGGGGTCGGGAAACGCTCGTTGTACCAGGCCGTATCAACGACGCGGTGATTAATAGACTTCGGAATGACTATAGGTAGATTCTCCTTAGCTATAGCGTCTTCGACATCTTCAGCCCAATCAAAGTTGGTCCGGCGAAGAAGTTCATCCAAGGAAGCAGTCTGGGTTGAAAAACATTCACGTAAGCTTCTCTCAGGTTTTGGTACAATGTTTAGAGGAGCTATATAACAAACCTTGGCAGGAGAAGGCATGATGATAGGATTGTAATATTTGATAGATTTCAATGCTGCGGATAGATTTCAAGATCGATATTGATGTGTTGAATATGCATATGTGAAGTTAAAGAGTAAACAAGATCGTATCTAGGAAGAGATGCTAGGTTACCGTGGGCTGGTTACCGTGGGGTTTGTGTTCTGCTGAATGTTGAAGGAAGGTGCGCTTCTTTGCTCTTTCGGTCTAAACAAAAAGCTCACACGAGGACGAGGACTCGAGGAAAGGCACCGAGACTAAGATTGCTTTACACTGCTAGATAGGTATAACCAACGCTATTTATCAAATGTATCGGGGGCAGTGACTGGTCTTTAGAAATATTAATCGATATCCTCCAAAGAGATTTAGACAATGGCATTCATTTGATCTTTGTCCGGCTACAACGAGTCTTGTGTTATTGATCATAAAGGTGCACTTAGCTCTTTGTCAAGTTAAAGATGACCATCCAATTTAGGGCATTTTGCATCAAAGAAAATCTTTCTCTTTGACCAACTCCAACGAGACAAGAAGCTTTGTCAATTTAGTCAGAATCGTATACAAAGAATCTAATGACATGTATTCAGAGACAAACTCCATTATGTGCATTAGCTCCGAATAATCGTGCCAAGCGCACAATATACCTTTGCTATTTTCATGAGGTCCACCAGATAGCGAGTTGCAAAAGTTAGGCATCTTTTGTAAGGCAACCCAATACAAAAGGGGCATAGGTGTAAGATGAGCATAACATCGATTTCCCTAACTCTTAAACTAGCTAAGTGAAAAATAAAAGGTCACGTTATGATGTATTTTTAGTTCAATGGATCTATTGCTAGGATCAATTCGGAATATATGATATAGATGTGCAAAGAGGACTTTAAAAAGTGCCATATGTTAAAAGTTTAACTAGGCTCTTGCTTGAAGCATACTTGATAATTTCGAGTAATTGAGACTTAATTTACGCTATAGCTACATATTCCTGTATTCTTCCTAACTATTGCAATGATCAAGAAAATCGAGATTATGACTATGTTCTGTTCTGAACGAGATAACGGTAGAGATCAAATGGAACACCCTAGGCAAGGCGGCACTGACCCGGCTAATATTCCTGTATAGGGTTACTCATAATTTCCAGTAGCTAATCCTATCTACATGAACGACAATGACCCTTTAGTCATCGAAACCGACTTAGTGGGTATGTATACTTTTTCTTTTGTTCTTTCTCCCTGTCCAATATTACCCAATGACCCAGCGATATACAGCGCCTAAGCAAAGTCTTGCAGTTTTATTTTTTTTTGTGCTGCTTAGGCTTAGTATCTACCCCTGCAATGTTTATAATGAAACTAAACAAGGCTTTACTACATCTACATAACAACTAATTACTAGTATAGATTTGTATCCATAGATGGATAGGAACTTTATTGTACCTACATGTACGTACATATGCGGGAATGCGGGACAGCGAATTACCTCCAGGGCTACCTACCCGTGGACCGTAATGGGTGGCTTACCGATTTTCTGCAACGGGGGTAAAATTACTCTTATTGTCATAGTGGTGTAATTCCTTAGCCGTAGGGCCAATCAACACAGCGAATGTGTTGGGCGCTTGGCAGGATTACTATATTGAGATAAGAAATCGGCCTTCTCGCCGCGGGGCTGCGTTGTATGTGATTACATAACACAAGATGACGCCAGAGTCCCCGCACTCGTTCGTGATCATTCTATTTATTTTGGCTTCTCCGTTTCATTTCCCTTTGAAAAACAGAGACTTCGATCCATGATCCATTTACGAGCTTGCATCAGATCAATTGGACACCTTCAGCGACTCTCACACCCCTTCACATCTCCAGCTCTCTCCGCGAACTCCTTCTTCCCTCTCACAGCCCTACAAACTTCTATCCAACGCACTATGGCTTCCGCAGTAGCAAAGCGCCTCGAAGGCAAGACTATCGTCGTTACCGGTGCCTCATCTGGCATTGGAAGAAGCACCGCCAAGGAGTTCGCCCGGACGTCGCCCAAGAACCTGAAGTTGATCCTCACGGCGCGCCGCATCGACACATTGAAGGAGGTCGCGGCGGAGATTACACAGGAGGTTGGCGATGGTGTCCAGGTTCTTCCCGTTAAGCTTGATGTCAGCAATCCAGAGGAAGTCAGCAACTTTGTTTCCTCCCTGCCAGAGGAGTTCCGGGAGATTGATGTACTTGTCAACAATGCGTGAGTCATACACCTCAAGCTAAACTGATTGATATTCATGGTTGATACTGACATTCGCGGTGCAGTGGCTTGGTCAAGGGTGTCGCCCAGGCCCCTGAAATCGCTGCCGAGGATATCAAGGTCATGTTTGACACCAACGTCACCGGTCTCATTAACATGACCCAGGCCATCCTGCCCATCTTCAAGAAGCGCTCTGAGGGTGGCCGTGGTGATATTATCAACATTGGCAGTATCGCCGGTCGCGAGCCTTATTCTGGCGGCAGCATCTACTGTGCCACCAAGGCGGCTGTCCGCTCCTTCACTGACGCGTTAAGAAAGGAGCTCATCGCCACGAGAATTCGTGTTATTGAAATCGACCCTGGTCAAGTTGAGACGGTATGGTCATCCCATATATTTATAGCCCTCTGTGATATGAAGCTAATAACTACGATTAGGAGTTCTCTGTTGTGCGATTTGGTGGCGACAAGGCCAAGGCCGATGCTGTCTACAAGTAAGTCGTGCCAAAAACGCCGGAAAAACATAGTGTAATTAACCGTTCGCAGGGGCGTTGAGCCATTGACCGGTGACGACATCGCTGAAATTGTTGTCTTTGCGGCTGGTCGTCGTGAGAATGTTGTGATCGCCGATACCCTAGTCTTCCCTAGCCACCAAGTAAGCTTGTTTACGGTTAAATTTCTTGTGGATATGTTCTAACTATTTTATAGGCTGCTGCTGGTGTCATGCACCGCAAGTCTTAACTTATACAACACGGATCCGAATGAATATGAGAGGAGGTTTAGATAGCGCTCATTGTACATGTTCCAAGGTCAGACGTTGTGTGGCGTAAATACGAAGTACATATTCGACCGCCCAAAATGTGGGTTCAAATTAGGTCGATGAGACCGACGTAAAAAAGAAGTTGTTACGCTGCGTATATTTCATAGTATACATGAGAAAAGTACATATATATCAATGAGGCAGAGAGGCGTTAACCGAGCCACGACTGTTAGCATCCACGCTCATTTCAAAAAGGATGACCCGATGATCACAGAGCGGCAAGAGCCAGTGCAGCTGCAACACCACCGGCAGCCCAGTGCGCGTTTCCAGTAATCATGGGCATAGCAGCATTACCAGACTCAGTCTGGCTAGTGGCAGCAGCACTGCTATCCGAGGACGCGCCAGCAGTGCTAGTACCAGTGCTAGTGCTTGTGCCAGTAGCGGTACTGTCAGAAGTAGAAGCGGAGGTAGTCAAAGTAGCACCGCTAGTCGAGACGGCGGTAGAAGCCGAGACTGAGGCACCAGTGGTGGCGGACGCGCTATCAGCTCCAGTTGCGGTGATAGTCACAGGCATCAATGCGCCACCGGGAATTTCAGAGATAGCAATGGCCGAGTTCCAGGTGGAGGTTGTGCCACGCTCGTCGAAGCTTGCGCCGCACTTTGCGCTTGTGGCATCATACTTGCAGCTCTCAACGATGGTGCTGTTTCGGGAAAGGATCAGCTATGACTGTGGGGGATAAGTGGATTTCCTTGTAGGGCTAGAAACTTACACATCATCCATGCCGTATGACAGGCTAACGGTTGAAGAGCCTTGGGCCACGACCATGCCGTTGTTTGGAATGCCGCACTCGTCGGAAGCAACGTCGGCGGCACATTTGATAAGATATTTGGTCATGGAGCCGCTCTGGAACAAGATATTAGTTTCTGTGTTAACTAAATAGAGGATGGATTGCACATACAGTTCCAATGACCTTGCCCTCGATTCGTTGCTCGTCAAATCCAGGCAGGAAAAGAGTGACAGTTTCGGCAGCAATGGCGGTAGTGGCACCGGCCAAGAGAGCGAGAGATTGGATGCGCATTTTGTATTAAGATAATTAATGAATGTGAAGGGAGTCAAACGAGCGACAGAAATGGAAATCGAATATGTAAAAAGAAGATCAGAGGATAAATTTGAGAGATAGGGCGATATTGCCTTCATATAATTAAGAATCTATTTTCAGGGTCATCGGCAGTAAGCAGTAAGCAGCCTAAGGTTCCAGGCTAGACCGAACAGTCTAGAGCCATTTTGGATAATGCACGAATGGCCTTCAAACGAAGCCTTCCTATTGGTTGTTTGATTATACCCTAGTCGATTAATAGAAGTTCTCTAGCCTATTTTGGTACTAGCGTGTGAATAGACCCTGCAAAAGTTATACCGCTATACCTAACTGGGATATTTGAACCCCTGGCTCCCCGTAGTGGCCAAAATGGCCCGGGAGAAGCCAAACGAGCCAGACGCAAGGCATCTTAACCCCAAGAAAATGGATCTATTGAACTCCCGATTTCAACCCTTTTTAAATGCCGGAGAAGTGGCTATCGGGTTTTATCTCTATATCTATATTCCGGGTGTCCACAAAAAGATTTCCCTGAAGATAGCCAGAAAAAGATGCTGAAATATCCTAAGCTAACTTATACTGGGTAGTATCAATGCCAACAATAAGGACTGAAATTTTCCACTAAACTAGGCCCTTAGCGGAGGGGGCCGCCCCTCAGCCTCAACTTGGCCCCCGTTTTCACGGGTTTCACGGATTCCTCATAGAAAGTCAATGTTGACCTTTTTTTCCCCCTTTTTAAACCCAAGTTGATAGCCATTTTAGCATTTTAGCACTGATCTAACTTACATCTAGGGCTACTTTCGGTGCGGGGGCTTTTTATCAGATAAGATATTATTTGCACTTCGTCCTTCATGCGTGATTCGTGTTCTGTCCAGATATATATACCGTGTCTCGGACCACGATCGTTGGACACGAGATTCAGCTAATGGTCTTATTTCAAATGACCATACTTGTTTACCAGTTCTTCTGCTTTACTATTTCATTCCACTCATATCCAAGGACGGCTCTGAGTTAACCCAAATGGCTCCCTAAAACCCAATTCCTGCGTAGGCCGATGCAATTCATACATAAGCAATTTGACCCGGAGCTCCGCAAATACAGCTTCTCGAAAATAGTCCATAGACCCTGAGTTGGTACTAAAGGTGGCTTGATTGATAGCCATGTGCCCGAAAGCCCCGCTAAGCCAGCAGGGTGGTTGGCTGAACCTAATTGCCAAGCTTCAAAGGGAGTAATGCTAAGCGATTAGCTAGGGTCCTTTTCTTCACGAGCCAACCATGCGTATCTCAACTAAAGTAAATAGGGTGTTTGAGACAGGGTATCATGGTGGCTGATGCCGCAGGTGATCATTTCCCACCGAAGTTCCAAGTTATCTCCCCCGAAGGATTCCCACGCTGCAACCTGATTCGAGTACAGTCGTTCGCAACAACGGCTGCACGAACACAGCTCCTATATAGGCTCATTTTATGCATTCAAACTTCTTGGCAAGGCATATTTCTACCTTGGCATAAACTACAAAGAAATGCTCCGACTTCTTCGATTCACTATAAAGGAGCACCCTATCCGCAAAGGTCCACTAACCCAACCTCTCCACAGCGAAAACATCGCAACTACCAGATATAGGAACCGTTTCTGATATCAATCGAATATATTCTCACCACAGCCATGACAGGAAAGATCGATACCAACAATAAGGTCTATAAGCTGGCCGCCATGCCCTTCATTTTGGAACGCAAGGGTGACTACGATGAAGCCATCACCGTCTACAAGAACGCCATAACTGTTTTGGACGAAGCAACTAAAATATACAAGAAAGGAAATGTCCTCAAAATCAACAGAAAAATGTTTGAGAGACAGGTTCAAGTCCATCGAGAACGCCTAGCCTATCTCGAAGACCTAAAGAGCAAGGGTAGTTTCGACGGTATAATATTGCCTCCCACAATTTTGGACGCGATGGAGGAGGTGGAAAAGGAGGATGGAAAGACCTGGTCATTGACCCAGGTAAGCCTCACACTTCGGGACATGGCACGACCCCTCTAGGTCACTAATTCTTGCAAACTGTCAGATTCGCAAGGATCTTAATACATTCCGTGGGGGTGATTCCAGTCAATCTACAAATGATATCAGCACAGCACCAGCCCACATCCAACCATTCCTCAATGACGATACCTCACAACGCCCCTTCTTCTCGCTGACCCTGTCTCCTGATGCGCCCACAGTCACTTATCGCATCACACATTCCTCCGAGCTCGTCAATCTGGGCATGCGCTCATATTGGTTTTTCGTCAAAGACGCGACTAACACACACGTCTTGTACGCCCTGCAATTTGTCTGGAGCAACGAAGCGCCCATCGTCGAGACGGTCCTTCGACGCGCTGGAGAATTCTTACCTCAAATCGGCGCGACGAGCGTGAGACTGCAGAGGACCAAAGGTGGTACTTTTCGGATGATGACACGGACAATCCCCGACATGGGCACAATAACTGAGATTCCGGACGGAGAGATGCAGCGGAAGGATTGGTCGCCGCGGCGATTTGAGTACGGAGGGCGCAATTTCGTTTGGAAGAGTGCAGCAGCAGAGGGTAAGAAGGAGAGTGGGATGTTTGGGAGCTTCGGCATCGCCTGGGAGACTTTGTATGAGACCAAGCGTGTGTGGCCTAAAAGTGGAAGTAGGACCGGGAAGATGGAAGATGAAATTGTTGGTTCCAGGCTGTGCTGGGGAGAGAAGAAGGGCGGAAACGGTGCTGACCATAGCATTCACATGGTCGGTGGCTTGGATCTGTATTTCAGAGAGCATTTGCTCGCGGTCCAGTTGTCAAGGTTGGCTCGTGCCAGTTATCCCCCGCAAAAGGATACCAAGGGAATCGAAGCAGCATCAGCTGGTCTGGGTTGGCTCTCTATTGTTTCGGATTTGGCATGAAATCCTAGCTAGGGGCCTCGTTTTCCTTTTTCGCTGTATATTTTCCTTCTTCTTATGATACCGAGTTCTGCATTTTTAGTCGCGATGAAGAAACGAATTAACATCATTTCGATGGGCCATTATCTGATTGTTGTGGTCAAGCTTCACGAGATCAGTCATCTGGTGGTTGTTGAAGTTGCTCCAAGAAGTCTTTATCCAGATTTCCAGCGTAAAAGCCTAAATTTTGAGCGAAGAGGGGTTGTTGCCTATAAAAGGTCAGTATGCAGATGATATTTGGGAAAGAGACAACGTACCTGTTAATCGGGATGGAGGTGACCATTTCCTCAAACAGAGCATCGAATCCCTCGTTTTCTGCAAGCGTGAGCCCAGCCGGTGATTGAAAAGTGGAAATAACACACGAGTCAGAAATAGGATTCGCTGTAGCAATGATGGAGTTTTCCGGTCGCGTTTCCAACACTTCTAGATGTGATGGCTGGACTAACCCATTGCAAGCAGGGTCCATTCGAAGATTCTCGACCCTTGCAGGTCTCATGTCAACTGATCCCTGGATATTTTCCATTCCATCCTCCAAATTCTGCAGGTACGGGGAAAGTCGGGATTTGAGAGCCCGTCTCTCCGCGGAGTTAGCGTCGGAGTAAATTATATCAGAGCATTGCTGGCACTGGAGAGCAAAACAAGACAACAATGGTGACATTTGTAACGGCCCAGCTGTCTCCAGATATCGGCCCAACAGAATAACACTAGATTGCACGAGGTTGACAACCAACTCTTTTTCCGTAGTATCAAGCGTTGGGCTTCTTTTCAAGAAATCCAGCATCACAAAGGAACATGTGAGATGCAAAGTGAGTAATGGAGGAGTGGTGTACTCAGGGCCTTTGCTATATGGGTACTTCTCAACAAGCATTTCCTGTTGGGCTTGCAGACTGGCTAGAAACTCGCGCTGTTCTGGGGGCGATATGTTGGTCGACATATACAATATTCGAGCCAGGCGCCTCATGAGCTGGCTGATGTTATTGAAGATGCTCAACGCTCGCAGCGGTCCTTTGGGTGTGTTTCGGTATCCGCCTTCTGAAGCTTGTAGAGATACCGACCATACATCCCATTCTTCTATGCTGTCTTCGTTGATCGGCCCTCCTTCCTGTTGCTCTTCCAATGACATGCAGGGTGCTTTGTGCAAAATAGCGGACAGAATGTTGTCAAGGAAGATACATCCATGAAAAGTGTTATGATATCGGTTGTTCTTAGAAGCTATCGGCAACGTCGCCAGCAATCTGGAAGCCTGGCCAGCAAGCCTCCACGAATTTTTGATATCACCTAGCTTAAGCTGTAGTAAAGCAAGGACAACGACAGCTTGAATGTGTCCTAGTTCCAAATTCTTCGATTTTTGTGTCATGACTCGTGCGTAGATTGATTGTTGTATTTCCAAAGGGCCTGGCTGCCTTTGGTCTCCATCATCTTTTGTGGAAGATTCATAAGCCACAACTGCCCAAAGAACTAAGCTTGAACCATCACTTAGGCTGGCTTCAGGTTCAATGCTTGTATGCATCGTCCGAAATAGATCGTGGCGCTCTAGGATCGGGAACCAGCAGTGTGTATACGTGAAATAATTTTCCAGCATGCTCAGTGTATCCACTGGGAACAGTAGATGAAAGCAATCGATTTGAATTGTTCCAATATTTGGAATTTGTTGGTGCCGGGAAGGTTCATTCAGCCCAAAGGCTGCAGGCCCAGTGCCAGCAGTCGTGACGCTTGGTGTGTTGATCATGTCTAGGGTATCCCATTCTGGTTCATCAGGACCAGTGATTGTTAGAATTTCGCGAGAATCATGCTCAATCAATTTGGACAAATCTTTGGCCAGTCGAGACTGTCGCCAGACTGTTGCAGGATCTCTGGCAAGGAAGTGGTCATTGTTTTGCGACTTGATCAAAAAATCATGCACTGTTCTCTCGCTGTTTGGAACATGTTGCAGAACAAGTCCAAGAACTGTCTCCAAGCTTCGGACATATCCAGGGGGCAACCCTCGTCGCCCACCGCCAGTTTGATAACTGCAGGTACGATTCGCCGTGCGGCAGATGGAGCAAGCAGGCTGTTCCCCGTCACACTTGGACTTTCGCCGACGACATTGATCACATGCCCGATAAATTCTTTGCCGCTTAGAAGCTCGAGGGTTAGGCATATGTACTCGAAAATAAAATGAAATCCATCAGTTCTCGAACGTTCATGGTCATCCAAACTGATGTCGTCCGTGGTATCACGTGATCGGCATTGAACTTAACCGAAGCCCAACGACTGGCGACAACTTCCTCATATTAGGATTGAAGAAATAGTTTCTTGAGAGGGAAAAAGCACCAGGACTGACTCCTTTCAAAATATACGTGCTGGCAGGCAATATGTCCGGATCACATCCAACATCCCCCTCAAGTACACCTTGTCCAGATCCCGAAGGTCCTGGCTCCCGACGATACAGCACCGATGCTACCATCTTGCTAGTTGGTTCCTTTGGGGCCGGCAAGAAAACCTTAGGACTAATTGCCTCCGTTGCCCTTCGTCGACGGTTTATTGATTTCGATGAATTCTTTCGGGGCCAACTCCAGTATTCGCCCCAAGAGTTTATTGCGGAGCATGGATTCAAACGATATCGCGAGGTAGTGATAAAAGTGTCTCAAGATGTTCTCACAAAATATCAAACTGGCTGTGTCATAGCTGGTCTTGGATTCGCAGCCAGTCCAGCTCAGAGGCAATTATTGGTGACCTTCGCACAACATCATCCCATTGTATATGTGCGGAGAAGCAAGGCAGACCTTCAACATTTTGTCGGAGTCAATCCGGATACATTTGACCACATCTATGAATTAGAGAATGTCTTCTTCGAGTCATGTTCCAACTTTGACTTTTTCAACATCACGCAAGAGCCGAGTCACCAGGCCGAGAGTCAGATCCACGCATCACTCAAGCTGAAGGAGCTTGAACGCATCTTTGTAGCTTTTCTACATCGAATATTTGGCAATCCACATAAACAGATTGCCTCCGCTGATCCCTTTTCTGCGACTCATACATACTCTCTTGGTTTGTCCTTAACCCAGCTTGAGACGGATCTTGACGCCGAAGTTTTGGATGCAGGCACTGATGCCATTTATCTCACATTGAATCATGAGGAATTCAACCGTGAGGATATATTGGCCAGACTGTCCCGCTATATGACGATTCTCAGGAAGCACACCCGTCTTCCGATAATTCTTGATGCACAAACAGATCCAGAGAAAGACTCGAGCTACTTGAAATTCTTGGAAACAGTCGCACTACGGGTAGCTCCTGATGCTTTCACTTGTGTGCTCCGAAATAAAGAGATTATTCGGCGAATTCACGCAACGAAAGGTCATTCGAAAATGATTGCCGTATATCACCAAACGGGACCAGTAGGAGTTGAAATGTCAGCCTCTGAAATCTCTAATCTTCGCATGTGGCTCGAAGACTTGGGTTTCGAAGCTCTTCGCGTCACCGGTCAACATGCAGTTCCAGAAGATGCACTCGCATGCGTTACCTTTCGCGGAATGTTGACTAATGCCCTCAATATTCCAGTTATTGCATACAATACCGACCCCGAGGAGCGAGCTTCCATGATCTTGAACCCGACTTTATCTCCGATACAGGTCAGCTCAACTCAAGGCTCTACACTCTCTCTGCGAGACATGCAGCATGCGCTAAGCTCTTTGTCTCTACGTCCTAATAAATTGTTCAAAATCGTGGGTCAAGATCTCCGCCATAGTCTGTCACCAGCAATGCACAATGCAGCCTACGCGGCTTGTGGTCTCCCGCATAGGTATGAATACGATGAGATCCAAAGCTTCAGCGAGATCGAAGCCATATTAAAAGCCCCATCCTTTGATGGCTGTCTTGGTGGTTTAATCATTTCCCTGCCATTCAAAAATGATGTTCTACCCTTGCTTGACGACATCAGTCCCGACGCCAGAGACATCAATGCAGTAAATACTGTGGTATTGGAGCACAAGGTTCAGCCGAATGGAGTGAGAACTCCCTTTTACCGTGGATACAACACAGACTACATCGGAATCAAAGATTGCGTCCACAGCCACCTATCTCCAGCAAACGCCATTCGAGGTGGCAGTACGGCTCTGATAATAGGTGCTGGTGGAATGGCCCATGCTGCCGTGTACGCATGCTATCAATTAGGGGTTCGGCAGATATTCGTTTACAACAGAACTCTTTCGAACGCACAAAAGCTGGCCCGTTACTACAATGTATGGGCTAGATCCAAGGGAGATAATATCTTCCATTTAGATGTCCTTCAGTCAATACATGACCCCTGGCCATCGGACTCTCGTCTTCCAACGATCGTGATTTCTTGCATTCCTGGGAGGCATGTTGGCACTCAGTCGCCTGTCATCTTCCAAGTCTGTGAAGCCTGGCTCGAAAGTCCAACGGGAGGAGTGTTCGTTGAGGTAAGCTATAATTACCTCTCCCTGATCACACCAGTCAACTGACACTCTTATTAGGTTGGTTACGGTCCATTGAAGACCTCGTTGATGGAGCAGATGACTCCGTGGTCAATGAAAGGTTGGGTAATTGTTGATGGATTGAAGGTGCTTGTCAAACAAGGCATTACTCAATACGAGCTCTTTACCCAGAGACCGGCTCCAGTGCACGTCATGCGACGATCCGTTCAAGAGGAGGCCATCAAAAACGGGTATTTCCATATGTGGTAATTTGCCACTTACTGTCGGAGTCTTGGTCAATTCGCTGGTCGACTTAAAACCTAATTATAATTACATAAAATGTGTCATAGCAGGGAAAAATATCTCATCGGATTGAATTGTAGAATCTTCCTCCACATATACGGCTAAGATCTGAAGCGATGAGGGCAAGGTCTTAGCCCGCCCCACAACTGAGCGAGTGGGTACACTCCCCGGTAGTATCATCTCCGACTTGTTGATATTGTTCACAGCAATACCTCAAGTCAAACTCATTGTGAAATTCAGACTCCCATACAGACACCATGGCCTACCAACCTGCTATTATGAGCGTCTCCTTGGGACGAGCTTGGCTCCATGATTTTGATTACAAGATGGACCAAGCTTCAAAAGCAGGTTTCAAAGGAATAGAAATATTCTACGAAGACCTTGATTATTTCGCACGAGAAATTTCCAAAAACGAAACCCCAACATCCGATGAACTTCTCCAAGCGGCAGATGATATTCAGACAATCTGCCAAGCCCACGCCCTCGATATCATCACGCTGCAGCCGTTCCTCTTCTACGAGGGACTCAAAGACCGCGAGCAACATGCAAAGCTTATTGAAAAGATGAGACTTTGGCTACAGCTTGCTAAACGCTTGAAGACAAACATCATCCAAATCCCCGCCAATTTCCTACCTGCAGACCAACTCACCGACGACATTGATGTCATAGTTGCCGACCTGAGGCAACTGGCGGATATGGGCGCAGCCGAAACTCCTCCTGTCCGCTATGCGTACGAAAACCTCTGCTGGAGTACGATAAATGACACCTGGGAAAAAGTCTGGGATGTGGTCAAGCGAGTTGACCGGCCTAATTTCGGCATCTGTCTTGATACCTTCAACATCGCGGGAAGGGTGTGGGCTGACCCCGCCTCGCCCACTGGCAAGACAGTCAATGCGGATTCTGATTTGAAGGAGTCGCTCGAGCGGATGATGGCTGTGGTGGATGTTACAAAGGTCTTTTATCTTCAGGTTGTGGATGCAGAAAGGATGGAATCACCACTTGTTCCTGGTCATCCCTTCCACGTGGAAGGCCAGCCAGCGCGAATGAGCTGGTCGCGGAATGCGAGAGCTTATATGTATGAGGAGGACCGCGGAGTATACCTGCCAGTGGAGGATGTTGCAAAAACCATTATATCGGGATTGGGATACAAGGGATGGGTCTCGATGGAGTTGTTTTCGAGAACGATGGCTGAAGAGGGTCAAAACGTACCCGACCAGCATGCGCAGAGGGGTATCGCATCCTGGAAGAAGTTACAGCAGAGGCTTCAGCTCAATTAATTTCCGTAACACTTGAAGAAAGCAATATTGCGAACACAATATGCATGTTAATAATATGATATTTCTTATTATCTCTCACTTCTATACTTCAATTTCTTTTCCATCCAACCACTCTTTAGCAAGCCGATACAACAAATCATGTTTTTCCCCACAAACAGTTCCAGCATGTCGACGATGACCAGGCATATCCCTCAGCACCGAGACTCCCATGGTAAGCTCCTGGCAATATGCTAGACACTTATATCCCTCCGGATACGATTTGAGCTTCTGCACGTCAATATTGGGAAACTGATTCGGGATCACGGGCAACAGCTTGTCCTTCTCATACCAATGTCGCACGAACCGCGCGCCCCAGCGACCATCGACTTTCTCGAAGAAGAAGCAGAAACGGCAATCTGCTTCCGCATCCACTTCTATTCCGTCGATTATGAATCGTTGCGTGATAGTGGCCTTCATCTTTGTGACGGCTCGAGTGGCATCGGGGGTAATATCGGTTGTTACACCATGGCATCGATGCATGATGAATGCCCCCTTGTCCATCCCCGCTTTGGAAGCTGCCATAAATTCCAGGTACGAAACTCGGCCGGACCATGTGGTATAGACATATGCTCCTGGGTGGAAGATTGATTCGAAATTCTCCCATTCACAGGCATCACTGGAATCTTTGTTCAGCTTAGGATCATAAGTATACTCTTGTAGGTTGTTGCCCTTACCGGTAGCAAGGCCATCCCTCGGCTAGCTCGCGGAGTTTCGCGCGCTCAAGAACCAGGTTGTCTGGCCCGTTGTTGCGAAGGGCATGTTCGGGCCATGTGCCTTCGGGCAAGGAGTGTAAGTTTGGCATGATGAATTAAGCTGGTGTTGATTATCTGCTCGGAAGATTGTCAAATATATAGTATACCCTTTTTTGCGGGGTGCGTTAATGCGGGTAATCATTTTGACGGCTGAATTCATTGCCGATCGAACTCGAATTATATACTTCTCAGAATTACATGGATAAAATGCCTGGATAAGCTCAATTTATTTTTATTTTGTAATCCTTTGTATAGAGAGAAAAACGGACGCAGCCATTTATGTAACACTATATTTTTAGTAACTAAAAATTGATTCCTTTACTCTCTTCGGCTGCCTTGAGCAAGACATCC